GATAACCCTGCGTGGTTCCCCTGGTCTGATAAAGAAGTTAGTGAACACCAGTTTTGTTTAAGTGTTCCAGGAGACTCAAAAATGTAGACGTGTATCCTGGATGTGCTTCGTCATCTGCCTCGTTCTTTATTTTCAGATGCACAAATGGACATCATTCTCTGGGGGATTGCCTCATTTGGAGTGGATAACGCACCTTCAACTGACACTGCAAAGAGTGTAGGTGAATATCTACAAACTCTTTGTGGGATCAAGACAGAGCGCCAGAAAGGACCACTAGGGCATGTTTATTATATCAATCAGCTTGCAGGACTTATTCGTCAGGTGAGAGTACAACCACAAATAGGACTTTTGTGCAAACATCGTTGCTGATAGGAAATGGGCAACCCCAAAATTCGCCCACACATCCACCATTATCCCGAAGACAGTGGACAGCATGTAGAGCATGCCTGGCAAGCAGATGCTTGGAGAACCCTTGATCCCGACCTTTCCTCGCCTATGGTACGTGTTGGCGGACAGGATTTTTTCATACATGAACTGGCAAAATTGGATAACGGTACATACGTAATTCCATTTCGTTGGCTCACATGCAGTCGAGGGCTTCCGGGAGGTCCAGAGCAGCAATTTTTTGGTTTAGCTTGGAGCGTCGAAATTTGTTCAACGTTCAGTGGATGCGGCTTTGTTGTTCACCAACATCAGACTATTCAATTTCCCGTTTCTTGTCTTCTCAGCTCGTTCCCATATCTGGTTGAATCTTATGACTTGGATGGAATACCTGACCCTCGCAACATATTAGGTGCTGTAACATTTGGCTCGAACCTTGTTCTTTAATTAGCTTATGGCTACCCACAGGAGTATATACCACCAACTCGAACGAAAACCAAGGCATTCAGCCTTGGACACTTACTTCTGCCGAGCATGGGTTTGCAAACCGCTGGAGAGTCTTAGCCCAGGGCCATGAAGTTTTGAACTTCGCAATGTGGCTGTATTGCGATGACACATCTGGGAATGTCTCGAAGAAATGGAACAAACATAACTCCTTTCTCTTTACCGCCGCTGGTCTTCCTCGGGAATATGCTCATCAGGAAAGCAATGTTCATTTTCTTTGCACATCCAACCTAGCGCCTCCATTGGAGATGCTGGATGGGATCACGAAACAGCTTGAGTATGTCTAATAAATGCTGCCAACAATTGTTGCACCACTTACTGACCCAAACCACCCCATAGACAAGGTCAGCTGGAGGGTATATGGGTGTGGGATATTCAGCGTCAGGCCATGGTGCTAATAATACCGGTAGTTTTGGCAATGCTGGGTGACAACCCCATGCAAAGTGAGTTTGCGTGCCATGTTGGCCTTGCCGGCAAGTTCTTCTGTCGTTGTTGCTTTGTGAAGGGACGGGATGCAGAAGACGAGACAGCTGTTCCAGCTCCTGGGCCTGTTTCCGATGATGTCTCAGTTCAGTCAGATCTCTCCAATACAGGTGACGAGGGTACTAAGAAACGTGGTCGTCGCAAAGAAACTATGCAAGAGCTTATTGCCAGAGCAAAGCGGTTTGTTGGGGTAAACTTCCATGGCAGCTTTACTTCCTGTGGTTCGCTGACAAGACATTTCAGATGAATGAGACACGATCCCCGGAGAATACAACCCAAACACTCCGCAGTATATTTATTGCTTCCCAGAAATATAATGGCAAGACTCAGTCCAAAAAAATCGTTACTCAGACAGGTGTTAAAGACACATTTCTCGAGAGATTCAATCAGCAGATAGTTTCTTTTGTGGCAAAGATACCTGGAAATACCTCCGCTTCTCAGAAACAAAGACTTGTCGACAATTTTGTGGCAGAAAACATTCCATCTGAGCCAAATGTCTTTAGCCCTGTATGGAGAATCAAAGGTGTGTGTTGCTTGCTCAATGATATGAATTTTTGTGCAAATAAACCTTCTCAAGGACTGGACCCTCATCGAGATACACCAGTGGAGATCCTGCATGTCATTCTTCTTGGGTTTGTTAAATACTATTGGCGAGATGCCATTGCTCGCCTCAGTGACCCTCAGAAAGAAATTTTGACTAATCGACTGGCTTCAGTTGATGTCTCGTCAATGGGTCTTGCTCCACTGGCGGGCGAGACGCTGGTCAAGTATGCGCGATCTCTCACTGGCCGAGACTTTCGAGCTATTGCCCAAGTTGCCCCTTTTGTCCTTTACGACCTTGTTCCAAAAGAATGTTTTGAAGCCTGGCTTTCGCTCAGTGCACTCATTCCACTTGTCTGGCAGCCCGTAATTAATCATTTAGATGAATATCTGGTTGGTTTTCACTTCACTGCTTATGATGTTCTAGGTCTGAATTCGATTTGCAGGCAACTCTTGAGCTTGCTGTCGACCGCTTCCTTGATTGCGCCGCCAATTGGACTCCGCGATGGTTCAACAAACCGAAATTTCACATCATCAAACACTTACCCATGCATATTCGTCGTTTCGGGCCTGCAATCCTCTATGCAACAGAAGGCTTCGAGTCATTTAATGCCATTATCCGTGATCACAGTGTTCACAGCAACCACCAGGCTCCATCCCGGGACATAGGTCGGGGCTTTGCGCAATGCAGTCGCATTCGACATCTTCTCCACGGAGGAGTCTTCTTCAACCCCTCTGAAACCTCCAAAAGCAGTTTATCCCCGTCAAATTACTTGTCATGCAGTGATGACCCCAAGCATTGGGTCTGTGCGGGTCCTCTTCCCCTCAAGCTTGCGTGGACCAGTCTGGGAAAATCGCAAAGCCCTGTTGCGCGTGCATACGGACTCCATGTAATGGAGGAAGAAAAACCTCGCCCAGGTATGTCCCCCCAACATTTCTGATCCAGCACCTCCTGAATATCCACGTACTTAGGACGCGGTGTATATACTAAATTAGCCAAATTGGATCAGCCTTCTTCGAAGGTGCTAGCCATGGAAAAGGTCCCGATTGCTATCCACGGCGCCGAAAATAGACTGTTCCATCTCTACGAACAGGCCATATCCCTCTCACTTGAATGCTATTCCGTGGGACAATTTGTGGTGGTCAAACCTCATGATCAGCAACAGATTCAACCCCTTTGCATTGGAGAAGTGCATGAAATACTGCAGGCGTTACCTGGCACAGAAGTGGCTGTTCTTTTGAAGCTATGGGTGCTGGGCCCTGTTGATGACACCTATAAGCTCCATCGCCTTCAGCCAGGGCACTGGACTTTGATCAAAGCTGAGGTTAGGCTTCTCTTCCTCTCGATTCATTCATAAATATCTAAACACATTCATAGAACATATTATGTCCAGTCAATACACAGCACCGCTGCCAAGCGAATGGCTGCGATCTTTCCGAGTTTCGCCTTGTTCGTGAAGAACGTGAGACGACGCAGAAGCGTCTGCCTCGCACACACCACTACAACCCCAATGACCGTTTACTCAACACAAATCAAATGCGCAGCGGTGTCTACGTTCAAGCTTTCCGACCTGTTCTTCCTCCTCTGAACCGAGACGTCGCTATCCAGGATGGAGCTGCCCGAGAGCTTCAATCGCAAATGGAGTCCACTCGCCGGAGCTCTACACGCAACGACGTTCGAACGCCAGCTCGGGCTCAGAGCCCAATTCTTCCGCGAGAACCCTCACCGTATCCCCCGACTCTTTCACCAATGTCTCCATTTCAAGATGTCCAATGGTCGAACTCTCCGCATGTCCGTGGAAACCCTATTCTCCAGCGATTTCTGCATGAACAGGTTGCTGGTACGAGTCGGCAACACCCCACATGTACATCCTGTGGACAACCTGGACATAACAGCCGGACTTGTGCCAGAAGGGGGAGAAGGGGGGGGTGAGAACCGCTGAGCTGCATAAAATCACGTACATTATGGGTGTGAAATTGTCGTCACCAACACATTCTATAGCAAATGGAAGGAGATTTTGCTACAAGCTACCGCTCTTTCCCGACGAAGTTGAACAACTAACAGCTGAGGTATGCCGCTGTAAGTGCTATGCACAACAACCCAAGCAAAGTCGTGCTCACAACCGCCTTTATTTGTATTCCGGTAGACCACGGGCAGGGAGTAATATTATATCTTTGTATTAACTCGATTAAGAGCCAGTGAAATGCCGGTTGACTCGGTCCGGATTTATTTCAATGTGGCGCATGTGTTAGTCACATGTTGTGCCATTTCGACTTTGTTTATGAGTATGGGCAACTCCCTGCCACTTGAGCCGTGAGAACGAAATTCTCGGATAGATCAGCACGGCACCTGTTAAACGAATCTTTCGCGCTGCTTTCGTTTGAGATATTGAAATACACAACACCCTGGTTCATGGTGCTCAGATGGTTTAGATTGTAGATTACATTAATGTAAACAGAAAACAATTCATAATTTCCACTGAATACTGAATAATCTTACATGTATCATCTCAAAGATACCCAAAATATTTGCAAGTTTTCTGTTAACATCAATCATATATGTGAGATACACTAATCCCGATGGTTTTTAGAGAGATCCCATAGTGCGAACCACCATTCCGAGCATCCCCCTCGGAATGAGTTTAATCTTACATAATCTGTATTTCTACTAAGCGAAGTCTTCTTGTCGCGTCCTTGTCGCGTCCTCATCGTGTCCTCGTCGCGTCCTTATTACACCTTTGACACATTCTCCAAGATCCAAAGACCTGTGCATGCCTAATGTGGTTGACCGTCGTCCTAGTGTGACGTTTGGAAAGCGCAAACGTTCTTCGAAAAAGGATCGCCAGGAGCACACTGCTGCCGCTAGACTCACGAGGCAGTTTATGCTTGGTCCCAACCAAAGCCCTCCCGAAGATACTTCCGATGCTGATGATGACAAGGAAAACGATGGTTTCAACAGGCCAGGGCCCTCTGATGCTTCCCAGAAGCAGAAGAATCGTGCTGATGTCCTAAAAAGTCAAACTGATAATTTCCGAAAAAAGGCAAAATATTGGCATAAAGAGACACATAAATCAAGGGAAAAGGCAGAAGGCTTAAATAAGGCTTTGAGAGAGAGGGAGAATGAGCTGAAGGACACAGGGCAGAAACTGAGAAAAGTTGTAGAAGAAAGGGATGAGAGAATCGAGGTGCTTGAACAAGAAACTAGGCGGCAGAAGATAGTGATGGAAGACATCGAAGCGAGGTTACAGAAGAGGCTCAAGGACTACCAACGCCAGATCCATGCACTGAAAGCAAAAATTTCACGTATACCAAGCCGGCTTGTCACTGCTACCAACCGTGTTGCGCGTACATACAACACTAAAGCTGATGACGAACGAACCTTCTTCCTCAAGGACTCCAGTGGCATCATTCCAGATGAAGCGCGAGATGTTTTCCTTGATCTGGTAGCCATGGATGCCGTTCCTGCGAACAAGGTGACCCGCGTGTTCAAGCGGATTGCAGGGGTGTTTGGAGTCCAAGTTGAGGGAGATGTCTCACGTAGAAGTGTTGGACGGATCACAAAGGAGGGTGGAAACGCGTCAAAATTGCAAATTATCGAAGCCTTGAAGGACGCAAAAGGTATTTTCTATTGTAAAAGATATTATATCAATGGTAGTTGAACATATACAGGCATTACGCTGAGCGGAGATGGGACAACTCACAAGAATGAAACCTACGAATCGAAGTTCGCCACAGTGATTACACCCAACAAAAAGCTCCAGTTCTTCCTCGGTTTGAAGATGGCTCTAAATCATACTAGCGAGACACAGTTAGAGGGCTGGATCGAGACTGCCGAAGATCTATTTCACCTTGCATATCGGAGCGGTCTGATCGTGGAAGACGATGCGCGTATTTTTTGGAATCTTGTTACTGGGTTCCATTCGGACCACGCCGCTGACCAAAAAAAACTCTTCGAGCTGTTGAAGAAATGGAAGAAACAGTTGGAGCGTGAGGTTCGAGGTGAAAGTGCTGTCAAACGGCTCACGGATAATGAGTACGCGTGTCTTATTTTCCAAGGCTCGCAGGTTCTCGTACAAAAGGCAGGGGGTCCAGCTGCTTGGGATGTGTTGACTACCAAGGAACGTACACGCCGGATTGATGAGATGAGAAGACAGATTATCTGTGATATTGGGGAAGCCGAATTCCAGAAGCTGTCAGAGGAGGAGAAGGCCGAAGTTGATTTAATCCTTTGGGCAGGCTGTTGCATGCACAAAGAAATGAATGCTTTCAAGGGAGGATGTGTCGGCTTGGATGAATACTGGAATAAACACCCTGATCTCCATCCACCGATTCTCCTCCCAAATCGTGACAATGCGGCCGCTATTCGGAAAGCTGCAGGTACTGAAGCTGCAGAACGCGCTACAGCACGTAGTGAGCGAGGAGCTATCAAGGTCGCAAGTCTTGCAGGTGCAATTTTTCGGCACAAGGACAGGAAACGAGGTCAACAAGACACGTTGCGGTTTTACTTCGACCAGAAGCTGGGTTTCAACCTAGCTTTCCCAGATACGAGTAACACGCGATTTCAGTCGCACGCAGAAGCTTGCGCCTTGATAATCACTCACATGGACTTGTTCATTGAGTTTTTGACGTACGTTCAACATAATAAGGGCTCCGGGAAGTTGAATCATATGGAACAGAATGTTCTGGATGGCTTAAATGATCCCGCGACGCGTCAGGAATTCTGTGTTATTACATTGTATTGGTTGGCTATTAGTGTCCCATACATGCGAGAAATCCGAGGTCCACAAGCGAAGGCGAACAATGTTCTGGAGCTTGGTGACCTCCATCGTCGCGTTATCGAACATATTGACGCGTTAATAAAGGAGCCAGAGCGTCTGCTTGGCCCAGACGCGTCAGAAACTCATGGATCTTTGGATGGACATGGCTGGGAGCGGCCGGACGCGTTCTATGCAGCGCAAAGACATGCATCACAGCAGCTCCCACAGATTCAAAGCCTTTTGATACACTTCCTCAAAAAAGCCAAGGAGTCCTGGCTCCGGTTCATGTCAGAATTTGAGGAGGGTGGTGCGCTTTCACGAGCCACACCTGAGCAAATTGAGCGCGCCTGGATGGAGAAAACTAATGATCTGAATGAAGGTGCTTTTGGAACCTATAGACAAACCAGTCGCGCGAATCCCACCCTGTCTCTTGTCCAGTATAATGCCCGACAAATGTACAAATTCAACCAAACCTCCTCATACCTTCACACTCTCAGTCCAGCAATGCGCCAATGGCTCCGAAAAATCACACGTACTCAAGATGCATCAGGCGCGAATCGTCGAGAGCACATTCAGATGGCACAATATCGTCAGGAAGTAGCAGAAAAACGGACTGAAAAGGACACAGAACGAAAGGAAAAGCGGCAAGCAGCTGTAAGAGCCGTTGATGCTGTTAAGCCTATTCTAACCCTCACAGAACTCGACTATCGTGCCTCGAGAACACAGGGTACCTCAGGTTATTTACCTGTTTCCGAGATCACCATGCAACTCAAATGGCATAAGCAGCATGGTGTCAAAGATGCTGTTCCGCAAACTGAGAGCACTTGGGGTAAGCGCGAGGAGAAGAGGAGACTTCTCAGATCTGCAATTGAGAAGTATGCTGATGCGAATGCTTCTCGATGCATGGGGCAGCCTGTAGAAGGCACGTTAAGTGACGAGGAGGAAATCCCAGATGTTACTGTAGAGGAATTGGATGGATTTAACTCGGACAGCTATGATTCAGAGGAGGATTATTATAGATAAAGCCATATTATTGACTCGAATAATTTTTATATACAATAGATGCATAATTAGTACTTTAATGAATTCCGATCCCTCATAAAGCGAAGGAATCTGGAGGCAAAGGTTCAGCGCGACTGATTTCGGAACCAGAGACTAAGCGCCCGCTTAGTCAGCGCACGGAAACTTTGGCGGGGCTGCCCATACTCAGTGTGATATCTAATCTCGAAAAGAAAAATTTTGTTGGTCTTCTGCACTTACAAACTGTGAATTAAGTACCAGCATTGTTTTCCAAGTCACTTTGCCGGAGTGGTTAACGGGATCGCCTGCTAGTTTTCGCATGGGATTTTCGACCCAGGGCTAACGTGAGCGGTTGGGCTTTGCCCGCGTGTGTTCGAATCGCACAGGTGACGCTTCTTTTTCACCTTTTTACCTTTTTTACTTTGTCGCAAAACTCGAAGCAAAGGTGGGAACCACGGGGGAGTTACATTCGAGAGCCCATGACTTAGAATGATCGAACTTCTTGTTGACCATTCTGGCAAACTGGATTAAGAATTCTTCTTCCTCCCCTCCTCAGCGTAATAATATAAACTCGTAATTACTAGCCAGTAATTCGTGCATGAAATCCCCATGCCTAGTAGTAGTCTTCAACAACTTGAATGGTCGCACGTACAAAGTGAGACTCAGCTGAACCTCAGATAGCAAAGGCAATCCCGTTAACCACTGCTGATAGCAAACAGTGGTCATACTTTTTTAAAGTACATATGCATATGTAGTTCCTTAAATAGTTCCAGCTTGTTACCTATATTATGTAGTACATGGATATAAGTATGACTTATAAAATACAGAAAGCATTGCATATATATAATTGTCTACATGCAACTCCTCAATGATGCGAATTTGAAGACCTCCCGACTCTCCACTGGAAAAAGCCGAACGAAGGGGGCCACGAAAAGTCTGCCAGAGTTTGTGTCGAATCATGACCGCGTCCACAGGGATCTTGCGAGTTTGTGCGTATAATCGTCACGCGGGGCTCCTCGAATAAGTACCAGACCGAGGAAAGGATGTAAATTGGATGAGTGTGCCGGATTAGATATAAAAAAGCGGTGGAGGGAGTGTGAAAGGGTCGTCTTCAACGACTTAAACTTCCTCCTCGTCCACGGATTTACCCTTCTCGTCCGCGGGCGACACTGCATTGACAGTCACATTCGAATCCGCGCGCTGCCGTTGCCGTAAAAATTGCATTGATTTGTTGACTTTTTCGGAGAGACACCAGACAGCCCATGCACCGTAGCTGTTTTAAATACAAAAGAGAGCGAACATGGACGTCAGTAAATCCGAAACCGGGAGAGAAAAGAGCGGAACGAAACACACATTTGAGTACACATCAGGAGCACGATAATGGTGACAAGCATTACGGACAGCGCGATATCCTTGGATGAGGTGTGGAATTGCGCGAGCTTTTGAGCCCAGAATGCAAGAAGATAAGCCGCAAAGGCAAGCTTGAAGATGCTGAACACAACATTCTAAGAGACCAAAAAAAGTGGAAGAAAGGAAAACAAAATTCACAATGATTGGACGGCGCCGAATCGGAGCATATCTCGAGTCCATCGGAGAGGGAAACGCAGGCGGTCTGCAAAAAAGCCGACGGGAAGAGATAAGTTTCCAACACGAAACATAGAAAGATAGATAACCCTTACACATGAACAAGCCTATGAAAACACTCTGCTCCGTCGTAGCCTGAAACAGCCATATTTCACCCGCCGCAACAATCTGCGGATGACCAGTGTATGCCAACACGCTTAGCAACAACACAATTGCAAAGATCGTGCAAAAATGGTGGATAAGCAACGGCCATCGCATAGACGGGCGATAAGTGAGTTCGAAGATGTATAACCCCGATATCAATAGTGTACCTGCTTTGAGCATGTTTACATTGTCGAATGTGAACTTGCTCGCGAGGATTGGGGAGGCGACGAGTTGGAGGATAAGAACGGCAAAAGTGACGAATGTGTCGAGGACATAGGTGACGGTATTTCGCTTGTTCTCAAACGACATTTCATCATATTGAACGGAGAACCGGCTCAGTATGAATTCGGTGAATTTCGCCATCATGTACAAGACGAGCGTGTAAAGAACTGTGGGAACAGGGTACTGCGAGAGAATATCAGCGATAGATTTGCTTAAATATCGTGGAATGAACTTACAAAGGCGACAGTAGTCATTGTGATTGCTTGAGTCTGGACTTTGACCAGTTGCTGAACACCGTTTTCCGATATGCCTTTCATATCAGCAGCATTGTAGCTGGAATTGTACGAAAGCAGGGTTTGGTTGAAGGGAACAGTACTTGTGACTTCTAGGTAGTTACGATCTCTACACATATCGCCCCCAGTTGGACCGATGTGAGGACAGTGAACGTCAGGCCGGAACTGCACCAGATCTAAAAAACATCGGACAAGTCACTACGGTAAGCCCATGAAAAATGGAAGGAGCCAAAACAAAACATACTCTTGTGGATGTACCGACACCAGCCAGTGTTCATTCCTCCTTGCCATGATTCGCCGAAAGGTAACGCTTCCATGAACGTCAAGCAAGCGTCCTGTGAATCATATTGCTGAAATTCTCCAGTGCAATATAGACTCGAGACCGCACAAACATCGGCGGCAGTCTTGAGTTGTATCAGTTCGGTGACGTTCGTAGATGTACTGTTCAATTCCTCCGCGATTTGAGGCGCCAAGTACGGGGCGGTATAGGCCATAAGTTCGTCTATTCGACGAAGAATGGCGTCATACGAGACAACCTTCATGCTATCATCGTCGAAGGCCATGAACATATCGATCTGGAGAGGGATGCTCAGGTTGACTGTGGGGAAGGCCATATCGCTGATATAGCTGACGGCGACAACTGGAGGCTCGACGACGGCAGATTGTATCGTCATGCCAGAAGGAATTCCAATCAGCTGTGTTGTAGTATCCAACAGTGTGTCTTGGTAAAAAAGACCGAAGAGGAATTCAGCGTTGAGATCCTGACCAACAAATGTCGTGATAACATCGATGCGACCAACTACGTCTGAAGAGAGTGGGGAAGGAGTTGATCCGTTAAAAACCCCTGCTGGGTTGGAAAATCTACGGAAAAGATGTAATCAAGGTTTGTGTAGAAAAGACAGAATACATACGCAGCTCCAAAGACATCGAGAGCTTCAAGGTATTCGTAAGGCTGTCTGTACCCTGAACTCGAACGAACGAGAAGTACTAGAGCGAGTACAGGTCCTTTGGAGAACATTTAGAGGGCACAGCATATCCATCAACTCGAAGGCCCTTTATAGATATGTTGAGAAGGAGGAGAATGTGAACCTCACAATCTAAGTAGGGACAGTTTGTACCTTGATGGACTTGATGGATCCTTGGCGGCGCGATCAGAGAATAGAATTCGGACGAATAGGATCAAGCAGCGATTAACCACTCACCGATGGAACAAAGGTACTTACTGCCAAGTACTGCCTCCAGCTGCTTCCATAAACTTTTTTTTTTCGTAGGATTATAAAACACGTTCAAAACATCCCGGAAAAGCAGAGAAAACTCATTGCATTCGCGTTCTTCATTTGCTTCCATCATGAAAGAGCTGCACACCTCAGACTTTGAGTGAAGATAAGCGACGCTTAGTGAGTGGTAGCAAATCGGAGCGTGAATTTCCGGTTTTGTGGCAGCTAAAGGCATCCAGAGTTTTCAGTATGTATTCGTGATTCTGTCGCGAGCGGCCGCATGCTGGAAATGAAAGCGTGAACCAAACACTGTGCAGTACTTCGTCAACTTGACTTTGAGGAAGAACCAGGGAAGAACTTGAAGCTTGAAGCTTGATCGTCGGGCTAATCATTGAATAATGAATCAAGAAGAAAGTCGATGTCGACACGTGATGTGATTTTCCGACGCATCCGACGCGTCACCGTTAGATCCGATAAAACTTGTTTCGATACAGAGATCCTCCACTTTCCTCCACAAACTACTAGAGTCTTATCAGACCCGGTGGAACTTAGTACTATCTGCAGCTAAATGGGCTCACCCCCATATACCTGAGTTGCCCTTTGAAGAACTAGCGAAGTTTCGGAAGAACTCTTTAACTCAAAGTCAGCTCAAGTCTCAGATCTCAGGACCGACTAATACGTTCTGCCTACTCCACCACATCTCGGGCCTTTTTTCATCGAGTCTTGAGCCTCTTACAGTTGCTGCTGTTATCTTCTTTTTCACTCAACACTGGTGGAACTGCTCAAAATTGTGAAAAAAAATCGTAAAAACACTACTCTCGACATCCAGTGATCCTCAAATTTCCTAGCGTAAACCACCGTATCCTACAGCAAATGTACAGCCCGGAACATTCAAATTTCCAACAGTACCTCAGCCTTACAGCTCGTCCGCAGTCGCCCCATAATCACTATGTAGTAGTTCTTGTTTTCTGCCCTTCAAGCTGGCAAGGAATATTGCTAAATACTCGAGCTCATTCGTCTGGCTCTTTCTTTGGCCCTCTCCAATCCCAAGGACAGCACATTGGCCTGTACTAGTGCTCGCTTTGAAACTCTTAAGTTTCTTTGTCGGTGCTGGCACACCTCCATACAACCTATATCCGCGGGTAATCTGACTTCGGGGGAGGTGACAATAGCTGTGGTTGTTTACTTCCGGTTCCACAACTCTACTATGAACATTGAAAACGAAGTAATACTACTAGCCGGTAATACTTCGCTTTCACATCGTCGTAGTTGGTTGCTGTAACAAAAAGATAGATAAAATTTACCAGTGAGTGCATTGATATATTCTTGCGCATGTCGGGAGTGCGAACCTGTGTCACTACGTCTCTCTGTCTGACAGAAGGATGTTCCCTATCTAGCGAGTTGAAAGAGATTGCAGGGTTTGTGAAAATTGATTCATTGAATCAGATTCAAATTGTCCTTCGGCTGCTCTGAATTTCTTAAAATTCGTAGCCATCTTGAACTGCTGAAGCCTGACATATACAACATGAGTCTTTCCGGAATCGCACCGCTCCGGGCCACGTGTCATTTTGCTTTTAGCGAGAGCTCTGGAGGTATTTGGAATGTTCACCTATACATACGCTGCCCACTAGCTCCTTGAGGTTCTCTCTCATCATCTGTACCCTCTCATTCAACTACGCAGCTTCCATGATTAATTCTTGAATACTAAGCGGGCTCCGGTGACGGGAAGACCTGTGGGAAGTTCATGTGTTCACCAATTTTATAAGAACTGGATTTCGATCTTTGTTTCTTCGAAGATGACCTTCCTCACTCCTGGAATCATATACATCACTCGGGCGTTAGCATTTCCTGCTTTCTTCACCGTTGGCGTCGTAGCTGTGCGACGCTTTCTCGAGACACATACTAATATTGTTCTCCCAACCTGGATCTTTGTGATAATCTCTGTACTCAGCTTGCCTGCTCTAATCACATGCAGAATTCTCCTGAGAGATTGGAGACAGAAGCGCGACGCCGCTGCAATTGGAGCTCGAATTGCACCGAGAGTAAAAGGGAAATGGTTTGCAAATCTTGATTTGCTCAAGATGATGATGAACAATTACTACAAAGGCTACCCTGGTACACTTTTTGTCGTGTCGAGCTCGTGAAATTCATGACATTGTTTAGCGGATGGACTAATCGATATCATGAAAGACGAGGGACCTGTGTTCAACATGAATATTTTGTGGGAAAACATGGTGTTCACCTGCCAGCCAGAACATATTCAGTTGATACTTGCGACGGATTTCAACAATTATGCGAAAGGTAAGGTTTATCTGTTCGTCATCTCTCTCGTAAAACGACCGTACGTCCTCCCGCAGGCAGAAGATTTCAACGAAACATGTCTGCAGTGCTAGGAGCGGGTGTCTTCAATTCGGACGGTGATATGTGGAAGTACGTTCGAAGCCACACCGCAGAATTTACTACTTAAGAGAAAGCCTTTAGATTCCATCGCTCCATGACTCGACCTTTCTTTAGCCGTGACAAAATTACCCATTTTGACATATTTGATCGCCATGCTGATTCTGCTATATCACTCATGAAAACCCGTTTTCAAGCAGGGTATGCGGTGGACTTCCAAGTGTGTTTTGTCGTCGTTCCCCTTCTAGTGTCGAGTTATTAACCATTCTTGTATCAGGACTTGATTGGCCGGTTCACACTCGATTCAGCCACAGAATTCTTATTCGGTTCATGTGTCAATAGCCTTGCAGCAGGTCTCCCATATCCTCACAATGTTGCCCCTACCGTCGTGTCTGGTTCTGTCATGCCCAATTCCGTTTCATCGAGTACTTTACTTTCACCGAATGCTTCAGCGTTTTCCTTGGCTCGCGACTTTAGTAATGCATTCCTCGAAGCACAAGAAGCTGTCAGTTCACGAGAACGATTTAGTATGATTTGGCCCGTGCTGGAGATCCACAAGGACAGGACAAAAGAGCCGATGAAGGTAATAAATGCGTTTATCCAACCTATAGTGGATGAAGCGGTAGCCAAGATGAGGAGCCAAAAAGAGCTTGGACAATTGTCGGGCTTGGCTGCGGATATTGATGATAATGAGACGTTATTAGATCATCTGGTCAAGCAGACGGAAGGTACGCTGAAATTACTCCGCTCAGAATTCAGATTCTCACTACGAATCCTAAAGACCCCGTTGTTCTCAAGGATGAAACGTCCGTCGAAATTTTCAAATTCATAAGCAGGGATTCAGGTTTCGTTATATAGGCTCAACATTTTGATTGCTGGAAGGGATACTACAGCGGCAACCCTCACGTTCGTCATCTATTTCCTCTCAATGTATCCAGAGACCATGGATCGTTTGAGGAAAGAGATCTTTGAGAAGGTTGGACCGTCGCAGAGGCCTACATACGATGACATACGTGACATGAAGTTCCTGAGAGCAGTGATAAATGGTGTGTACCAAGACTGAATTAATGACGGACCAGCTACTAAATAGTTTTCCCAGAAACTTTGAGATTGTACCCTGTCGTGTGAGTGCAGTACCTGACTTCTTTTCGATCATTCATTCCATTTCTTGGACTAGCCCCTTCAACGTCCGAGAATGTACCCATGCTACGACGTGGCCGTCGCCTGATCCCACGCAACCGCCTATCTACATCCCAGCAGGCGCAATGTACGTCGAATAATGCTACCTCAGTTTCCATTAATAAATGGAATCGTAGAGTCCCTTGGTCCGTCTTCATGATGCACCGCCGGAAAGACCTTTGGGGACCGGACGGTACGTAGATTCATGGAGGTCACAGATATTACTCATGACACCACACCGCTGTCGTTGAACGTAGCCGAAGTCTTCGATCCCGACCGCTTCCTCGATGAACGACTCAAGAAGTATCTAACTCCAAGACCTTTTATTTTCCTTGCGTTCAATGCAGGTCCACGTATTTGCTTAGGGCAACAGGTGCGAATATTCCCAACTAACGCTCCCTTCTTGACTTGTATCATTAAATCTACTGCCAATACAGTTCGCCTACAACGAGATGTCCTTCTTCCTCGTTCGTCTCATCCAGAACTTCACATCCTTCACTCATTTTCCGGAGTTATGTCTCCCAGAATTTCAAGTACCGTCTGAGTGGAAATCGTTCTCGGGCAGGAAGGGAATTGACAAGTTTTTCCCGAAAATGACTTTGACGATGTATTCTGGTGTACGTTTATTCTGTCCTCTTTTTTGAATGCAGAATCTAGTGCTTATATGTTGGTTCGTCTAGGGAGGGCTATGGATAAAAGCTCAGGAGGCTGAGTGAAGATAAGAAGTTATACAAGTTATGCAATTGTACGGATACTTGTCAATTTGATAAATACGTAGTAGGAGAGCTTGTTCAATATATACTGTTCGGTTTCCATAGATCCTCCTTTTTGCAAATGACTACGTGGCTCTACCACCAGAACCTCGATCGCTTAGTCGTCTTCTTCGTCTTGCCGGACCACGACCATTCTGTTAATTACAACAAGCCAAAAAAAACACACAACACCAAGTTAGAACATATCGAAATTTAACGAGTCGACATGGACGTGCGGAAGTTGCTGTTTCCATAATGACTCGCTCTCGGATCCCAACGACCATGCAGAGGTTCCCTGAATCCTCCATTCGCAACGACGAAAGCAATGTCGATGAAGAGGATGAACGTCATTATGATGAAATTGATCCATGCAAAGGCAACGAGAGCGGTGAGAACACGGCATGGTAGGAACATCTGACACCAGCCTAGCTTTCCCCAAAAGGTCTGCATAAAAGGATGGAGAGTGTTAGATTGAAAATATATGAGACGGAAGTAAGGGAGGTCAAGACGTCACTTACGGTAGCAATCGCTGCGCCGACCAGATACATCACCCAGAGGATGAAGAGGCCGATGAGCTCTCCCCGGAACGTGCTGATGAAACGATTCTCATATCGTCTGTGGATACAGTGGATGCTAGAAACGAGGATCATCAGCGGGGTCTGTATTCAGATGGTACTTGGGGATTGGTAAGCACTCACATGAACCATGCCCACAAAATTGCGAGTATGGACGTTGCTAGGAGTTCCGCAACGATAGGATCTGCAATGAAAAATCAGGGCATGAGAGCCGTTCTGGTGGACGCGTGTTCTCTGAACATTGTACTCACCAAAGAAGTCCTTTCCGCTGTTCAACGGATCACCAAGAGGTATGTGTGTAGTGTAGTGGATCCTCGCCGCCGTAAGCCCAAGTAGAACGACAGAAAAAAGTGCCTATATGGGTTAGGGATGACAGTAAGCAATGTTTTCTCTGGAAAAGCGAGAAGGTAAGTCCTCACCGAAGCGAAATAAAAGGAAATTCGGAGAGCAGGGAAGTCAGTCATGCCAAGGATTTGGTTATTGATTGCAGAGAGCAGTTTTAGACTTCAAGGTCGATGGAAGAAGACGAAACAGATAAAGTTAACGACCTTCCAGTAGAACGCTGGGTTATAAGGAGAAGAGGGTGTACACGAGGACACCATGTTGTTGATTACGACACTGCATCCCTAGGCCGATTGTCAGTGAAATTTTGGTATGCCTGACGTCTTGTGTTTCGATGGAGGTCTAGGGCAATGAATATGGATACTGCCCACAAGGAAGTCATTGTTATTATGGTGTGATTGAAATCCACCACCGTAAAACTCATGTTCTGATATATGAATCTAATCGGACTTTGTATCAGCAGGATGAGATTATGTTCTTTATGCGTCTCACTGTATACTAATGCATTGCCTCGAAATGATAAACAATAACTGCTAAATGACCGACGATTAATCAGAACACGTTCAGAATAAGTATGCTGGCCATGTGACCAAGACTCACTAAGTAGTCAATATTGTCAGTGGCAATGCGAAAATTACACGTTGAATGCGCACTGCGTGCACTCCTCTCAAGGACATAGTAGCAGTGGCATAGTAGCAATAGCGTATACAGGCGTCATGAAAAACGAAATAGTAGAAGCTATTGAAGTTTCGAGAGCTGCTAGCGCTGAACGTGAACGTTGATTGGTTGAGAGCCGGACCGCGGTCGAACCGGAGATCCTTCCTTCTGTATATACATAGGATAGTTAAATTATAGTATTCGCTCAAACGAGCTCGATGTAGAATGTGAGGAGCACTGTGAAGTGCTCAACGTTAGTAGATGAGGTTTGCCTGTGTTGGACCAACTCCGTACGCGTACGTATACCTTGCTACAACTGCTTTGACCATACAAAACACCGTTACACGTATACGCCGTGCTTACCATAAACTATACAGTTCTAAGTAGATCACGCACGACAGAGACCTCCGAGCTCCCTCAGTTGTTCCATTACCAACTGAGGTGAGCTCGAGAGTATACCCATCCATACACATACTGATTAAAACACATAGATTAAACTATGAAACCAGTTTTCGTGCAATATTGTGTGTTTCCGCTTGTTTACTCAGCTCCGTGCCTTAGTTTCTATCAATGTCTCTGCCTCTGCATTCTACCTACTCAGAATGTGAGGGGCTCTATCATTGATATGCCAAATCGATGATATGTAAATTGGATTTGAAGCGTTCTACCTTATAAAACTCGGTTTGGAACTGTGTGTACCTTCAGGTTGCTTCAACCATGTAGTGATTGGATATCTGCCTTGACGCAGCTGGGCCTCTGCCTTGAAAAACATACTGCTCTGCCTTCAAGGAACCAGAGTTCTGTCGCTCCGGAGATTTCTACTGCCTTCAAAGAGCCTTGTCCAAGGCTTCTGTAAATCAATTCAACTGCTTCCCAAGTGGTGACCGATGCCTTATGACTCTCTTAACAACTATATACCTGTGCCGACCAACAACTTCTAAAGTACTTATTCATTGTATATGCTTGTTTTCTATGTCAGTTTCTATCTATGATGCTTTTCTAGACTGCAAGTACACACCGGAAAGAGACAAAGTTCCGCTTGACGAAATTTCAAACTGATATATCATGTGACCGGCGATATGCCTGATATAGCTTGTTCGCAGTCACATGGTATGTTAGTTATGCTGAATTATTTGAGCGGAATATTAGAGCGAGTTCACAACTACTTAAAACTTCGGATTTGCTACAAGGTTTTGAGATAAAATTGACGTTTGTCCGCAAAAGCATCACATGCATTAAGATTTGAACAGAATTTTTTCTCTTTCTGTGAATTGGCAATCTATACTAAAAAGCGTCTGGATACATTGTCTTTGCAATTACAAGGGCATCAATCCAAAGCTGTATGACTTCCTGTTCACGAGGTAAGCGAATATGATGCTGAAGCTGTTGGTTTAGGAATATAACTTGTTCTTGAGTAAGAAGGGCTGATGGTGGACTGACAGCCACCTCATTGAGGTCTGGAGGGGGACCTCGACGGCCAAGCCAGGAGCCTGATCCTTCATGAGAATAGTGCATGCGCAGATTTCGCAATAATGTCTCATCTTGTAATCCTTCCCAATCTACCCCGAATACTTCAAGCTCTTCATCTGTCATCGTGAATTGGTCAAGATCATCGCCCCGCACCCCATTAACCAGAGAGTCAAATACAAACATATCTTCTGGGCTGCGGGCTGGGCCACGCCGCTGTGAAATTCGATGACTATTCCAGGATTCGGCCCAGAAGGTAAGTTGCTCATTGATCATTGGAAGGAAAAGATGCTGAAGTAGCCATATGTGGTTTGAATTGGAAGCCTGGAGTCCATGATGAATTTCGAGAAGGGTAAACATATCATGCCACGTCTGACTGCAATAATGGCTAACGTCAACCCACAAATGTTCAATTCGAACATTGTGAACAGATCTAATTAAGAATAATATTAGCATCAACTCATCTTGAATGCAATAACATACCTTCCCCAAATATATGAGCCACGCCCATTTCCCCGGGCATGTTCCATGAATGCTGCCACCCAAATGTTCTCAACACCGTGGTCTCCGCAAAATCGTGAAGGAAGTCGATATTTCTCTGCTGCTGTCAAGAAAAGCGACAGAACAGTTTGTCCATGATTATTATTACTGGCCCGCAGTCCTGTGATGAGCCTTGAATACCCATCTATGAAACCATGAATAATAATACCCCAACGTATGAGGCCTAGAATACATATGTGATATGGTTACTCTGAATGTTTGGAAAGCATGCAAAAACTCACGATGATGACCATCATGGTGCCACAATGAATTTGGTCCCGGAACAGAATATCCTCAACGACGAATTCGAATCCGGTCAAAAATGCGGTAAATAGGGTCAATACGGATAAGAGACTGACGAATATGCTCATATGGAACCATAACATTAAGGCGGCGAAGCATTCCATCAAGCATTCTAATGCCTGCTCGGTGAAAGTGGATGCGCAAACGTCCTATCAAGGAGTCTAGTTGCTCGTCTGAGATATTAGAGATGTAACCAGATAAAGACGTGGATGGTATTGCAGCTACTTCCGCATGTATGTCGTCTGGTAACTGCACTGGCAGTGGAGCTTCAGGGTCAAGCAGCTCATCTGTATCCCTTGAATGGACAGTGCTATCGACCCTCATGGAAGATTCAGTTGAGGCGAATGGATTGGTTCCTGGAGAAGCGATACCATGTTCTAAAAGACAACGCCGAACGGTTGAACGAGGCACATCAAGAAAATGACTAAGTCCTGTTGTTGTACGGTGATGGTAGGCAAAGTGAAGAAAGTCTGGATTGATTACTGTACGTGGCCGTCCAGGGCATCCAGTGTATTCAGTGAATACAACCTCAGGTCTCCCCGAGTGTGATGCTTCTATACGCTGTTCATATAGAGCTCGGATATCTAATATCATCACCTGGAGACTGCTCTGCAGGACTTGAGCTTCCTCTGGTTCGAATATTGCTGCATTTTGATAGTAGCATTGCATCAATAATGTAATGAGAAGAGAATCATGGTTTTACCTCATGTGAAAGCTGAGCAAATTGATTCAAATCCTCTCCAAGGAGCTGCAACAAAAAAGGATCTGTTGGTTCCATATGAACTTGAGTAACAACTGCCTCAAATTGAGCATAGTGAGCTCGAAATGCATCCAAAAGACTTGTAGAGGCTGGAGAAGTATTCAAGCTTGTAGCAACATCTGGAGCAACTGTCAGTGATATGAAATGTAGAAATACCCAAATCCAAATCTGAGCTAAGGACAAAATTTGCATAGTTGTGGACGTTGTGGATGTTGTGGACTTCTTATGTAAAAGGCTATTTCCGATAATGATTGTCAATTGCCGTCTCCGCACAGGAACCGACATAACATTGAGATCTCTTTTAATTATCCTCATCTCTCTTTGGTTTCAAAGACATTTCCATACAGCTTGATATAATTAAAAACAATACCCTTATTATTTGAAGACCAATGAAGTACTGGACAGGAAGTTCAGAAAAGCATTTAGGTATCAGATCTAACATCACTAATAGCTAAAGTTAACCGTCAACTTCTTTGATGTACTGAAATACATATGCATTCAGGCGAATACTAATAACAGGCCAACGTGCTTCATCATTCATTTCTTCTCTTCTTTCTCTTTCGATACACGGAGTCCTGATTATGGACTTTACTGACTGTAGTCAAAATGACTATTATAATCTCATACTCCAGGCGGCTTGCGGAGGAGCCCATTCAAACATTTTGCAACCTGCTTCAGACTTCAATGTTGCGATGAAAGCTCAAGACTCTCTTGAGCCCAGTGCTGGAGACCACAACCTCGGAAACGAGATTGCGGTGGTTTCTGAGGTTGCAGTGTCCAAACAAGGTAAGATTAAAATCTATGATCCAGATGCATATTTAATACGCTTACCAGATTGCGACGCACAAGTCCACGCTGTACAGACGAACTCATTAGTGAACGGTAAGCATCAGAGTGTCGAGTTCAAGCTTCTTAACATCTATAATTCTGAGGCAAATAAGCAGATACTGCGTTAAGCGTCGAAGGTTCTTTATTTGGTATTCATGATGCTTTAGGTGGCCACAGCTTTGTGTCCCCTTCCAGCGTTGATTGTCCTTCTGGTATCCCACTCTCAGTCCCTTCCAGCACCTATAATTCTTCAGGCATTTTCTCTCCCAGCACACACCCTAGTCCTCCTGGTATCTACGATGGTCTTTCGGGCCGCATTTTCAATGGACCTCCTCCTGGTGTTGGAAACGGTCCTTCTCCCGGTATTTACAATGCCACTGCTGCTCAAATTTGCAATGCTCCTGCTCCTGCTCCTGGCGCATACAACACTCCTGCTCCTGGCGTTTATGACGCCGCTGCTCCTGGCATTTACGACGCTGCTGCTCCTGGCATTTACGACGTGACTGCTCCTGGCGTTTACGACACCGCTGCTCCTCACGTTCACGACGTGACTGCTCCTGGCATTTACAATGGTCCCCAGAGCATTTTCAATAATTGGTCTGGTGTCTATGGTGCTGGGCTTTACGGTCTACCTAGTGTTTATGGTGCTGGGCTTTACGGTCTACCCGGGGCTTATGGTCCTGGGCTTTACGGTCCACCTGGAATTTACAGTCCATCTGGCGTTTACGGTGCTGGGTTTTATGGTGCTGGTGTTCATGATCCAGATGTCTATAACCCTCCTCAAGCTCACGGTCCTGGTATCCATATCCAGTATGGTACTCCTGCTCGCAGCCATGGTCTCAACCGTTACCATCCCTACCAGCTGACAGCACGCCAGTCAAGCTCTCGCACTTCCTTGAGTATGTCATTCTTTCGAATCCCTTGAACACTTCAATGACTGCTTTCTTTCTGAAACACTACCAGCAGCAGCTTCTCCCATGCAAATCCCGGTTCCGGTTTCAACACAGGCCTCTCTTTCTTTGAACGTACCTGCACAAGTGCTTCCCACCTCAGTATTTCTGCCTCAGACGAACCAGGTTATACCGCAACCCAAGAAAGCGACTCAAACCTCAGCTGTTACCCCCGAGCCATTGATCAAAAAGCCCTCAAAGGGACCGGTAATTTTTACATCAGCTTGCAACTTCAAGGTGTCATAAAGTACGCAGCCCCTATCATTTTCCCTTTCTCACCGTCTCGACGCCTTTACTTGTACAATACATCATCCCATCGCTGTCAATCTCCATTGATTACTGATCTATCTATTACTGATCCACCTGACCCATCTTCTCTTTCTATCGGCTTCCGCCTCCTTCCTTGCCCCTGAACTGTACAGTATTACATCGTTGTTTCTCGCAGACTAGATTATGTATATATAGCCAACCCTCCACAGCCTGGTCCCTTATCTTGACCTCTCTGTCATTATCTGGGACCAGGTATGTGCTTACTTATTATTACCTATGACTACGATACTCAATATATCTCTGTCATTATCTGGGACCAGTTCGCCTCCGCTCCGCTTAGTCGCTCCGCCTCACTGACCTGCTTAGTCGCTCCGCCTCACTGCCTGGCTTAGTCACCCCGCTTCCTGCTCCGCTAGTCACTCCGCCTCTGCCGCTTCGTGACATTAGGTCAAGATCCATTACTGCACTGACAGCCTACCGATAAGGTTGTCCTTGCAGGATCTGTAGACACCACGTCTTCCCCAGTCCCGCCCGATTCTGAAACACCTGCTGCCAGTATAGACTGCTCCACACTCCCACACGCACTTGACCCCAGAGACCAAGCTCACGCCCACAACAACAACGATACTTGGCGCGATTGCCAGTCTCAACCTTGCCCCAACGCCCTTTCGAACTCGATCCGAGAGCCACTCACTGTGAGCAATATAACCTTCCTGCCAATTCCCCAACCCCGATTGCCTACTCCCATCATGTCGACTCCTGTCCCGCCTGCCCCAAATACCTCTGCTGAGGATCTCATGGCTCAGCTCATCAGACAAGCAGCCAGCCTTGCTACAGCGATGGAGGAACGCTCATCATCCAAGTCAAGCATGAACAAACCCGAGGTCTTCAAGGGTAAAGATGGTGCTGAAGCTCGTCGCTTCATGGCTCAGTTCCAAAATTGGGCGTCAGAACAACCGGATCTCGCCAAAAGCCAAGTTAAACTTATCAAGTCCGCCCTGGGCTTCTTCACAGAAAGTGCTGGAGATTGGGCAACTCCCCATCTGTTACACTTCAGTGCAGAGAATCCCCCTTTCGGAGGAAACTGGGATACGTTCTTGAAGGAATTTAGCCAGCGGTTTGAACCAATGGACCCAGGTATGGAAGCCCGTAGCGAGATCAAGAACCTCAGACAAAGTAAAGGGCAGACAGTTGCAGAATTTGCCCAGAAGTTCAAGGATATCGGAGATCGGACTGAAATGTCTGATATTGATTTACGGGAACGCTTCTTCACCGCCTTACTTCCGGAGATCCGACAACACCTTATCATCGTAAACATCGCCCAAGGAATCGCTCCGACTTTGAAAGAGGCAATCAAACGAGCCATATCGGTGGATGTCTACCTGCATGATCCCACCATGACCGGCCGAAACACCGGACACGCTCCCGCACACACCGCTCACATTACCCCTGCCGACCCTCACGCCATGGACATTGATGCTACTCATACCAGCACTGGGAATAGCAGGGAGGCCTTCCTTGCCCGTATGCGCGGACGATGTTTTGGTTGTGGAGCTCAAGGCCATGTTAAGCAGAATTGCCCACACAAGGAGACTACCTGTCGATACTGTGGACGCCGGGGACACCTAGAATCCGTCTGTCAGGACAAGTTCATGGGACTTAGTCGTGACCGTGGCCGACGCCAACAGCCTCGCCGTCAGCAGATCTCAGCCACGGCGGCACCATTTACCTTATTCCCAAACGAATCAGTTCAGATTGCCGCCTCAATCCCAACACCTGTCGCTGGACCTGCTACACCGAGCCCCGCCAATCAGGACTTCTCCACCCAAATTGGACAAATAAGGGAATTGTTGGACCGTGCTAATGCCATGTCTCCTCCGTCCTCTGGTTTTCAGCAGGGTTTTTAAAGAGGGTACCCGCTCCGGCTGCACCGAGAGTACCCCATAATCAGTTTACTATGTTCGCTACCTCTTCGTATGACTCGCTCCCATCATGTACAATATCATCTATTTGGGAATTAAATTCCAGCTCCCCACATTTCCGAATTCATGCGAAACTGAGAGGAAGGAACCATAGTATAACAACCGCAGCCATGGTAGACTGTGGAGCTACCGCCCTGTTTTTAAACCAAGACTTTGCCACCAGAAATCACGTAACCTGCGCACCCCTCCATAAACCAATTGATGTATTCAATATCGATGGTACACCTAACCGAGCCGGGCGAATCACCCACTTTGCACGCTTAGCACTCACAGTGGATAACCAGGAGCGATGGATGGATTTCCTGATCACAAACTTAGGAGGAGAGGATATTATTCTCGGACTCCCCTGGTTACGGAAGGTAAATCCAGAGATTGACTGGGAGAGGGGACGACTTTCAGTAAAGCCACCCCGGGTACATATAGAGGAAGTAGAAGATGAGCAGACTTCACACCCTCACCTAGTGGCGTCTACTACCGATAGTCCAATCCAGGAACTCCTGAACGAAGGATCCCAACGTGAACCCAATCACACTGAGGCAGACCTAGAGGAGAATGAAATCATAACAGCAACGGAGGAATCCCCAATACACCGAATACGAGCCAATCACAAAACGCGTCGGGCATGGGTGAAAGCGGGGATATTGGAAGAACAAACAGAGGAAGTATGGTGCTCAGCAGGGTTCACTTATTCTCAACAACTAGCAGAGGAGGCTAACCGCGATAAACCCATTAAAACCTTTGAGGAGATGGTCCCTGAGCAGTACCGAGACTTCAAGAAGGTTTTCTCCGAATCTGCCTCTGAGCGATTACCTGCCCATCAGCCCTGGGATCACGCTATCGATCTTGTACCCGGAGCACCAGCAACCATGCGGACAAAGATCTACCCAATGTCCTTGAACGAGCAGGAGGAACTCGACCGCTTTCTAGAAGAAAACCTACGGAAAGGCTACATCGTTCCCTCGAAGTCACCCATCTCATCTCCAGTCTTCTTCGTGAAGAAGAAGGATGGGAAACTCCGTTTCGTACAGGACTACCGGAAACTGAATGAGTATACTGTGAAGAACCGATATCCTCTCCCATTAGTTGCTGATATCATTAGCCGGCTTCAGGGAGCGCGATATTTCACCAAGTTTGACGTTCGCTGGGGCTACAATAATGTGCGGATTAAGAAGGGGCATGAATGGAAAGGCGCATTTGCAACAACTCGGGGCTTGTTCGAGCCTAAGGTTATGTTCTTCGGTCTCACAAATTCCCCTGCCACATTCCAAGCACTTATGAATGCGATATTTGCTGATCTCATTGCAGCTGGCAAGGTGGCAGTCTACCTAGACGACATCCTCATATTCAGTAACGACCTCAAGGAACACCGACAAGTGGTACGGGAAGTATTAACGCGACTAGAAAAGCACGACCTCTATTTGCGCCCAGAGAAATGTGAATTTGAACAGCAACAGATCGAATACCTGGGACTTATCATTTCAGAAGGGGAGGTGAGAATGGATCCGGTCAAAGTAGCGGCTGTTCGTGACTGGCCAGTCCCTACCAACCTCCGGGAACTGCGAGGATTTTTGGGGTTTGCAAACTTCTACCGGCGCTTTATCCGAAATTTTGCAAGAATAGCTCGACCTTTGAACGACCTAACCAAGAAGGATACCAGCTTTAACTGGACTGGTACACAACAGGAGGCATTTGACACCCTTCGAGAGGCCTTCATCTCCGCACCAATCCTTGCTCTATGGGCGCCAGATCGGCCCACTCGAATTGAGGTAGACGCATCAGGCTTTGCTACGGGAGGCGCCCTCATGCAGCAGCAAGACGATGGTCAGTGGCACCCGGTAGCCTTCAGATCGGCATCCATGCAGCCAGCAGAACGGAACTATGAAATATATGATCGGGAGATGCTTGCCATCATTGAAGCATTGAAGGACTGGAGGAATTTCCTGGAAGGACTTCCACAACCATTCGACATTATCACCGATCACTCCAACCTCGAATTCTGGCGCACAGCACAAGACCTTACCCGTCGACAAGCCCGATGGGCCCTCTATCTATCACGGTTTGATTTTCATATGATCCACCGTCCTGGCCGAGTAAACACCCAAGCTGATGCTCTTTCTCGTATGGCAGTACATCATGTATCAGATAGCGATGACAATCAGCAACAGACCGTCCTTAAACCTGGCCACTTCACCAAAATCGCCGCTTCAATCCTACGGAACCCCCTAGAGGATCGTATTCGGAAAGCCTCAGAACGGGAAGCACAAGTACTGGAAGGTCTGGAAACAGTCAAGAAGCATGGGTTACAACGCTTGGCCAATGGGATAGCTGAATGGGAGGAGGACAACGGGTTGGTCTATTACCGGGGCCGGGTATATGTACCAGCAGACAACAATCTACGCACCGAGGTACTCCGTCAATGCCATGATCATCCAACTGCTGGACATCCCGGATTACATGGGACACTTGACCTGGTCAGCACCCACTTCTGGTGGCCGACACTGCGTTCTTTTGTAGAGAAATACGTTGAGGGATGCGAGATTTGCGCCCGCAAGAAGATCCAACGGCACCCACGAGCTGTGACTCAACCACTGGATGTACCATCCGGCCTATGGGAAGAGGTAGGGGTCGACCTGATAACACAATTGCCTAACTCCCAGGGATACGACGCAGTCTTGGTCTGTACAGACCTGTATGGAAAACAAATCCATGCTATTCCTTGCACCAGCTCCATTACAGCCGAAGGTGTCGCCGATATCTATTACCGAGAAATCTTCCGTCTCCATGGTCTTCCCCTCCACTTCAAATCCGACCGCGGACCTCAGTTCGCAGCTAAACTCATGCGATCCCTCCTCGCTAGACTGGGCATTAAATCAGATCTAACCTCCGGATATCGCCCTCAGTCCAATGGCCAAACTGAACGCGCAAATCAGGAAGTGGAAAAATACATCCGCCTCTATGTGGGACGACGACAAGATGACTGGGCAGAACACCTCCCCATGGCGGAGTTTGTGATTAACTCGCGGACTCACTCGGCCCTAGGCATGTCCCCATTCGAGTTAACCTACGGATACCTTCCCCTGTTCAATATCCCGGTTGGTCAACGCAGCGGCATTCCAGCGGTGGATGACCGCATACGGATTCTCCGAGAAGCGCGACAGGATGCTGGAGCTGCCTTACATCTAGGAAAGAAGCAACAAAAGGAGGGATACGAACGTGGGAAGCGAAAAGCGCATCAATTCAAAGTTGGGGACCTAGTTTGGCTAAGTGCGGAGGACATTAACCTGCAGCTATCCAGTGAAAAACTAGGAGACCGACAGCTAGGACCTTACCGTATTCTGGAGAAAGTCGGACCTCTGGATTACCGCCTTGACCTTCCCTTGTCATTAGACCGCCTTCATCCTGTCTTTCATGTCGACAAACTATATCCATGGAAAGGTAACCCCATCAATGGCGAAATACCAACACCACCAGAGCCGGTGTACTTAGAAGATGAAGATGAACCGGAATATGAAGTGGAGGAGATCTTGGACAGTCGGGTACGATGGAAGAAGTTGGAATATCTAGTAAAATGGAAAGGTTACGATGCAGGACACAACTCTTGGGAACCCGCACCCAACCTCAGCCGGGCACCAAAAATTGTTCGGGCCTTTCACAAAAAACATCCGACAGCGGCAAAACCTTGACCATCGAGGGCAATGGTCATAAGGAGGGGGGTAATGTCATAAAGTACGCAGCCCCTATCATTTTCCCTTTCTCACCGTCTCGACGCCTTTACTTGTACAATACATCATCCCATCGCTGTCAATCTCCATTGATTACTGATCTATCTATTACTGATCCACCTGACCCATCTTCTCTTTCTATCGGCTTCCGCCTCCTTCCTTGCCCCTGAACTGTACAGTATTACATCGTTGTTTCTCGCAGACTAGATTATGTATATATAGCCAACCCTCCACAGCCTGGTCCCTTATCTTGACCTCTCTGTCATTATCTGGGACCAGGTATGTGCTTACTTATTATTACCTATGACTACGATACTCAATATATCTCTGTCATTATCTGGGACCAGTTCGCCTCCGCTCCGCTTAGTCGCTCCGCCTCACTGACCTGCTTAGTCGCTCCGCCTCACTGCCTGGCTTAGTCACCCCGCTTCCTGCTCCGCTAGTCACTCCGCCTCTGCCGCTTCGTGACACAAGGACTATTGCAGTATGCACCAGTATGATCGGCTCTCTGTGATTTACAAACCCAGGGAACCAGGTGATGAGCAGCGTACATCGACCACCTATTATCAGTGGTCTGATGCCCGAAAGCTTGCGATGGAGACTGTTGGTTATACGGGGGGGCTGGATTTGAGAAGGTACAAGATTTGTTATAATAACGGGGAAGGAAAGGTGGAGACCCTTGATACTATTCTTGAGACTCATCTAGGCTGGAATCGTGGAACATTTAAAGCAAGTACACGGGTTTTTGAGTGCTTTGAGAATCATGCGATAAACTCTATGTGGGATCCTAATCATATTCCAATTAATAGGACCAACAGTCCAGATTCAAATGGTAGGCTTTTAGTCGACTTAGAGTTTCTTGATACTCAAGACGTTCTTGCTTCTTCAATTAGGCTTGATTTCTCTGGACAAAGAGGACCCATATGAGGTATGGAAAGGGATTGAATATCTTTTCTATCAGCCAGGATTTTTCAAGACTGGTGACCACCCATCTCGCAATGAGCGCAACTCGAAAGAGGAGCAAATTGCTGCTCAAGTCTCTCAGAAGGATATGTCACACCACCGGAAAAAAATTTTAACTTTTCTCATCCCCCGCCAACCAACCACCAATTGATTACTATTTCTTTCCTTCCTTAATTCCATAGTTTTACCAAATATACCCTGCAGTTATTTCAGTTCAAGAAGTATTACATCAGATTTCTTTTAATTGTTTCCTATCACTCCTTTTCCCATAGCTCCATTTCCTGTCGCTCCTTTACCTATCACTCATTTTCCCATAGCTCCATTTCCCGTTGCTCCTTTTCCTATCGCTCATTTTCCCATAGCTCATTTTCCCATAGCTCCATTTCCTATCGCTCCATCTATCGCTCCATTTCCTATCGCTCCATTTCCCACTGACCACTGACCACTTCTCGTCAACCGCTTCCCATTTCCCATTTTCTCCATCGCTTACATCCTCATAGCCCCTGTCTTTCTATCAGTCATATGAATCGTTGTTAATAAAGTTACACAACCACATTTTCATGTCCGGCCCAAGCACGTTGACGGAGATGGTAGTTGTTGATAGTTCGCTCATTCTGTTCGGCCCGTCTTCTGTCACGCTCACATGTGGTAGTATGAGTCCCAACACTGTTGGCTCCACCTCGAAGATGCAAGATAGTGTTTTCAAAGGGAAGCATGGTACCATGAAGTAATGTTGAGTCGAAACTCCTGCAAAATATCGATGAACATTGGCAGCAAAGAAATTTAATTACAAACCATAGCGTATTCTCATGTGATTCAAAATAATAGCCATACTGAAGTGCACAAAATGCAAACTCACTCCACTTCTTCTCGGCTTGCAACACAAACTGAGCACAAAGTGAAGGAGTAGCGTCCTTATCATAATGCTGTGGTGCTGTGTAGCCTGAACAGTTGAAGAGGTTGAGACCACATAAGCCCACTCTTTCACAAAGCGCTGACTGGTTCTTGATCTTCTTGACTAGATCAGGGTGAACAGCTCGTGCTGTTGCCAGAATTGTAGCTGACATCTGAAAATTATATCGAATATGTGAAACAGATTAGAATGATAACTAAACAAACCTCAGCCTGCTCAAAAAGTACGGTGATTCCCCATAATGTATCAGCATTGATACCTTGGTAGAACATGTAATGATCTGCTAGATGGCCTCCTGATGGCTGCCGTGCACCAAAGGGTATCATTTGCCCAACTACCCAGAAGTCAAATTTACCACTGCGTAGAACTGGCTGGACACCCAGTGGAGTTTGTGAGTAACGAACCAGGCGGTTGAATGTGCCATTTGGACCATGTGAAAATGCATTGTACCAGATAAAATCTTGCTGTTGGATAATGAAAAAAGACGTCTAGTTTTACAGATTATCACACACCAGTTTTTGTTTTGAAAATAACAGAAAAATATGTTTACCACAATGCTGTATAACTTCTTTGTCACGTATAGCTATCTTGCGCAGCCCAATTTCATCTGGATCCACAATCTCAGCAGTTTCGCTAGCCTTTCTGCCCTATCCATACAAGCTGTAAGATAATTATATATATGAAAACTTGTATTCTGACCTTGCGAGGTTTCATGCGTTCTTCAGGTGGTACTTTGGTTACTCCGACTCCTTCCCAGCGTTCAACAAAATCCGGATCTGTGTTCAGTTCCACATCTATACGCTGAACACAACACTTTTCAGGAACCTCTGAAGCACATTTTGTACAGTGCAGAATATTCGGTTGGTGAGTCTGTTTGTCAACATCTTTCAACAGATCACGAAGTTCCATAGATCGTTCAACAATAAAAAATATAATTTCATTCCATTCTCTCTTGGCACGGTCCCATTGACATTGATTCAGTCGCTGAACTTGGAGGTATTACATAGTCCGGCGATAAAGGGCTTCACTATTGCAATCCCAGACCTAACGGTGGCTCCTCAGATCAGTATTAAATCTTACGCACAAAGAGAACATACTCGATAACCAGCGGCATCTAAGCCCCAAGAGGGCCATCTTCTCCATGCAAATTGGAAATTGTCGCTAGAGCAGAGAAAAAATATAGCTGCAGGATTCGAAACTTTTGGGATGAGGTTTGGATGGGAGGTGATCGCCTCAATTAAGTCATGTCCGCTCTGCATATGAAGTGTATTTTCCTGCAATTGGTAAGTAAGGATAGACCATTTTCGAAAACATCCCTACTTTATTGTATCCAGCTGGTGGATTTTCCTTAAGGGATTCTTCGGCTTGCTGAGCCCATTCATCAGGTGTCCAACGCCCAAGAACATCTCCTAACACTAAACCAAAGCCAAATCTTCGTGCGTAACTGGCTTGATGAGGTTTATCGTAGTAGGCTGAACGATTTGTGAGCTCCAGAATGGTACGTGCCAGACCAGATGTCTGGAAATTGTAAGTATGCTGAAAAGATACCGGAAGAAGGATTTACCACCACAGCGTTTATGAATTCATGTTGATTGTATGTATATTTTCGTACTTTCTTCATAGCTTGTATGGCGCGTGCCACTTCACGATGACCTATCTCCAAATCTTTGGCAGATCTTTCGTCGGCATCAGCCTATAGTACAATTTATATCAGGAGAAGTGACATCCAAGTAGAAAAAACACACCATCAACAAATGGTTTCTTAATGTCGAGTTCCACTGTTTGCAAAGTGGAAGATACGAAGTTTTGTCTGGAGATGGATCTCTTTGACGGCGATTTTGGATCTTTTGGCGCTGATGATGATGTTTATCATCGTCGTAATCGTCGTCGTAATCGACATCGTAATCGTCGTCGTAATCGTCGTCGTAATTGTCGTCGTAATTGTCGTCGTAATTGTCGTCGTAATTATCGTCGTAATCATCGTCGTAATCATCGTCGTAATCATCGTCGTAATCATCGTCGTAATCGTCGTCGTAATTGTCGTCGCTGTCATTATCACTGTAATCCTCATTGTTGTAGTCCTCATCACTGTCATTGTCTGAGTCCAAATCGGAATCCTCCGGGTCCTGTAGCTCATCCTCATATTGATTTATCAGATCTAGCGTGAGGTTCTTCTGGTGATTGAAGAGCTGAAAATAAGTTGAGTATCTAAACCATCACCACAAGGAACATCTACTACGTTTAATCCAATTTGTTCTTGCCAACTACTCAGCTCTTGCAGTGCCTGTTCTATTTCACCATAGGAGACTAGTACTTGGACACTCAAGAACAAGTTCAGAGCTTCAACAAGTGGTTGCTCAAAGTCAATGAGGATAGCGTCATGTAGCCAGTTGAGAATGGTTTCACACTGTAAAATAAGAAAGTGAGGACCTCTTTATCAACTGATGGTTTTTAATTGACCTTGACCTGATCCTCCATCCATCTTTCAACCCATGGATCTCGCCATTCCTCGATGATACATGCAGATATAACCTCAGAGCTTTGCCTGGTTTTCCGCCCTTCTGTGCTATATATGGCATGTAACTTGAGGTGTTCCTTATGAGATGAGTTGATATCTTCAGCAATGATTGACGGAACGTTTGGAAGGACCGGGTAAGGTAAAGATATATAAGACATGTAGAGCTCTTCGAAGATAAGTGAACAGAGAAAACAATCTGATCTGGTCTCATGTGACTTAATTATTGAGAAACACGGTGTGACTTGTTTCTCGTGTTGTTTGTTGAATGCTCCAAACACTGGCCAGCTATAAAAGCTCGGTTCGTTCTTGTCCTTTACTTTTTCAGACTCATACTGATCCTTCCACACTAGGCTTGATGTGTCGTCCGATGGACCTCCATGCTCATTTGCGATAGCCTAGTGAGGGCTGGTATCTGGATAGTCTCCCTTCTATATCACTTTTTATATGTGCACCTGTGTCGAATGCTCCCTCAAGTGCGTAGATTCACCTTCCACACTTTTTATTTCTCACTTCAACTTTTGTTCAAGTGGATTCCTTACATGCTTACACGCTAACGAACTTCTTACCGACCTCTGACAGACCCCAACTTGCTAATGCGCTGACAAACTCTCCAACGCGCCAAGAACCTCCAATGCGCCATGAACCTCCAACGCACCTCCAACGCGCCAATGCGCCTTCGAACCTCCAACGCGTCATGAGCCTCCAATGCATCATGAACCTCCGATGCACCATCGAACCTCCAATGCACCTCCAACGTGCCAATGCGCCTTCGAACCTCCAACGCGTCATGAGCCTCCAATGCGTCATGAACCTCCGATGCACCATTGAACCTCCAACAAACCTCTAACGCGCCATCGAACCTCCAATGCTCCAATGAACCTCCAACGCTCCAACGAACCTCCAACGCTCCAACGAACCTCCAACACTCCAATGCGCCAATGCGCCATCGAACCTCCAATGTGCCAGGAGAATGCAAAGAACAAAAAGAGGAAAGGCATGGAGGTTAAATACACTGTGACTACGTTTGGAGATGGAAGGCTTCTTTCCCTCAGGACAGTCTGATTTTTGAGTAGCCTGATTTTTGAGTGGCCATTTGTCAAAGTCGTAAGAATCAAGCCTATAGATGAGTCAATCAGATGGAGAAGCTTTCTAAGAAGAACAAAAGACAGCATTATGTCGAACGAGTCAGCTTCAACCGTGGAAGTAAGAGTCGAAGTAGGGTTGTAGATTAAAGAGGAGGACCAAAAGGAATCGCAATTCCGCAGACAAACAAAGCAAGTGTATAATCCAATGTCTTAATATACAACGTTATAAACGTACAACGGGGTACCTGACAGATACAGAGCAGAATATTGTCCTATATGAAGCCTCCTCCGTGTCTTCGTCCTCTTCGTCATCCTCGGGGCCGTTAGCGTCTTCCGTCTTGGCGGGTTTCGTTTCGTGGTTGAGCGGTGGACCTGCGCCTTCCTTCTTGAATGTGTCCTTGACCTCCCATAAACCGTTGTGTTCTCCGCTCCGATGGAGATACGCAGTTTCTGATGGGACCTCTTTCGGGTAAGCCTCGAGTGGTCGTGTCTTCTCTCGCAAAGGTTTGACACCCCGCCGAGGAGTATCTCGGAACAAGGCAAAGAGAGCATCGAGAAGTTGATTCCTCGGCATGCGAGCCATGTGCTCGAAGGCGCCTTTTGCCGGTTTCTTGTTTGTTGCCTGTGTTGATGAATTGGTTAGAGATCTGTGACAGGAAGACCAAAGCATCAGATGTACAACAAGGTCCCTGAACACACCACCGGCACCCACGCCAACTCCACTACTAAGCCTGTTGATTCCACCTCTACCGCCTGCAACCCCAGCATTCTCAATCATCTTGATTTGCCTAAGAGGTGTGTTGTACTTTTGGTGACGTTCTCGCATCTGCTTGCGGTATCGTGGACCAAATGGAGGGCGAAGAGAACACTCGTGTTTGATGCGTCCAGTGAGGATAGTTGTTCTAGCACGAGGATTCGGAGGAGATGAAGGATTCGACGATAAACCAAAGGAAGCATCCTTAGGTCGCTCTGCGACCACGATGTGGTTGGCTACGTTGTCGTTAACCATCTCGAGCTCATAGCAGTCAGGTTCAGCATCGGAAGAGCTCTGCAATGCATTAGCTCCAAATACAGGCCAATTCGGATTTGGCGAAGTGGTCGAGTCATTTTGTTGTGGACAACGAATCTGGTCCATTCTTGTGTGAAAGCTTCAAATGCTTTGGATTCCGTAGGTGATCAAACCATCGAGGTCCAAGCTGGGAATGAATCCAAGATTCTCTGTGGAAAGTTTGTTGAGCTGGCAGACCATAGCCATGAAGCGCTTCTTCACCTCGTCGTTCACGATGTTGAAGGGCTGAAGGAAAGAAGAAAAAGAGCGTGTCGATCAGTACTGGGGATTTGCGTTCGCGTTCTCTTTCGGATTGTGGCGCGGTGGAGATCTGGAGGAGATATTTGATCGTTTTTCTGGCGGTTGCACTATGACGTTCATTTGGTCTGCAGGACGCTTGATGCCTAAATGGACATCGAAGAATTGATTAGATCATGTACCACCAGATTCATGGTACTAAGCTTTCTGAGGAATGCTCAGCAAAGCGACATACGCTTTGTGTGGTGGATCGACCGGGAGCAAAGAACTTGAGCCCAAAACCGCATAATTCGCCGTTGAACGCACCGTGTTTGCCATTATCACGGAACCATTCACCCATCGCACATGCAGAGGAGCAGCTTCCGAGGCGGTTGCTGTAGCAATGGTTGTGTATTTCATGGCGTCATTCTCCTCGAGAGTCTTGACAAGCTGAGCAACAGTCGAACGTTTCTGGCCCACAGCGACGTACACACAGTAAAGCATCTTGTCTTCGTCCTTACCATCGTTGCAGCTCTTCTGGTTAAGGATGGGGTGTCAATCGCGACTGGAACCATGCGTAGTCACCAGGTTCAAACCCGCCAATAGGAGGAGTCAGAACGATGAGTTTTCTGAACCGTGCGCGACGCTCGTCAGAAATTTTGGATAGAGCTGGGTCACTGCAGGAAGGGCTGCAAGCACATGAGGAAATATCATAGGGAGCGAGACTCTGAGCTCGCTGGGCGGCAGAGTCAAGAACGGGGCAGTATTCGACTGTGATCTCTGCTCCGACTGGGATATCGCAAACTGCACAGACGCGGACAGTAAGCGTGTCGGTGTGCCAGTAGAAGACAGCGTTGGGGCAGCAACTGTAGAACAAATGACGTACGTTAGTATAGGATTGACTGTTTCGAACAGGAAAATTTCACTTACCAATGATTGAGATGTGAAAATTCATTGCAGGTAGCGGAATACTGACCCAGTTTACCGGTCGAACCTAACGAGCGACTGACAAGATGTTGAAGTTTGAGGTTGCTGGTAACATGCAATAATCATGTCTTGGGCCGTGTAACAGTGTATAGGATTGAATCGAGGTGCAGTTCGACAAGCACTAACTGCCGGAAAGAGACTCCGATACTCCGGTAGGGGCCGGGAGTAACCGGAGGAGCCCGTAAAGAAACGCTTGTGATTAGCAGGCTCTCTCTGCTACCTCCCTCTCTGCTCTAGACGATGAGCTCGTCTCTCATTCTTTGCTCTACGCTATCAAAGGCACTTATCAAGCGCTCCCTCATACGCTCCTCTACTCAAGGTAAGCTCCATCACCTCCTAGTATAAAATAAATATCCATGACATGGACATTCCACAGACATTCCACAGTTAGACAGTCAACCAGCGATCACTTTGCCTACGTCCCTGGTGGCCGTGCATAATTGCTTGCAACTCTCTGGATATGTGCTTAACGCAAACCTACTCTTTAGCAATATACAAAGGCACCGTGAATTATCCTACAACTTTCCCTCCTCCATCACAGTTCGTATCACTGGGCATTTGAACGCCTTGTATCCGCCGCCCTCGTTCCTATGACTGTTGCCGCATTTGCTACGAGTGGGACAAACTACCCTATCTTCGATGGTATACTTGGTCTCAGCCTTATAATCCACAGTCATATCGGAGTGCGTCTTGTTGAACCTTTTTGTTCACAGCTTGTGAAAGCTCACCTTTTTTTGTTAACTTAGTTTGATTCTTCTTGCTGTCAACTACTTACACCCTCGCAAATTCTCTGTTCTTGGCCCGATCGTAAAATGGACTCTACGAGCGGCAACTGTTGGGACTATGGTTGGGGTGTATCAATTCAACACGAATGATATTGGTGCGCTTTGTATTGTCATTTTGTTCTCCATCCCAAAACTCATGTTGTTACAGGTCTTACCGAACTCATTGCTAAAGTGTGGGCTGCATGAGCTGAAAGACCCAGGTATGTAGTACTCGGGCTGGTCACGTCGAACGGAAAGCTTTAAGGCTCTTTATTTGTATATTTTCTCTTCCATGTTCAATGAATCATCGGTACTATGATCTTGTATGGTTGTCGTCCCCAAGTGCGCCCCAGCATCAGGCAGGAGAGCGAAAGAGCATGTGCTATTGTGTAAAGCAACATTTCAGATACCGGGTTAGAAAAATGTAATTTTCAATGTGGCAAACATATGCTCCTGTATTCGTCATATATATCTAAGAGGAGGTAGGGATAGGCTTTTGCTTCAAACAGAAAGGTTCGGTTAGAGACAGTGTCGAATATTGGCAAGTGTATAGTACATACATATGCAACAGCATCAAAGTTGTATGATATGCCGAGTTTCTTCAGCTTGCTCTTTTTATCGTTCTGTCGCCTGAGCAAACGTTTGGTTGCTTTGGCCTGTTCTTCCAGAGTTCGCAGCTAGGGGAAAATGCCTGAGTATAGTGTTCCATTCAATTGAGAAAGTCAACCGATTTTGTTATGCTTGACTCGTGCGACACGCTGCATAGGTACAACTCTCCATTTCCTATTCACGCCTACCCATAACTCCGGATGAATCTGGTCCTTTGGTATGACTTTGCACTGGAGGATATGTACCATGACTAGGTAATTATTCATAGTCTCCGCAACAATTTCAGCAACTGAGAATGAATCAAATTCCAAGAAACTGTAATGTTTGGATCTTCCAGTCTAAGGTCAAGACACATCAGTCATGTTTGGTCTCCAGATAATCAACAACAGGTTGACCTTTTTATTTCTAGAGATTTGCAGCTGAGTTACATTCCCAAACTGAGAAAAATATCCCTTGAGCTGATCCTTGTAGAATCCATGGGGTAGATGTCCTAGATACAAGACTCCCCAGTTTACGGCCTGTAGAGACATTTACATATTAGGGAACACTATGAGACACTTCGTTGATGAATTACCAGTTGTTTTTTGGCTCTCTCTAGTCTTTTTTGTACTGTTCATTATCGTAGTCACTTTCTGTTGCTTTCTCTTTGCCCTTCCCTGCAAGAGGACAACATGAGTTACTATGTATCAGTGCCGTATCCTTGCACAACTTAAACTCATATTAACAACTTTTCAAATTATATCGAGACATGAACTATTAGAATGACATATGATGTAAATGAGAATATCAAGATTCAAGCCATATTATAGGTTCCAGCTGAATCTAACATTTGGATCAAAAGCCAATGGTGAATTGCAACCTGAGCATTCTTGATTTTGGCATCAGGATTGTAAGTATCTTTGAGTAACTGAATAAGATAAGAAGCTGGAATCCTCATGGACCTTGAGCATGTCCGAAAAGAGCAAGATCCAGATTGAAGATATGCTGCCCGTAAACTGTCACTTAGTCCATGAGGAAGATATGAAGTATCATTATCATCAACGAGGATGATCTAGGTGTCTTTTGAATATACATTCATTAATTATTAATTAGATAGAATGCTCACTTGCATTGGCTCGCCATCGCGAAGTACTCTTGGTGCACCTGTCACAGCCCAACACATCAAACGCATTCGGAATGTAGGAGATTGCAATCCAGACAGGCTGGCTTTGACCTCAGGGCTAAATCGGTCCTTGGTAACAGCAAGTAGCTGTGGGCACGGTGCTCCAATGCTGACAAGAAAGTCTTTGATGACATCTTCGAAAGTCTTCCCAGCAAAGTGAGGACCAGCAATGCTAAGTGCATCTGCCAATTCATCAAGGAACTGATTCCCTAAGCTACAAATCATGCGTATGTCAAGAGATTTGAAGTCACAGATTGTTGATGCTTCGGCAGTTCAAACAAATTCTTCAGGACCTCCAAAGAAGCTGTGCACAATCTAAAAGACAACATTGAGTTACTAAAGCTATCCATATATGTAACACTTACATCAGCTAAATTAAAGCCTGCAGCGCCAGGGAGCAAGAAGCCTTTAATGAAAGCAGTAAAATATGCATTCTCAACTCCAACTGGACCAATAACAACGTTATGCAGCATTTCTGATGCAAGTTTTTGGTGACCAGCTTCTGAACGACCATTTAATACTCCAATCTGACCATAAAGGATTATAAGTGTCATTAAATTCATTGACAGAATCTGATACAAATACTGCACCTGAATGTTATGATATGAGGCAAAATGGGAAGCAAATTCTCCAATACTATCAGTGGGTCCAAGGTTGAGCCACCGATCAAGCATCTCGCTGACAGAAGGGAGATATGAGGAGACTAAGTCTCGATGAAGGCAGGATAGGTCACAATTATTGAGAAGATAGATTAGAAGAAGGGGATTCAAGTGCCCTGGGTAATGACCATACACAAGAGCCAATGCAGTGACTGCCCCAAACAACACTAGCTCTTCATGCTTGCTGGGCGATATTTGCAAATCCATGCACTGGAGTGTGGTGTAGTCTTCATAGAGTGTAGTACAGAATTCATCTTCACGTTCCTCAAAGAACTGGTGGAAAACTTCAGTCATAGTTGATTGTTCAAGTCCAGGACCTGAGGAGACATAATTGTCTTGGTCATCCACCCTGTTGTAACAAGGTTCAATAATTTTCATAGGCAGAGGAGAAAGCTTGACATACCGCATAAAGTGGCAGTCTGGTGATAAAATTCTAGTCCAGTCTCCACTTTGGATTGAGGTCCTCATCAGTACAATCAGCTCTGCTGCAAGCTCTTGTTCATTAGTACCCTTCACCTGAAACCCAGGACTGACTATTCCTTCACGCTGGATTTCTGATGTAGTTTTAAAGATAGCATGAACACGTTCATCATCAAAGAAAATAGGAGTAAAATCAAGAGGGGGAGGTTGAATCCAGCGTTCTGCCCATAGCTTTTTTGGTAACAACTGATCTGTGGTTGAAGAATTTTGTATCTAGAGCAAAAACTGGTACAAGAAAAGTAAAAATGAGGTTGAAAAAGGACATACTGGAGCAGGAGGAGGGGAAGATGGTTCCCTTGGGAGAGCATTGGGCCCTATCAATGGCGAGTGAAGCAGGTGATCATCCAGTTCTTCTGATGCTGGTCTCATCAAAGACTGTGCAACAACAGCTGCATCCTAAGAAAGAACATCAGAAATTATGATTTAATGAGAGAAAGGTAAATTACCTCTTCATCACTGTCATTATTGTCCTCCTCACACGACTCTTCCATTGCACCAGCTTCCAAAGCATGGGTATCAAGCTTTGCATCATAATCATTGCGAAACATATTATATATACGTTTTAACAAGCATTGATGAGGACGGACAGTATTATCAGATCCCAAGTACACCTGAGCCAAGCTGATATTAGCCTCGAGTGAATAATTCTGGATGACTGTAATATGAATGTTAACCGATGGCATTAGTCTTGCAATGATCACTTACTAGTATGAAGTTGAAAATGATTGTTTTTTGTAATAATAAGTTTCGGAACTACATATACGCCATTGCCGTTCAAAAGGTGTCTAATAGTGGTGGTCGTCTCATAGGGCATGGTCCTGAGCTTTGCAGTATTAAAACTTTCATTAGCTCTACCATGATTACTGAATCCCATGAGATGTAGAGGTAGAAGCTCTTGTGGTGCAAGTGGTAAGGATGATGAAACAGAGGGAAGATCATATCATTGCCTTAGCTTGGTAGTGATGTCAGAGAGCAGGTCAAAGACAGTGGTTGAGGTTGGCAGGTTTGGGTACTGATGAAATAGACCAAGCACTTCAAGGAACATGTGGTAGGCATCTTTGTTAATTTCGTAGAAGATCGACTGCCTCGGAAGTCGGTAGAACTGGAAAATAGTTCATTAGTGAATTGATCCATTTCCAGAGAAAATCACTCTCACATTAATATCCGTCATCGGAGGCATTGGTAGATAAACTAAAACATCAATGCTCACCACTTCTACTCCTCCTGTAGCAATACTAATACAATCCTCAATACTTGGGCCTTGATCCCAACGACTAAGCCCTGGTGGACAGACTGCCTTTCCACGTCGCTTTCCTTTCCTTGAGCCTTGTGGAAGAGACTGGTTCGCATGCTCAAGTCGCATGTTATTTGTCCGCTGTATGGTAGTTAAACCAGAAAAGCCTGGGGCTGTAGTGACGCGAGGGTGTCCCTGTGAGCCAGCAATTCTACCATATCCATCTGTAACATTGGACAGCTGCATACTAGCATATGGCCTGCATGGAGCAGGAGGAGGCAATGGTAAAATTTCTGAAGATATGCGGTTATCTCCAGGATTCAAACCAGAGAGAGGTTGTGCGTCGATGTTCGAAGCCTGACTAGATGTTGGAAGACTCGATATTAAATGTTGACTGGTAAGAGAAAGTGGTGCTGGAGCAGATGCAGCGGGATATGGGGTTTGGGAAGTGCCAGAAGAAGAAAGAGGTGACATCTGATTCGACATTGGCCATTGTGTTGGGTATGGAGCAGCTGTGGGAAGGAATACAGCCCGATTTTGGCTCAAAGAAGATGAAGGATAAAATCCCTGAGAAGATGGCAGAAGCTGAGAAGATAGCGGAGGGTGTGCCTGAATCTGCTGCTGAGAGGATAGTGGAAGGTGCGCCTGACTCTGCTGCTGAGAAGATAGCAGAGGGTGCGCCTGAATCTGCTGCTGAGAGGATAGTGGAAGGTGCGCCTGACTCTGCTGCTGAGAGGATAGTGGAAGGTGCGCCTGACTCTGTTGCTGAGAAGATAGTGGAAGGTGCGCCTGACTCTGCTGGGACAATGCTTGAGACTGCCAAGCAAAGCCAAATGGAGGAGTTATCAATAGAATGTGTGTGTCGAGTGAGAAGCACTTATATTTAAGGAAAGTTGAGAGTTTGACAATGGAGAAGAGACAGAAGGTGCGATAGACTGATTGGGTGAATTCTGGGACAACGTCTGTGAGAGCAGATATGACTGTATGGGATGTTAGAAACTGCAATGAAGACATAGTGCAAACATACTTGGAGCAGTAAGGGGTTTTGACTCAGTAACTCCAGCACTTGAACATTTGGTGTACCCACAAAGGACTGTAGTAGGCGGGAGATGGAGTCAGGATCGCCATTTGGATTACCGTCGCTGCCACTACCAGCATTGCCATTCATGATTGTGATGCGATAAACCAAAGAAAATGCAGAGGGGATCGGATGTATTTATTCATGGCGGATGATGTATATTACATTTGGGACTAATATGGACAGGATTGTTTAAGGGGGAAAAATCGGCAGTTGCTGGACACCAATGGAAAAGGCGTTCATCATGTATTGGGAAGTCATCACTAATAGCCCAGAAAACTGTTGTCAGGGTGGCTGGAAGCAGACGATCATGTATCTAACAGCAATCAGTCATGTCATTAGAGACAGAGAAATAATTTGTGTAGACTGAGACAAAATAGCTAAGGCAGAACAAGATACTATTTGAGCACATTGGCAAAAGCATAGAGATGCCGAGTGGAGGTTGGGAGATCTGAGATTAAGAATCTTGAAATAGAGCTTATACACCATTGAGACAACACCTAAGTGCCCACGCGGATCAATAGAGGGTATGGAATATTGAACGAAATCTGCTGTCATATTAAACATACGCTAACAGCCTGGGGCACACCCCCCTCGGGTGGGGAAGGGTGGGTGGATTCACACAAAAGAGCTTAGAGATGAGAGTGTAGTTCGAAGGCTGATAAGCGCCTGCTCTCATCGCCACATCTTATCTTATCCTCTGAGAACTGTGTTCTCTCGGATTCTGTTTGGGCTCCGAATTCTCAAATCATCTATTCAGACCCAGAGCATCTGTTAGCTACAAGAAACCATCTCCAATGTGACTCGAGCTCTACACTATTTGTCTACCTCAAGCCCCACCATGACTCGTTCGAATGGAAGCAGAATAAAGGACCTGGGCCCTCGTTCTCTAGGGCGCCATCATCTTTCCTATCATCTTCGATTGTAACCGCTAGGCATAGTACAAAGAAATCAAGAAGGAAGAAAGGAAGTGTGTTATACAATATGGTCCAAAATTGAACACCGATTATCCGAGGCGTATCCAGATGCAGCACATACATCATCGGCCTTGGAAGGACAGAAGTGTTAAAAGCTTCAGCCCGCATTCCTCATACGAGTGAGGTCGTACTTGCAACGCAAAGTTTCGTGATTAAGAGATTGATGAAGATTAATATTGACCAACTTAGCATCGACAGGCTTCAAGTCATGATTCGCATCAACTCTCCAGCTACTCCTGCTGCTTATGCGGAAATCACCTCAAGACACCAGAACATGTCCTCATGCAATGTCATCGTGCATCGCAAATACACATTGGTCTTCGACAGTAGTTCCGGACCTCGGCCCTTCCCTACATCTTAAACTGGACTAACGAACCATGTTCTAAAGCAATGCATATTCTCCTGGTCTTGTGTGATCTCCTCGGCAGGCTATGTCCAGACAGTTCTACAAACCCGGTCGACGTTACTTGACACTGCACAAGAGGACTATGGTAGTAACTAGGGAGAAATACCAGTGCTAGCTGCTTGTTTACTTCTGAGTGGTCATGCAGGCGGCGGCTTCCGTGATGGAACCCCACGTTCGGTGTAAACGTGTAATCTTATTCTCATTCGAAAAAATGACCATTCTGAGTTTACTTGGCTTCTTTAAACCTTCACTACTTGCGACTCCTGACAAATGTTCAGCTCAGCTCAGCTTGAACCTTGGGACTGTGCCCTTTTACATGAAGCTTACGAAGACCGCATAACAGACTATTTTCAGCATATGTATACTTTCTCTCGGGCCTGCTTACTCCGTCGATGAAGGCCCGCTCAGGTGCGGAATCGTTCTCTGTTCTTTTGATTTCTCATACAGCATCATCTGATTCTCCTGGTGTCATGATAATCTCTGGTGGCTCTATGGAACAAACCTTCACTTTCTTGCCCAAGGATTGCAAAAAACCAGGAAAATCCTCAAAAACCCCCTTTGATTTATTACTGCTGTCTGCTCATCATCTGCCCCGAATCACACTCTTTTTTTATCATTCAGACTTGTTTCAACTCGATTTTCTCACAAATTCTTTGTCTTATTTCGGCATTCAGGAGCTGTCTCCTTCCCCTGGATGTGCATCAGGGATTACCAAACCTGGCGAATTTCTGAAGCTATCCTGGGGGGATTGGTGAAACTTGCCGGTATCATAAATGAAATCTCGGATGCATTAGGCTTTCACAGTGTAAGCACTCTTTCTGAAATCCAATAGCCACCCCTGCACTTTAATACAACAATGTTTCTTTAGACATCGATATGGGCAACAATCTCATTGAAGGGATTCTATCTTCAACAACGGAACTTCCAAGGACCTAGAATCGAGTTCATATTGAAGCGGAGGCTTCTTTCCTAGACGGGATGAATACTGATACTGAAGACTTTACGACATTAGTATTATCTATTCCTGGAAAAGTCGAAGTTGATAGCTTGTCCACGTCACATTTATTGTCCGCAAAATCGGCCACCTGTGAAAACGATAGACTTATGGTCTACAAAGCTAAGTGCACAACAAGCTCAACACTGCTAATTTATCATTATTAAATGATGACAACGTCGAGGTTTGGCTTATGAGCTCTTCCTTGAGCCTCGGATGTTTGAACAGGCTTATGCCCAGTTTGAACCTTCGCTTTACAAGCCCAATTTCCAGATTCAGTGACCGATTGTTTCCCTTCAAGTATCTTACCCTTATCGCACATTAAGCACATTAACCTTCTATGTTTGGAGGATTTTTCTTCTTATCTCGCCGCTTTCTATTTACATATTAGTTTAGTGATGTATTTACCGACGTTCACCCACTTCTTACCAGACAAAAGTTCGGCCAATAACTGCTGCCTTTGACCTATTGCAATGAAGAAATATGTCACTCAGAAAGCTCCTTATTCCGATTCGAAGTAGCCGAATCCGGGCCAGGCTTATTCGTGCACAATGTATTTTGACGAAGAAGATTTCGCCGCTCATTAGCAAGGTAGGTCCGTGTCCGTCTTGTCCGTTGAATGTGGTTCTATCCAGACTTGTGTGGATTTTCATCCCCCGAGAATCTTCCTCGACTCGGGTGTATTCTAGGTGTATTCAACAGGATACATAGCTCCCCCCGATTGGTGGATTAAGTGGGTAAGTATGCTGTATCTTAACGGCAGGATTCTTTATGAATCGTCCGGAGAAACATTCCTAATGTCTAGAGTCGCCACCAGTACTTATTATTACGGTCTAGATAGCATCCATCTAATCAAGTTGCTTCAATTTGTCCCAATTGAGTTGAACAAAAGAAGTCGAGTTAAAATCCTTCGAGGCGGAGCTTATAACGCTTAAGTGCAAAGGGTGGGAGGACTGAGAAAGATATCACTGGAAAATACCCATACTTACGCACGATGTGATCCTACGTTCCTCCGCCGTCTATTGACGAACCCTCGAAATGCCACTTTGCTCGGTATAACATGAATTACCTGGACAGAACGACCCCGTTCCTGAAGTAACTTGAACGCGGCACGATTTGCAAACATCCCGCAATGCATCCGAGCTGAAAGTGGGTCATCCAAATCAGCCGGAGTGACCGAGGAAAAGAATGGGACACGGGTGTACATGCACGAAGTCGTAAGATACGGCGTTGTTCGCCAAGGGAGCAAAGGGAGCAATTGGGAACTTTACATAGCTTATACGATTACGCATAACGGAGCCATGCCCGACTTCATATGCATTAAGAGTTATCAGAATCTGATTCATCCACAGAACGCTCTGAATAACCATCATGTATGGTCCAAAGATCATTAACAAGTTCCTTGATATCGTCCAAGCTATCAACCAGACCTGGTAAAATACCAATCTTGCGCCGATCAACACATGTCTGCGCGACTTTTGCATAGTCGGCAAACATTTCTGCAGTCCTGCTGTTTGCACTCAAAGTGGTGAACAAGGACGCAGAAGGGAGCACGGGATTTCTTTCCGTGTGCAATGTTTGCCTATGATTGGTGAGGATCCCCTCATCGCGAAAGATGTCAGGGAAGGAAGATGGCAAAGGGTAAGCTTGTGCATGCGTGCTATGTATAGAGCGAGATTAGTTCGAACCAAAAGATAACATTCAACGTTAGCTTGCCGTGCAAAAAAAAAACTACATGCTAGCATTGAAAATTGAACTCAGAGCATACCTTGAGACAAAAGGTCCTTTGATGACTTCTTGGGAATACCACGAATTGTAGGCTTGAAGATTTGAGGCAGAAAACCCTCGTGTAACATCTCTTCGAGCGAAATTCACTGTTGCCTAGATAATACATATAATAAATGACAAACAAATTTCTCAAGGAAAGGGTTTCATCATACCATCGAGGAATTTCGAAGAATTGAAAAATTGAATGACTGTCGCAAGAAGTCTTGTGGCGTAGCACCGGGAGCCACTGGGAAAATCCCTGCCAACTGACTGAATCGATGCGTTCCATGGAAATTGAGATTCTCGGAAATGCTCGAGATATCCTCATTATTTACTTTCAATCTCGAGTATTAGTCAATTCTCCCGTCGGAAGTATCAGCTTCAATGTTGGCGCTCACCGAAGAGGAAGAGTCGCGCTCTCAATGTGCGCAGAGAGTATCGAGGATATGTGATAGTGGTCATCCTGTAAAATCATGCGATCAGCTGCAAACAAGGCGGAGGGTTCTTTACGAATTTGTCTTACGCTGATTTTTAGGTTTACGTCCCAATAATCTTGAGACCATGTTTTCGGGTTTAGTATGGGAACGGTTAAAAGAGATAAACTGTCTAGCTCTCTCAGGTAGACAGCGTCGTTGACAATTTTCCTTGTGAGCACCGCCTAAGCATAACGTATGAATGTCAGCTGTTGTAGAAAAGATGAGAATAAATTCACATTTTCCACATTGACGTTCCGCGGTACGGCATCCCCCATCAGCGGAAAGGATAAGCAGGGCGCCCTCGAAAATTCGTCATTGAACGCCATGAGAAACGAGGTCGAAAAAGATCCAAAAGTTGAAGTGTCACTCATCAATTGTAGACCCTTTGTGAAATTATTCAATTGTAACGTTTTTGGGAGACATGAAAGTGGCAAATTAACCTGGAATGAATCACATTCCTCTATGAATAAACGAACAGAACTTTCCATCAGCTCTGTCTCCTAAACGGTTCGCGCATAAGTGTGGTATCGTTACGGTAGGAAACTACATGGCATACTTCGTTGTATCGCTGGAACGACTCTTGACCAAAAGCCCAATCCCCTTCAGATTGCTGCCAGTCTGGAACATCCGGGAGCATTTGGATTGTCCGAGGAATATAGAACACACGGTTGAAATCAGACCAATACCTGATGCCGTGGACGGAATCTAGTGCAGAGAAGGTAGACTCGCGGTCGCTCTGAAGGAGGTGTGTTTGGTAGGCATGTGGTTCTATAGGCACATGTTCGTATTCAGCGACCTCTCCCTGCCTTCAAGGAAAGGGATAGGTCATGCCAATTTACATATGATTGAAGTACCCACCACAGCTGGGAATCTTCAATATCATCGTTCTCGTAAAATGTATTTGTTTTAGAGAGAGCTCCGAAATTGGCTATATTTCTTGGTTGGCACCGAGGAGCAAGTCATTCTGATAGATAGCTGAAGCATACCTTTACGGTCGAAGGATATCAGTCTTGGGCAATACGTAGGATCTCCCTGCATGAAGTTTTCGTTAGTTGGCTCCAACAGTTTGATAGGTCAATAAGTTTGGACCTGGGGCGTTTCACCTTCTCTGAAAGAAACGTCGTGATTGAAGAGAGTTTCTTCATGATCTGAGTAGGTAAAATAGCTCTCCTGAGTATTCCAGAAGTGTGTGCCAATGTAATTAGCCAAGTTTCCGGCCTGAACGTAAAGGATTTCTCGCATATTCAATATCTTTCACCACGATTCTGTGAGAAGAGACTGGTATTAGTGAGTCGAACTAGCTTTGGTGGTGATGACATACAGTGTACACTCAACGCCTCAACGTCAACGCTCATGAATGAAAAGATATGAAAAGATTTGATACCTAAAATTCTCACGACTTCGGCCACATAACCTAAGCCGGACCCGTTCAACCTGTTCCCCCGCATATGCATGCGTGATTGTTTCCCTCATCTAAGTACAGTGTTCGTATTTAGGAACATCAAAATGCTACTGTATCCAGACTCAAAGAAAGCAACACTCTTCAGAATTCACTCAACCTATCGAGTAAATGGAAGTTGCATATAACATGCATACCTATACATACATCGAATGATCTATGTGTATACAAGGCAATCAAGCGATATGATCATGAGAGGTATAGGCGAGAAACAATTAGCTACAAGTTTATGCGCAAGCGTCCCAGAGCTCGCTGATCTTCGGTAGACAGAGGCGTGTATATTTCATGGGCAGAGTTTGCACTATTGTGCCGTATAAAGCCTGGACGTTTCGGGTATTCCAACATTGAGATAGGAGGCAATGAAACTCTCTGATGAGGATTTCCAGGAATCGGCGGCGAAAGCGACGATGGGAAGGTGGAAGGATACAGAGGCCTTGCTGGAGAAACGGGTCGCAGTGGGTATTCTTCAACGAAACGCCGATGCTCATAATCTCGCGTCTCATCGAGTGGTGAATCTGGGGAATCCATTTTCGTCAGGGACTTGCTATTGACGAAGATACCTTCAGGAACACGTATACGTCGGAGATAGTCGTAATTCTCGATCACAGGTAATCGGGTGTAATCATTTCCCTGACCTCCGCATTCAGTACACCTACACACGCATCTGGAATTGAACTTACAGAGAAGTATGCTACAACATGCCACTTTCTAGTTTCATTTGTGCCAGGAGGATGTACTAGTGCTGAATATGTTTGTTTCGTCAAACCGTCAGGTTTTGTCGGGCGATCTTTTCGACGTATAGGTGGAGGTATTAGAGCGGCAGGATCGGATGCTCTACGTGCGCTGAATATTGCAGAGAAAGTATTCAAAAAGCAAGCCAAACGAGACAGCCAGGAGAGTTACCGCCGAGCAGCTTTAGCCTCTTTCTCTGCAGCAGTTGTTTCGACCTTTTCTTCGTAAAACAAGTAATCGCCACGCATTCGACTTTGTGACCTGAATTCATCATCGGTCAGCTCGGAGGCTGTGGTGAATGGCTGATAGTTTACCTACCATCGGCGACCATCAGTCCACCGTAATAAACCTCCTTCGTCTTCTGCTTCTTCCCATACAAAAACGTTCCCTGTAGATAAAGTATCTCTTTCGCTGGCGACTAATCGTCTTTTGATCAAAGGTAATATTCGAAGTCGAACAGCTTCGAGTACAACATGGGCATCCTGGGCATCCCGAATATCTGTAGCGTCATTCAACAGACAGTAAAGGTGCAGGAAAATACCAACTTACGAAGGGAAGGATGTGTGACGAAGACTTCGGAGTCTGTGGAGCCAGGGTACATGGCGGAGGATTTCAGGAAAGCATTGACCAACGACACAATATCAATTTATACGTGAGGGAGAGTCCAGTCCTTGAGTTTCGGCGAGTTTACGGACAATGAAGATTGAAGCAAATAGCCTGATATATCAGTATTCAATTCTGAAGAGGTGACAATTCTTCAATGTGGTAAGGATGTAAAAAGGTGTTCTCATACAAATGTAGAATTCGGCTCAAGAGCAAAACGGACCGTTGTTTTGCGGCCTTAATCGCGCCTAATCCACGGATCCCGCTTGCTTCATTACATCTGCTTGTATGCATTCAGAGCTTTTCGATGTGCCCCATTGAGGCTAGATAATCACAGGTCAGAACGACTCTTAGCAAAAGAAGCCATCCGAAGATAGTGGTTATTCTAGCTCCAAAACTCTCACTGCATATGATATTCTATAGATCGCGAGGTGCGACCAACGAGTTGGGCGAAACTTCGGAAACCAGAGATTTCCCCTGACCGAAATCTGATAGCGAAAGATCTGTGTCTAAAACCATCCAATTGTAAGTAGGGGAGAAGACTAGAAGTATAACTGACCATAATCGCGACAACAGAAACACCGATCAAGGGGAAACTATATAGAGGTACAAACTCACCCATACTACTGTCATTGCTTGTTTCTATGTATATGCGGCAATGATTGATAGCAGCAACACTATTGCTGAGTAATTGAGACGAAATCTGACGAAACGGAGTTAGAAAAAGAAGAGGCTGCCGGCTTAACCTCAACAGTTCGTATCGGATAAGAGCTAAAATCATCTACACTTACCATTACAACCAAAAATTACAACCCTGCTACCTCTGGTACATGGTGCAGCATGTGACCGACGCGCTGTAGAGTCTACGACGAAACAAATATAAGTGCTTACTTCTATGAGGGCTCAGGACTTTGCTTTTCACCACACGCAACGACGGATTGTAATTATTCAGCTAAGATGTCATGTGGAAGAATCATGAAAATAGGTTCAAATTTGCAACTGTCGACAGGTGAAAAACATCTTATAAGCTTACTGCCTTTTTACAGCGGACGAAGAAGGGACTGTGTGTTGCGGGGGTGCGTTGTTCCACGAGTACAAGGAATCTGAATGGGGGGGAATTAAGAGTGGTCTCATAATATGTATGCAAAAACCTCGTATTGACTTACCCAGACAAAGTATTCACTCCGAACCTTCCAGTTACCCAGATGAAGTGTCGCATAAATTGACGCGCTTGCACGCGGGAAGGGTAAACATTCCACCTGGCAATCAGTACGTAGCACAAAGAAAGCTCGAACGTCGTAGCTTTGCGGAAGCCTTGAGAGATCAACCGAATCCCAGATGTCAATACGGCTCGCCGCAGGTCATTTCGCTTCCGAAGTTTGAGAAAACTTGAAGAATTCCGGACAAGCGCGGAGAAAGGCCGTTGAAATTCACCATTACTTGACCTGCAGTGGAGAATATCAGAGAATATCTCGACAACTTAATTGGAATAGTCCCTACGTACTACGTGGGTATGCAATGTAATCCGATACACTCTGTTCAGGTGTATATTTGCATCTCATGCAATATGAACACGACCTCGATAGGCGTAGGTTTCTCAAGGGGCGGTTGAATTGTTTCTAAAGGTTCTGGTGGCTCGTTGGTGGGAACTTGGAAGAGCTTAGCCACTCGGCCCGTCTCTTCCGGCAGGCAAAACTCTAGATTCTATCCGTTGAAACCGTATGATTTACGTTGTTACAGTAAATTATGAACTATGTAGGGCGCTAGAGTGAGAACAGTAAACAATTGTTCATGCTAGATTGTACCAATTGAATATATGTGCGATAATGATATGATATGTGATGTCAATCCGAGAATTAACGATGAAAAAGGTAATCCGAAACCGAAGGAGAAGAGGCATGTTGAGTATAGGCTGAGGCAGAAAATCTAACGGAAGCGCTAAAGTGAAGTAGGCTCCAAAACATCTGGCTTGAAACGTAGTCGTGCTATTAGAACTGTGTTCCAAGGGTAACTGCCCTGCGCCGAAATTTTGTTGGAACATATCGGACTGCAAGACACGGGTTCACGGTAGGACGGTCCACCGAGTTCAAACGGTGTCTCCGTATCAGTTGTAAACGTGCCCCATGGCTGTGGGGACTTCGAAGAATTAAAGACGTTGAAATGCACCTGTGTTGGTAAGTAGGAAAAAGTCAGGAGACATATTTTCGTCTTAACAAGAAGATCAGCATTACCTGCCCATCGGGATGATTGTGGCTGACGAACAAGGCATATTCGGGTGTGTCCAGTGAACCAATGACTATCAAACAAACGAATCAGCACCCCAGATGCAAACAGAGGAGAAGGAAGGAAGGGAGGAACTCACCAAAAAACAAGTCTTCCTTCTGAATCTGATGCTGAGGCCCAAAAATTTCTAGCACAGTATCTACGTTGGCTTTGAACCACTTTTTTGGGGCGTCCAGATTTTCCACATAACGATACATCGTCGTTTCCGTACACAAATGTGCGGTCTTGTGCCCTACTCGTAGAGGGTAGGAATACCGGCGGGATACGTGTTTACTACGAAAAATTCAGTGTGTGAGGACCAGGTCAGCATATGTTAAACGAAGAGACGGCGATCATGAATTTTAGAGGAAGAAGAAGCAGAAGAAGAAGAGCGAAACAGACGTGAAAGATGATGATGATGGCCAGGGGTGGGCAAGAGAACGAATAGCTCTTTTTAGATTTTATCTCCGAAAAGATCTGCCGACGAAATTTCTACTCACGAAATATTTCCCCCACGTCCCTTGAGCGTCAACAAGCCTGCAATTGTATCTAAGCTCCTCTGAGCAGCATTTCTTTTATCTTGTCTTTGGTTCCCTGTGGAGACTTTTCCATATCCGTGAACAGACGGGAGGCTTTTTACACCATTTAAGACCGAATTCTGAGGATGAAAAGCATTGAAAAGGGTTATAAATTCACCCTTGGGTTTGGAGAGATATCCTACTGCTCCCAGGGCAACCGGAGCGGGACTCCACAACGGAAGCGTCACTGCGTAGGAAGAAAAGAGGTACAACTGTTAGAAACGAAGTAAGATAGAGAGTGGCCAGCCGCAATTTGAAGACAGCCAGGAATAGAACAACAAGAGTAGCATAAATCACTCACGCGAAGGATGGAACTCATGGACCAATAACAACCTATACCGTCTTTCATTTTGCGCTTCCGCAATGAGATCATTGGCAAGAGGGGGCAAATCGTATCTATCATACCCATTCACCTTCTTATTCCCAGTTACGAGTTCTTCCCCAGGCACCCGGCTGTTTTCATCATATGAACATCCATCGCCAGACTGCGACTCCCTCAAAGTGGAAGTGAATATTGATGAGGTCGCGCTGCTGGATGGCCGGACGGGCTTCACGGTCTTAAGGATCTGCGATTGCGCAAGGGTGACTGAGGTGATGTCGCTATTGTCATTGTCGTCATTGTACTTGAAATCTAATTCGGCCAAGCCATCACCAGGTAAGTGCAATGAGGAGGCAGGCATGAGAGGATAGGGGCTGGAATTAGGCAAAATCGGCGGTGGTGGTGCGGAAGAAGATGGAGAAGAAGCCGTGGCAGGAGAGAACGGTAACGTCCCAGGAGGAACAAATGGGGAAGTAGACAAAGAAGAAGCATGAACTCCAGCCTTGATTGTACTGGCAATAGAGGGAGAAACCGTAACAGCAGTCTCAGAATATCCTCTTACTGCCTCTCCGTAAGTGGACATCAAAACCTCGTTCGCAGTTCGGAATGAGTCATCTTCTGAGGAAGATGCGTTTGAGAACGGACTCGAATAAGAAGACGTTCCATCAGCATACGCAACACGCACAGGGGCGTGGATATCCCGAGGAGGCGTGTTCACACTAGCAGATTGTACCCTCGGAAGCAACTGAATTGGATACATGTCTGGGCTCGGAAGAGACCGGGAATCTTGAAGTTGATACAGTGGCTCTGAAAATCGCGGGGATCTAAACCTCGAGTCCATCATTTCAGCTCCAGTAACACACGCAGAAAGGGTAGACTTCTTCCTGAGGGCCTTCAGTTCAGAGGCCACCTCTGAGAACAGAGGTCGATTCAGAGGATTCGTTGCCCAGCACAATCGAATGAGGTCAATGAGATCAGGAGATGTAAAACATGTTGGAGGGACTTCAGGACGTTGGTTGGCTGTCGTAGAAACAGGATAAGGAACAGCACAGCCAATTAGTCGCGAACTCACTCACCCATTATATGATTCTGAACTTGATTGTCATCATATAAAGGCCACGGCATACGTCCAAGCGACAAGACTTCTGTACAGCAAATCGCGAATGCGTAGACATCCATTTCGACAGTGAGCTGACTAGATCCAGCAAAAATTTCAGGCGCCTGCCAGCGAAGAGTACCGTCTTTGTAAAAGGCAAACTAAGTCAATAAATACCAAGCCTAGGGAGAAAACTGACGAGGAAGAGCAGTTCCACTAATTCTATATGCCTCTGATCTCATTTCACTTTGACCGAAATCTGAAATAACACAATGAATCTTGTCGTCGACAAGAACATTAGAAGCCTATATCCAATGAGAAAACATAGGGAAGGGATTGATCAGCGATTTGGGCGTGACCTGTAACAAAACTTGCCTTTAGATCTCCATGTAGAACTCCCTGACCATGCAGATATTCCATACCCTTGGCAATCTCATGCATAAACCTCAATAAATCCCATTCTTTCGGGACATTTTCTACTCCCGAACCTGAATTTTTGACATCTGCGTTTCCAGCACTTCTAATGCTATCTTCAAGAGAGCCAGACCCACTAGTGTCAGCCCTCGTTGGACCTCGAATATAAGCTTTCGATGCAAGATGGGGTGGTATTGGAGGAGAAGCGGATGATACATCGGGTGGATTAGCAGCATTTGGTCCAAGACCCAAGCCTAGGCCAATACTCGCTGAATCTAAAGTTGCTGTGGACATATGCAGGTCAAAACCCTGTATAGCCACCTGCCTCCCTAGTCCACCTGCAGTAGATTCCGTATATCGCGACAAACTTTTCCCTCCTCCCAATCCCGCCGCCTCATAGACCCCATACGCACTATTACCCGGCAAAATCAGGCCCCACGGGACCTTCGCGTCCCAAAATCCTCCCTGCGTAGTGTGCGGGATCGATGTCGAATTCCTTCTCAGGTATTCGACCAAACATCCATTCCGCATATAAGGCGAGACAAAGAACCACGGGGGGTCTCCTGACGCACTGCTCGCTCCGTAGAGTTCGAGGACATTGGGGTGGGAGAGCTTCTTCCAGATCGCAGTTTCGCGGAGAAAGAGCGAGCGTGGGGTGGTTTCGGCAAGGACTTTGATTGCTACGACGCGGGAGGAATAAGAGGAATAAAATGAGAGGGACGGAGATGTATCTCCGTTGTTACTGATACCAGTGATGGCCGAATATGGATACAAGGGGGCAGAAGGTACGGATGGTGGACGCCAAGTTCCCTTATACACATCAGAAAAGAAGCCGACTCCAATTTTCTCCTCGCGATCGATTTCGTATCTGATAGATGTGGAGAAATAAATGGTGATAGATATTTACGAATATAAAAGGCAGAGAACAAGGACCCACCTGGTGATAGTCCAACTGGGTAATAACCTCGCCGGGTCCTCCACTTCTTCGTGACTTCTGGTCTTAGTCCTGCTTTGAACAGCCGTACTACGACTCATTCTCCTCAGCGCATCGATCCCACTCTCAATGAACTCCTTGTCCAGCGTATCTTTCTCTCTCGTATATTTCTTTCCACAAACGGAACTTTTTGAAACACCGCTACCCGACCCAGACTCAGATCGCGACCAAGCCGAATCGTTCGTCGTCGCAGTAGAGGAAGTAGAAGATGAAGACGAGGTCTTAGAGCGCATCAATCTGGCTCCAACTTTGCCTCGCTTTGATCTTAGTTTGCCTACTTCAGGTTTACCTCTATTCACATTTTCATCTCCCTCAACCTCCTCATCAATGATAGTCTCATTCAAAGATGTTTGGAATCCTAAGGAGGCAGCAGTGGATGAATACGATCGAGAGCCCTGTAAACTCATCCGCCGCTTGATTCCCGACAGCATCTTGATACTTGAGGACGAGGAGGAAGAGCTGCGAGATTCAAGTCCGGGCCTGTTATCTTGCTGTTGGACTTGAACTTCTCGAGACTTCACTTCAAGTGATTGCTGAGAGGTGATTTGGGAAACGTGCGATAGCTGCGTTGGAGCTAGGTTTGAGACGTCTTCTTGTTCTTGCTGCCGCGCCTGTAAATCCTCCCATCTCTCTCTCTCCAGGATCGCCTCGTGAGCCCGTTGCAGGGTCTTGATAGCCTCAGCCATTTCACCTGCGTCCAGTCCAGAACTCTCTATTCCCCCTTCTTCTCCTCCCATTCCGCTTCTACCTCTGCTCAAACCTTCTAGCTGACCTACAGACCCCCTTCCCAGCCTAGCTTGCCTCAGACCAACACCCAACACCTTGAGGATCTCGACGTCGCTGCCTTTACTGAGTGCCGTACGCATCACTCCTCTCAAATCCGCATAGTCAGACTCGGCATCGAGAGCGGCTTGGTGGCGGGTTAGGGATAGGAGCGTAGGAAGGACCTGGGTCGGAGGAAGGGAGGAGGCGGAGGGAAAGAGGGCAGGGGGTATGGGATGGGTAGTGGTGTGAGAGGCTGTTGTTGAAGTTGCTGTGGAGGTTGCTGCAGAAGTCGTGGATGTAGACTCGACGCTAGTGGCCCCCGGAGTTACAGTACAAATGGACGTCGAAGTAGCGGAAGTTTCAAGACTTGATACCTTGAGTTCCGAAGATCCCACAGAGACATTGCCCCGGCGCTGAATCGCATCGAGCATGGCTCCGGAAGCCTCGATGCTCGACTTTGTTGGAATCAACTGTATAGGAGGCTGGGGAAGGGAAGACTTTTGTATCTGACCCGAGCGCGTCTGCAGTGCCGCTGAAGAAGGAGCATTGTAGGACTCAGTTGTGATTGAGCTTTCAATCTGAGTAGATGCAGTAGACGAGGACGTAGCAGTCGAAGGCCTAGACGAGGGCGTTATTGACACTGAAGGTATCACCGTACTCGTATCTTTAGGAGAAACAGGTTCGGGCGGGACTTGTACAGAGCTCAGAGAGGGGGGAATTTTGCCAGTACTCGTCATCTCCGAGTTATTGTTGGAATTGTAATTCCACGAATACGCTTCTATTGATTGATCGTTTGACTGGTCCACTGATACTGATTGTGATTGCGATTGCGACCAGGAGGAATGGGAGCTGCTCGCGGGTAACCCATGAAGACCAGGGATGAGACTATGTGAAGAGGCCGAGGCTGAGGCAGTCGTGGAAACGGATCTAGTGCCACTCAACGAGAGAAGGCTTGAAGCGGCATACGGGAAAGGCGGCCGCGCAGATGTGGAGATACCGCTCGATAGGGAAAACGGTTCCATAGGTACTTGACTATATGCTTGCGACACCTTGGGCGTTTGCAAGTCTGGCGCTCCCAAGGCAACCGGGGTCGTTGGCATCGAATAGCTCGGAGGGTCAGGCTGAATAGGATACCCGTGTTGACTCAAATGGCTCAGATTAGCTACACTCCTCAATAATTCCTGGGTATCATGCTGTCTCCGAGCTTCTGCGAGCTGCACTTGCTTGAGAATACGGATTTGAATCGAAATCTGGATATTACGGGCAAAAACTCAGAGCGAATAAGATAATATTGAAACTGTACTCACACTGAACATACCCAGCGCCTCCTGTAACCCTACGTCACATTGATGAAGCTGTTTCGAAATCTCGTCTCTCTTCAGGTATCTCTTCAAGAACGGTCTCCCGGCTTGTTTGACGAGGAGTGCATGGACGTCATTGAACGATCTGAATGAAGCATCGATTAAACATCCCGTGCAGATATGATAATAACTAAACATAAAAGCTTACTCCGTCAACTTATCAAACGGTAATCGCAACTCATCTTCAACTTCATCCCCGGCTTCGTACACCTCTTGTCGGACAGATAGAAGGATATCAGCGCAGTGCTCGGTGAGGCGGAGACATTGGAGGCGGTTGGACTATTTCCAAACCAATCAGCAAAGGATGAAAAGGCATAAAATTTTTACCAGGAAACACGACTTACATCAACTTGTTGCAAACAAGCCCAAATTTGTAACAAGGTCCTTGCCGCAGCCTGAAGACCCGGCACGGGAGCAAGCTCGACTAAATCGACGGAGGTGAGGAGAATTTCGTGTGCAATCAAGGCAGATGTGCCGAGAATGGAGGAAGCAGCTTGAGCTACACGCTACCAAGACAATAAAGGTGAGCATACAGAAGTACAAATGGGTAAGTGGTACACACCTTCCTAGTGATTTCCCAATTCTCCATCTGCTCCACTGGAACAGTTCCAGTAGTATCATTGTCCTTGCCCTCCTTACCTTCCTTTGTCGGGGTACCCGTCGCTACACTATGCCTCCTTGGCCTGTCCTTGCTTGATGCCGACGTGTCGAACATGGAATGCCAAGGTCTCGAATGGCTTGAATCGCTCGGGCTAAGCAACTTCTCCTCGTCACGGCGCCAGAATGAAGCACGAGATGATGTAGCTATAGCAAGTTCATTATTCCTTAACTTCTCGAAAGTCGAATAGAGGATAAACTCACGGGCAAGCGCAGGCGGAATACCATTGGGGCTAGTTACCTTGCCTACTCCTGTGAAGGGCTTGGGGGCACTCCCGCTGCGCGCCCGAACACGAGAAGTTCTCACATCGTCGCTTGGGAAGGCTTCCGGGCGGAGGGTCGCTGAAGGACTAAGTAAACCAGGAGTTTGAGTTGGGGAACGAACAGGAGAAGATCTAGTTGACACCGTTGACAAAGTCGGAAGGTCAGATTCTCCGGCAGTGTTGATTGACAGACTCAGACCTCTTCCTCTACAAGGTTTGTCGGGGGAAGGTTTGAACGGTGAGCCTAGTGACGGCGCGGATTGATGTGCGCCTGGAACACATGGGGGAGTATTGTCGCCTCTAGCTTCGCGCCCAGGAGAGGAGAACGACAAAGGCGAGTTATAGGGAGACGCGGGTCCAGAGAACGACGCGCTGTGTTTGTGATTCGGACTACAGTTGACGTTGTGAGCCCCAGGATTCAGAGGCGAGGAGTGACGCGGAGTGGTGGACAAACTCGCTGGCAGCGAGCGACGATGAGGGTGATTATGCTGCGGTAGGCGATCTTGGGTTACGCAGTCTGCAGATTGCATACTGTATACTGTATGTGTCGGCGAATGTGGAAGAATAAATTCTATGTTGTTCGTGATATTGTTCGTAAAGATAAATATAAAAGCGTGAAGGCGTAAAGAGAGGGATTTCGCGCAGCTGGATTGCTGATAGAAGTAGAGAAAAATAAAAAAAGTCGTGATGGTCGTAGAAATACCCTGAGAAGGGCTTCTGTTTGCGCACCCTGGCGCGAGAAGCCAGTGAAAGTCTCAAATCGGAGGAAGCGCGTCGGATCGAATTTGATGCACGTGACTGGTACGATCGAGGGATTGCCTGCCGGGCTCTGCCGGCTTGCTACCCACCGTGTCTTTCTAGGTCTTTCTTCGCTGTTTACAGTGTTAAGACCGCCGCCGAAGCCCAATATGGGAGGAATCGAAACGACAAGGTGCTTATTCAATGAGAGCTACGGGGTCGAAGGACAAAGCAGCAAAAATTGGAAGTCCTAATGCCGACTCTAAATACCATGACCGAGTCCGCAAATTCAAATGTAGACGGTTGAAGCATCACTGTGCGTGCATACCCCTACTCCACAGAAGAGCCAGAGGGTCCCACAAGCCTCATAGCAAACGTATGCCACAAGTTTGCCACAAACCATTCTTGAGTACACTCTCCGTGTCTGGCGAGCTTGCATTCATTAACTCCGCAGATAGGGAGAGGATCCGGATATGCTACGTCTGTGAGTAATCATTGATCAAGGGCTTCTGACTGTAGCTACACATCGCCTCTCAGTGCTCCTTCAGGGCTTTTCGGTTGCAAATTCTTAACAGGCAAGATCCGGTCCGACATACCCTCATATTTGTTCAAGGGCTATACTCTCCGCCTCTCCATTTCGAATCCTTCTGCTTCCGTTATGTAGACTATGTCTTCTCTTGTGCAAACTGCGCTCCTGTGTCTATCGATGTTTCTCGATACCCCACAATGTATGTGCCGAAGCAATTCCTCAATACATATGTGGTTCTACTTGGTGTTAATCAGCGCCCAAATGCGACTTTCAACCATGTTTAAGTATAATTCCTTGAAACCCTGAGTATGTAGAGATTAATCGGAGGAAATTTGAACGGAGGTGGGTCGTTTCAATTCTCCGCTAAACAGACTTTGAAATACTATATGTCCATAGATCACTTCATGTATCTACGTCGATATTCTAACTGAAGACAACTGAAAGCCACAGATACCCGATCGACAATAAGTTCAACTACTTATGTACTACTTGACTTTCGAACCCGAAGTAGGTTTCTCTAAAGGTTCGTCCCATCCAATCACCGGGAACCCTGTCAAATCCGCGCTAATCTTCCCTCTAAACGTATCCGGAGTGCCTTTGACTCTCAGCGCCGTCGCATGACATTCGGGATTACACCCAGGCACCGCGGGGATTGCCTCCAATTTGAAGTGGACGAAAGAACCCTCGGGACGAGACAGATAGCGAAAGGAATTTCCGAATATGACTCTGCGGCTGGCCACTTCCTTGCCCAAGTCCTTCGACAACCCTTTGTGGTTCATCAAGAAGCCTTTGACTATATCTTGAGCCTCTTCGTCCGCCTCATGGTTTGATAATCCTGGAGCGTTCAGAGGTTTACCAGGATAAAAAGTGGCATTCAGTATTATGGTGTGGGTGTTAAGATCCTCCACGGTGACTTTTCTGTTCAATCGGTTTGCGCTCGAACTCCGAGACGAACTTGTCGAACTCGTCGTCAATTCAGGTCTTGCATGAGGTGGCTGTAATGCATGTACACCGTTCTCGTCAACCTCTGGCTCATATTTTGTCTGCATAAAAATTTAACAAAGAGGACCGTAAGCTTATGCACAAAGGGAGAACATCAGTATCAAAGTCAAATGACAACTCACAGGAAAAGGTACCGCACATGCAAGCGACAACAATCCAAGAAAAATGGCCACAATAGTGAGACGCATTGTTAGGGGGAATTAAACGCTGAGGAAGGCGTAATGCGAATTCGGAGGGTCGCGAACTTGTTCTTTGACCAGCAAAGAAGCTTCGACGAAAGGTGAAGAATAGGACGTTGCTTGTTGAAAGGCTGGTCCTTATATACATAAACTGATTCAGGCCAAATTCCCGCAGTTGCGTCCCATCGCTCAGGTCTACAAGAGCCTGCAGGGCACAGCCGTTCCTTTGAAAAACTTTGTAACACACAGTCCACGGTTTCGAACTCATGTGTTGATTCAGGTTCGAACCGCCATTTAGCGGTGAGAACACTGAGAAGCTGTGGTTACGGACAGGACCGACGCATACGTGGCGGTGTCATTCTTATTCATTGCCCACATTCTCGAGGACTTTGGGTACCCTAGGAGCATGACAACAAGTTGTTCCCCTCGATTCACAAGAAGACGATAATGAATACATCGATCCCTATGAAAAAAATGGGATTGAAAAACAATGTTTATACAACCATTTGTTGAACCAATACGTATCCCGTCAATTCATAATGCCCCATGGCTGAGTTGGTTACAGCGTCCGACTGTTAATCAGGAATGGTTGTATCGGAAGGTCGAGAGTTCGAGCCTCTCTGGGGCAGCTACAATACAATGTTTTTGAAAACTGTATGTCTTTTTTGGACATTTCTGAACAGAATTTTCATTACTAGGCTCCACTGCCGTGGACCACACCTTGCTTGGGTCATGTTCTCAACACCACTTCATTTTACTAGCTGACATTTATACCTATTATGCTACAAGTATGTTTTGGTCCAACTTCCACTGCCAAATACCCATTTCTGATCATGGAACTGAATTTCACGCAAAGACGGGCAAATGTCATGTAAGCCATTGAATGCCTGTTCAACATCTAAATCATAAGCATCAATGCGCAGTATGTAAATCAACCTGAGATTTTGCAAATGATGCAAACTCTGTCGCACCAAGTCCAATATCCTAGCCTATAATGCCATGAATAAGAGTAAGTCTCCTTTGACACAAACACAAACACTGAACATAATGCTCCGTGTAAAGGTACATGGGCAGCTAAATGCTTTCATTGAAAGTACAACAATGGACATGGCTGTAGAGCCAATGGATGGCGTATAGGGATATTTTCATAATTTTTGTGTCGAATTGGACAGCAAAAAAACACCACAGGAGCATTGCAGTGAAGGTACAGTTGCCCCTCATATGCTCCATGTCGGCGTGGGAAATGGTGGTGGTGAAATGGCTGCAGCGTCAAATGCAGAGACAGAATATATTGTACCAGGATTGGACAGGCCATATTCCATGGAACTGGACAGCAATACACAACAGGAGCAGTGCGATGAAGGTACAGTTGCTTTTCATATGGTCCATGTTGGGATGGGCGATGGTGGTGGTGAAATACATTACACAAACAAGAATGCAAGAATGACACAAGGTGAAGATACGAGGACATTGGCTCCTGCGTCAATGTCAGAAACAGAATATATTAGACTGGGAGACCTGGACAGCCCACATGCAAAAGATGGCGAGAGTGCAGTACTTTTTTTGGCGGCTCTTCAGTGGAAGTACACAAAAGTTGAGACAGTAAGTGTGTGGTTGAATTTGGAGGAAGTTGCTGATGAAATGGAGAAGGTAGTGTGGAACTACTTTACAACAAGCAGTGGGGTATTGTGGATTCAATGGAATTTGCGAGTGGAAGTGGGTGAAAAGCATCAATTGCAAGCAGAGATTGAGAAGATGAAGGACTGTGTGGGGCAAATGTATGAAAGATGAGTGGTGTTATTCATAATGTTCATTGATGCACCACGTGGGGTGGGTGGACATCAAGGGACTGGGAGTGTTTGTAAGTTATGGTTGAGAGAATCAACAAAAGCTGACATATGGAAACAGACCATTCAGGAGGGGGTCCAGAAACACTTATAGGATGAGAATACAACAATAATGAGAGGCATAACACTATCTTTGGAACAAGAGTAGGCACAGGAGTTGGGAAAGATATGGAACCTGACATTACTTGGAGAAGAGATTTGTTCTTAGTGGCATTGAGAGGAAGGTTTGAACAGGTGCAAACAGTGAGTTAGGCGAGACATAAAGGTATGAGGTACTAAGAAGAACATACAACAGGCATGGTGGAATTTTGAGGCATCATACAAAGGACAGCTCTGTCTGCAGTGGCAGATTGTTGTTGAACTGAAGGAAGGTCAAAACATGTTAGAAGAGGTGAAGAGCCTGGAGGTGTGTGTAGGAGTGTTGTGGTATAGATGTGTTGGATTAATGATGGTGTTCATTGATGCCCCCAGAGGACCAACAAAGTATCAAGAAACAAGAACACTGTGTGAGTAACATTTGAAAATGATTCATTCCAAACCGACAAGAGGCATCTGTAAAACCTGGATTTTCGGCTAATAGCTGGAGAGCAGCTGACAGTGCTGTCCAGCTGGGAAAGCACCCCCAGCAGTTGATCAATACTGCTGGGAGTGCTTTCAGTGCTGGACAGCGCTCTCCAGCCAATATCCTTGCTCTGGCGAACATCCATGTTTTGCAGATGAGAATAGATCACCTAGTGGGAAGAGTTAATGGAGATTGGATGTAGGCAAAAGGCAGAGTTTGTAGGGGACAGTGGTGTATATATTATCAAAGAGTATTATCAAAGAGATAGAATATTTGGTATCTAAGTACATAAGTCGTCAAAGGGAATGACATATTTGGTGTATGTACAGACGTGGGCAGTGGGTGAAAAGCGGGCCGAAACAAGCAAGTACAAAGCGGGGCAGACAGACACAAAATGTGCCTGCACATCAAAACTGTACAATTCCGGGGTGGAATAGACCTTGCAAGCAAGGTGACTAGCTCGGGTGTTGGCGATGTTTTTTATTGCCGTGTGTGGCTGCTCCAGCGTTCATTGAGCGCTAATCAATTTACTGGAGCGTTTGGGCGTCTAATTCCGACGTCGCTCTCAATGATGCCGACGACGTCATTTTGGAGAAACGCCTGATATAAACCTCAAGAGTCGATATTTTAAATTAAACTTTGACTTTTCTCTATTCCATCCCCGAATAAACTATGTCTGCACCTATAATCTCTCCGGAAGCCCTACCTTCTACGCCTGCTCACGAATGGGCCAATGAAACTCTTAATTCCGTCCCAAGGGATTCAGTTATTTCCACTTCCACCTCCGCTCCTGTTTCTTCTTCCACCGCAACCACACCAGGCCTCGATTTTCCTGGAGCCTATCCAAAGACACCTTCTACTCAACTTCCTGTAGGCGTCAACGAACTCGCTGATCGAGCCAGAGTTGCTGCGTCCACTGCTGCTGCCGGCGTCGGTGACGCTGTAAACGCGTTGCCTGCTGTAGAAACCATCAGCGGCTCTGTAGCTGGAGGTCTTGACGGCGTAAAGGAAGTTCTGTTTAATGCAACTGTGACAGCCTCGCAGTACCTGCCCTCGAATGTTGTAGAATATTTCCGTAAGTATTATTTTATGCTTCTATATCTCCTCATCTCAATTTGTTCATAGCTGGCGGTTCTTTAATCGTCGCAGCCTCCACGGCCGAAAGAGATGCTCAAGGCATCTCTCTTCCCTCCGCCGAACATTCCGTCGATCCAATTCCCTCTTCTCAAGGCGTCGGCTCTCTTCCTGGTCCATCGAGCGAGGAAGGCGTCGCCAAGCTGCCTCTTGAACGCGATCTAAGCTCGAATCACTCGGACGAATTGAAAATTGATGGAAAAGGCATTGAATCTCGCAACTCTCTAGCGAATGCCAGCATGGTTGCACAGGATGGATCCTCTGCGCCTACACCGACGACTCTAAGGACGCCTGTTCAGACGCCTGTTCAACATGACAACATTTCTAGCCATTTCACGGAGAACCTCAATCAAGAGGTCCCAGTAAGTGGTGTTCCGTTTACACTTTCATTTGTTCTTTCTTCATGACATCGTACTACATTTTCTGCTACGGGTCCCGTCTGTATCTTAGTCTATACTCATTCCGCACAGCCTTCTTCTTCCCCTACGCACCCGTCCAAGGAAAAGTCTTCAATAAAACCCGCTCCTATAAACTTAATCCCACGTACACATCCCTTGGCTGCCTCAGGTGTGGGTGCTCATTGGCACGGTGTTCCTCTAGATGAGGAATATCAAAAACACGTCGTTGACAAAAGCCTGGACGTGAGTAGGGTCATGTCCTCGCCGTCTTTCCGCCAGAGTTCTTTCAATTTTTTAAAATTGATCCATTTTCATTCGTCGTTGTTGCATCTTATTCGCATGCATACACTAACACAATAATTACATCCTTTTTAGGACACACAAACCTCTTCAACCGCCATCGACGCCGACATCCCTGTCCCGAACGTCCCACCAATCGCTACCATCCCACCCATTCCCAATGTCTCCACCCCTTCCACCGTCCCCGTTGATTCCATGTCCTCAATTGCCGTGTCCTCACCGAGCCAGAACTCACCCCGTGTTGCGAAGAGCTCACAGATGTCTTTTGCTAGTCCTCATTCGCCACAGAACGACTCGACTATCGCGAACGTAGGCCATGATAAACTTACATCTGGAACACCTGAGATCCCATCTCCTCATCATGATGTTGCGACACCATCTGCTGCGATTCAGGCTCATGCGAATCACGCGAAGGAAATTTCCGAACCGTCATCTGCATTCTCGACCTCGACCCCGTCTTCTACTGATTCCAGTTTCAACAAAGGTGCTGTGCATGGTAAAGAAAGCTCCAATGGGGCCGAATCGGTGAATTCAACGCCATCCAATACTCCGTTGAAGAAGAAAACAACTTTGTTGTCGAAGCTTAAAGGAGAAGCGAAAATTATATCCGGGAAGCTTGGTGGGAAGGAAGAGAAGGTCGAGGAGGGGAGGAGGTTGATTAGAGGAGAGGTTGAGTGAATCGTTGTGGAATTGAATGCTTTGTATTTACCCAAAATAAAATGGGTGTAGGGGATCGTACTGGACTTGTATAAATATTGTCTACTAATTCAATGTATGCGTCACAATTCCATCCTACCTCAACGAAGGGTGATACCTACATACTATAGACAATAATATTTACTTATAGCTTACATCCTGATCCAATGTACTTTGCACATTAATTAGTACACTATACATTCTACGCTCTGTAAAGTCTTCTACTTTGTATGCCACATATGGGAAGTACTATGTAGTCGTCTTGGTAAGTGATCCTGTGAATGATTCCCCTTCCTTCTTTGCCAGCCCATGACATGACGGTGTGCACGGTTCTCGCGAAAGAGGATCATACACCTCGAACGCGATATCAATCCCTTCACGGATATCATCACGAGGATAATGACCGATGAATTCAACTATGCGCCGCCCGCGATAAGGATGATTTCCGAGCCACAAATAACCTCTAACAGCACTCCGAGCAGCCTTGTCTATCTCGGGATTGTAATGTCCATTGGGTTTGTTCAAGTCCCATCCGCGAAAGGTGACTTGAAGCGAATTTACGTGGTGGGCGCTTGACCCGGAAGATGCGTGCGCCTGAGTTAAAGGAGTCATCTTGTTAAGTGATCCTGTGGATGATCCCCCTGTCTTCTTTGCCACTCCCTGACACCACGGTGTGCACGGTTCTTGCTCAAGAGGATCATACACCTCGAACGCAATATCATCACTTCCTTCATGGATATCATCAAAAGGAAAATGACCGATGAATTGAACTGTGCGCTGCCCGTTATAATGATGATTTCCGAGCCACAAATAAGTCCTAACAACATCCCGAGCAGCCTTGTCTATCTTGGGATTGTAATGTCCATTGGGATTGCTCAAGTCCCATCCGCAAAATATGACTTGAAGCGCATCTCCGTGGTGGGGGCTTGACCCGGAAGATTCGTGCGCCTGAGTTAGAACTAGTGGTGCCACGGTGACCAGGTGTGTCGACGCTCCCTGATTCTGAGCTGGCGCAGAGGATTCATTGTTGAGGCGGGATGACACGACATTATCATGCTACACAGGAAAGTCCAAATATGAGACCCCTCCGCCCAGTTTGCTGCAAGATGATTACTTACTGGAAGAGGTATCGCACATGCAAAGCAAAATAGACTGAGAGCAGAAACAGTGACATAGATACGAGCGAACTGCATGGAGTAGAGCGTAATAGATTCAATATGTGTTTTCAGAGTTCCCTGGCCAGCAGAGAAAGTAACAAAGGGTGGCATAAAACATCACTCGATCTATGTATGTAGCTCGATCTACTGGCACTGCCTCTGCATGCTACCTTGGCAACGATCTTCCCGAAAAAACAAGCAATGCTCCGACGGAGGCTAGCGGAGGCTGCGCTTTCTGAGGTCCTCTATCTTTTGCATCTATAGTGAGAGGACTCAGGACACTACGATTCCTACTAGCTTTTGATCACTCCGACGTGGTCGTTCATCTCTCTCTACACAGTACCTTCAACTTGTGCCATCTTTTTACCCGAGGAGCCGCGCAAATAATTAGCGCAGGGCCCTGAAGGGCTAAGCATGGCCCCCTCATGGCCCTCGCTTATGGCGGCGACATATACTAAGCACTCAGAATCTAAACAAAAAAATTAGTGTCGTTATCAACCCCCACCCACTCATCTACACTAATAGTGTGCAGTAACGCTGGTTCGGTCTGTTGACCATGTCTTTCTAATCCCGGCTCTACCCTCCTGAAAATTTCTTCGACTACTACAGTTATTTTACGAGGCTGTAGTTTACGGAAGTATCGTCCTTATGTACGGTACTCCATACAAAAATTATTTCCCTTTATGGCAGTAGTTTTGCCTTATTTGGCCAAATGTAACACTGAGTTGAATTGTATTGAATTCTTGTGACCGGCACGGGATATCACGGGACTGTGACTATGTCACAATTATTTTTTCTCGTCTCACAGCCTCTCACTCAGTTACTCCCTGTTACTCTCAGATAGATACTGTAATTCATGTAAATTTGCTTTTATTTCATTCTTAAAAAACATTCAATGTCGGCGCCTGTAAGGCGCCCCGTTTATTTGATTCCATAATATTTAATAACCCCCAAAAAAGGAGCCGAGTTTTTGCCATGCACAGTGGTGCAGGGGCCTGCAATCACATGTAATTGAAGTTCGATCAAGTAAAGAAAAATTTCAGCGTGTACTTTTCATGAGGTTTTTTTTTCTGCTTTTTTCAAGATTGAAAAGTACATAATCACCCCCCTGTAGTAGAAATGTGTGTTCCATTACTGTAATCTATGTAGAAGATGTACAGTGTGGTAAACTGGTCGTTCGGGAATCGGACCTAGCCAGTATAATTTGACTATCCTATCCTATCCTATCCCCCATGCCATTGAAGTTAAAAGGCGCATCGACACCTCCGACGGAACCCTTCCCTGGGATGCCTTACCCGCTGTATCTCCTTCACCTGAACTGACAACAGTATGACTTCCAGTATGGGATATAAAGCTGTTTAGTGCTTGACCAGTATCATGAGACACGAGGAAGGGGAAGGAGAGGAATTAGAGGAAGAGGGAGGAGCGTTGGAGGGTTGAGAGGCGCTGGGGAGCACATTGCCGTCACTATCACCCCAATAATGCCAGCATGATATAAGTCCAGACTTGAAGAATAGTGAATAGCATAATACAATGTGGGAAAAACGTTATAGTCGAAGACCGAGCAGAATTAGTTACAATCCTTCAACATAATTCAAGCTACTCGTTGCATTTTGTTCTTAAACGAACGAACTTGGAGAAAATCATATTAGATGGATCATTACCTCCACTGAGCGTTCGCCAAACTAGAGTCGTAGGGTATGCATTGAAATTTGTTCGAACTCGAGAACAAGTTATGAGGCTGTAGTTTACGGAAGACTTGTCCTTATGTAGGTCGCGTCATGCTATTTCGCTTTGCTTACTTGGAAGGAGTTTCTCCATATATGGTACTCAGTCACATTCTGTTGGAATACATTCATTTAAATGTGACCGGCACGGGATATCACGGGACTGTCACCCTCTGTCACGATTACTTTTTCTCGTCTCATTCGGTTACACCGGGGGCATTCACTAGGGCAGTTCGTGCTTCACTGCCATAAGGGCAGGTTGGAGGGAAGTATAATTTGCAGGGTTAGATAAGCTAGAGGAATATCGAGAAGATCATAAGATTACCTGGTAATGCACATTCCATGAGTTCTATGTATATATTACATAGTTGCCCTGAACGGAATTTGAATATTTCCTACATGCGGATTGGGCATGGACATTTTGGTCAAGACACCGTGTCGCCGTCACCTGAATAATTTGACGCGACGTGACATGATATTCCCTTTGTTCAAACATGAGCATCACAATTTACATGTGGTCAAACTGCTTATTTCTCGTTACTTGATCTTGACCCCCCATCGTTCTACACAAGGAAGTTGCTATGAATACGGTGAGCTTTGTAGAATATTTCCATGTATCTCCTTGCTCATTAACCTTTCTATCTCAGATGCTGCCACCTTGGCCTCCTTCTCAATTTGATGGTCATTTGCCTCATCCATCTCAGCCTCCGCCTCCATCTCCACCTCCATCTCCACCTCCACCTCCACCTGGACCTCCATCTCCACCTTCCTCAAGATGCAATAAGTGTAAGAAAGGTACAGATGAGGAACATGTGCATGACACTTCGGAACCTGGTGGCAATAGCAACACCAATGATGGAGATAGAAAAAAACGGAAGCGCAAGAAGAAATCAACAAATAAAGAATCAGCTCCTTGGGCCTCGACTTCTTCTGGACAGCAGGAGCATCAACAAACAGAAACACCCGAAGCATCAACAAGGAAGAAGCAGAAAGGAAAGGTAGTCAATGAGGTCTACCGTGTCAGTAGAAGAGATTTGAAAGAAGATGCCACTGGAGGTGCTGAACGTTTGAGGGTATGTGACCTGTCGTAACTCTTTATTGGCTAAGTAACAAATTTTTCTCACTTAGAATGGGATTGTTATTCATGTGCGGGCTTTCATGGGAGCTTTCAAAGCTGGAACGATACCGGATCCACCTACCTCTGCAGAAATTGCTGCATTCAAGCAAAGGTACACATTGGCATTGTATCTGGAACATGTCTTCATTCTGACTATTCATAGTCAATCGCTGGGTAGTGACCCTCATGCAGCTCTCAAACGATCCCTTACCACAATCAACACATCCTCTATCAATATTCTCAATCAACTTCGAACTTTACGAGAAGAATGCAAGCTGGCAGGCAGTACAACTGCTTCTAAAATCGCACAGATTCCTGATGATAAAATCAAGATGATGTTTGCTTGTCTTCAAGAAAGTCTGCACTGTTTCTGTCCAGATGTCTTTGGCACCCCAACTTCGTATTATAACCTAGTTCATGAGGGTCTTGTGATGATTACTTTTACACAGGTATATTCCCTCAGTGGATACAGGTAGCTCAGACATTCTTGGAATCCTCTTTCCTTGTTTTACTCATATGATTTATTTCCCTAGATTTCTTGGTATTGAAAAGGAGTATGTGGACAACACCCTTCTGGTGCAGAAACTATATCGTAGTTTTGTCTTCAGTCGGATGCGAAAGCTTATGCGGAGGGAAGCAAAGCAGAAGGGAGGGGTGCAAGAAGACCTAAACTATACGAAAGTGTATAAGGAGCGTCGTAATGTGAGTCTGACTGTTCTTGATCTATATCATCTCTTTTTCCAATTTCAAGAACAGAAGACTAAGGAACGAACAAAATATCATACTCTTCGACATTTTCACTCTCGTATTACTCCTCTCTTTGAGCAGCCATGCTGCCACTCAGACCATGAAGACGGTCCAGATGGATCCTACCATATCCTTACTATGCCTCTACGAAATCCCAAAGTCACCATGTTATATTACAAGACAGATGTCTACCGAGATGAATGCAAGAAGTATGAAGGAAGGACCAAAAACCAATGTCGACGTGCTCCTAGAATTCCACATCCAGAAAACAAGGAGACCAACTTCATAGGGCTTCCGAAGCCCTCTGTTCCATTGGACTAGTTTAATCCAGATGAGTTCAACAAACTTCCGGTGCACATTCGGGTGAAATATAGAGACTCTTCTGTGGTTTTACCTTTGGCAGAAAAGATGGCAGGTCCTGAGGATGATTGGAAAACGATGGGACACAAGGGGTTTATGAAGAAATATGGGAAAGAGGTTTGTAGCCAGTATCAAATCCCAACAAAGGAAGAAATGGAGTCCGCAGATGTAGATACAGATGATGAAATGGATGAGGATGAGGGTGATGAAAGCGATGGATCTGAAATGGATGAATCTTAGCACATTTCTTGCTCTTTCTCTTACTACTTGTATCCAAACGTTGAACGTTTACTTTTACTCAATCGAACTATTTTATCTATCCTTCATTGTCATGATTGCAATTCAAGTTGCTGAATATGGCCAAGATGACACACATTTCGTGTTGGTTCCCTTGCAGTTTGAATATTGTGAGTTTTGCTTTTATATACTGTAGTAGCTCGATGAGTCTATACTCAATATCTTTTCTTTTGGGCTTTATATAGAGATGTCATGTATCATATTCAGCTCCTCCATTCGCGTGCAAAACACTCCATCCATTTTCCCTCAGCATTCAATACTATTCCAAAGTACGAGCAGGAGGACTTCTGTATAACTTAGTGAGTTTGTACCCAGATTCTTCGCTGATGGGCTCAATATAGAGGTAGCATAGATGATAATCAGCTCCTCCATTCGCGTGCAAAACGCTCCATCCGTTCTCCCTCGGCATTCAATACTCTTTCAAAGTACGAACAGGAGACTTCTGTATAATTCCATGAGGTCGTACCCAAACTTCTTGCTGATGGACTCAACATGGAGGTAGTGTAAACGATACCTAGCTCCTCCATTCGCGTGCAAAACGCTCCATCCATTCTCCCTCGGCATTCAATACTATTCCCAAGTACAAGCAGGAGGACTTCCATATAACTTAGTGAGTTTGTACTCGAATTCTTCGCTGATGGGCTCAATATAGAGGTAGTATGGATGATAATCAGCTCCTCCATTCGCGTGCAAAACGCTCTATCCGTTCTCCCTTGACATCCAATACTCTTCCAAAGTATGAGCAGGAGCATTTCTGTATAACTTAGTGAGTTTGTACTCAAATACTGTGCTCATAGGCTTAGTATAGAGACCTTATAGACTTTATATAACTTCTTTATCTGCATGATATGATGCTCTATCTGATTTTCTTCAGTGTTCAATCTCCTTCCAAGTCCAACAGGTGTATGCACATCATCTTCATGATTGTGCTCACTCATGACCTCATGCTTAAGCAAGAGCCAGGAAGCCATAGTTTCCACATGAATATATATGCATTTTTATTCAACTATACATATGGTTACCTATGCATTGACAAACTTTGTTATTTCTGCTAAGTAAAAACCATATAATTTTATTTCCTACGTCCTCGGTTCAGAGACCAAACAATTGACATTGTTTCCTGTGGAATATCATATGTACCTGCTGGCCTTTTATATACAGCCAGATGACAGATAATATGATGTGGCTCAATCAAATAAGTATAGCTAGCAAGATTTCTCTGTACTAATTCACTTTGAAGAATTGAACAGGGTGCCCAAGCATAAGGACTTTTTACTTTCTGACTAGGTGAAAGTGGTAAATGTTCCTTCACTAATAGAAAGGTGCTCAATTTTTGTTCAAGTGGAAGCTGCCAGATTTCCATAATACATCCTGTGATGTGTTCCCCATTTCCTCCAGGTATATAATACTGTATGTGACTACCTGCTTCATGGGACACTATATTGCTATATGTTTTCCCTTGAAAATTGAAATCTCTAATACGCCGGACAACTGGTTGTAATATAGATAGCAATTGGTAGAGCATGCTTTCAGGATATGCAGTATAGTATTCTTTGCCTGTTGAGTTCAAATAATGAAGAAGAGTATTGTATTCTTCTCTTTTGAAGTCATCATACTTCTTGTAAAATTGTGCAACTTCATAGCTTGACATGATTGCAGGATCATGGGCAAATTCATACACATCAACTGGTGCTAAAATCTCTAAAAGGTCTCTTGTAGCATCATCCTCATAATTGGTTTCATTCAGGATGACATTGAGATTGGCTTTTCTGCCAAATTGTCTGACCATGGTCAACTCCATTTCATTGAAATGATTATTTGTTGAAATTTTGGCAAACTCTCCATTCAGTCTTTCTCCTGGAAACTCACTCAAACAAGTTAATGGACCCCAAAACTTTAATTGTTCAGGATTATGCATTGCATAATGGTGATTAGGTAAGGAGTGATACTGGGGAAATAATTCTCTCATAGAATTCCTGTAACTCTTGAAGTATTTCCCATCTGCTTCTGTTGGGGTTACTGAATAAGATGCAATAATATTGGTAGCAGCAACTAGATCACAAAAATTTTCCAACAATTTCCTCTCAGTCTCATTCCCAAATGCCCAAAGCTCAGGAATTATCAATGGAAATATTACTGTGAAAAGGATTAACAATTGATGTGCTTTGAGCTTTCCATGAGATTTTTCTCCTAGATTTCTTGGTGGTCTTTCCACCCAAGTTGGCAATAGAATTTCACTGATGCAATGTCTGATATGAGCAATCTGCTGGGGTGTAAGTTTGAATAATGTGTCAACATCTAAATCCTTGAAATCTGGGTCATCAGAATCATCTTCTTCATGTATATGACTAGCTACATCCCATTGCAATGCCTGAGATGTCAATGAAGATAAGGATCCAAGGCTTTGAGATCTTGTTCTAGGACCAGGAGTTGCAGTGGGAGTACTATTGTCATCATCTACATCATCCATAGTGAAATCATTCAAATCATTTGCTGAACCAGTAACACTTTGCTGCCATTCTCTTGACTCCTCTTCCAAATCTTCAAGTTCAGAAAGACTTTCCTCAGTATCAGCAACAGAAAACTCTTCATCCCGATCCCTTTCTGTTTCTTCCTGTGTAAGCTGTTTTTCTTTTTTTTCTGTGCGCCCCAGTCCCCAAAGTTCACGGAGGTGAAATTCAAGATGCCCCTCTAATGTATTATGCATCATCCCAAGAACAACATGCTGGACTGGATCAAAATATGGAATATCATGCTGGGGAATCCACCTGATGCTGTTTTGCTTGAAAAGGTTTTCTTTTTCAGAGAGAGTAACTGCATTTTTCCATGCCTGAGCTTGAGCTTTTACTGTGTTCCCATCTCTGAGCTGCCAGGAATCATAGTCAAGGCTTTCCACCTGTTCCTTTGAGAGGGTGCACCAGGTACAGAAGTATGTTGCACTTGGAGAACCAAATCCAGTAAACTTTTTACTTCCCAAAAGATCTGCAATATTAGGGTACACTCTTGCTGAAACCCTTGTACCCCCTGGATGACTAGAAATTGGCATTGATTTACCTGGCAAATCAAACTCCATAATGCTGTTACAATAATGATGGAGTATATGATGAATGGTGCCCACAGTAGGCCCATGAGGACCTGGCATCATTCCTACTACAAAGATATTCTCAGGTCTAAATCTAATTTCCAAAGGAAGATTGAGGCAATATAGAACAATTGCACCACATGAAATTTGTTTCCCTGAAAACTGATCTGAATATTATTTGAGGTGAAACATTTACACTAGAGCTCACCAGCTTGCTTATTTCCAAGAGGGTTAAACCAGTCCACATACACTGAGAAAATCAAATCATGTGGAGAATTGAGATTATGCCTTATACTATCCCAGAATGGACTATCCTGAATATCATACATTCTCTCCTGAGGAGCTGGATTTTGGGTTTTAATAAATGTTTTATAGAGACATTTCTCAATTGAAGGCCTATTGAGAAAAGATTGAAGCCAGGAGTCAAAGGAAGTAGTTGTATATGAGCATCGAGGTATCTGTATCTTGTATCCCTTTTTTGAATGCCTAAAGGACCATAGATCTGTATTGCATGGCTTGGCTCTGGATGACTTTTGATAGTTGCACTTTTTCAATGTAGTATCCAGAGGATACATCTTGAAACATGTAGGACAGCAGAATAATCTGTGTATTTTGGGATCCAAGTTAAGCCTTGCATATACAGTACGTATATCTAGAGGAATGCCAATTTTGGGGGTTTGTGTTCCAATCTCATAATCAGCTGCCTGAAGGGCAGCATAAGTGAGGTTTAGCATTGTGACCACTATTAAGTTGAGGGCTTTTAACACAGCATTAACTGTGTTGCGGCTGACACCTGCATATAAATTTAGCCATGCAGCTAAAAGACAGCACATATGATAAATAGGTGTCATAGCTAAATTATGTTGAGAGCTTTTTAATGATCCTCAAATGTCAATACAACATACCTGCAACCAGATCAGGAATTTCAGGAGGGAGAGTGGGAGCAGAGGCAGGATTGGTACCAGAATTTAGAGAAAAGCTATGGGAAGCTAGATTTTCACTTGAAGATGCCAAAGCATCAATCTCTGCCTGTTGTCTGTCTACCTCCATTTTTTCTATATCAGCTTTAGCATGAGCTGATTTGACTGAATTGTTCAGTATCCGGCCTTGCACTTTTTTCCCATTCCATAGTGCTGTATACTGGCTACATGCAGAGCAAGAGCAGAGACACTTTGGCATGGCAAGGGTATGGGGCGATAATTGAAGCACAATCTTTAATCAACAATCATTTTAATCCAAAATGCGTGAGATAGATGGATAGATATGCAGCTCCGTCTAAGACGGAGTCCGACAAGGAAACAGCCAGGCCTTACTATTTTGGCTGCAGCTCATCTGCCATGGGATACTGCAGTGAAAGTTCAGGGGTTGATGTACAGAGTATAGTAAATATACATTCTGGTATGATAAAAACAAGTTATTCATTGTCTGAATCCTCTATCTCAGTCTCTGCTAAATTTCTTAGGCATTGATCAAGGCCTGTATCCAAGTAGTTTTGCGATCCACGATGTGATTGTAATCAGAGTGGGAATCAACTGACAGGCCGAGGGCCGGAGCTGTTATTTGTTTCCGATCATCCTTGCTGTGGCATAGAACTGCCCTTCGACCTGCCTTTATGGCAGTAAATATTAGCCTGCCCTGATAGATGCCCCCGGTGTTACTCCCTGTTACTCCATAGATAGTTTAAGTAAATTTACTTTTATTCTGCTTTTCTCAAAAAATCAATGTCGGCGCCTGAAAGGCGCCCCCGTTTTCTGATTCCATAATATTCAATTAATATTTAATAACCCACAAAGAAGAAGCCGAGTTTTTGCCATGCACAGTGGTGCAGTGGCCTACAATCGCATGTGGAATCTAAAAAATTAACAACCAAAGTAAGGGCGGAGAGTCGAGATCAATCACATTCGTTAATGAACCTTTTGGCGAGTATCGTCGACTAAGACTTTGAATTTGAACGTTGAATGCTGAATTTTCTTGGGTGAAACATTGAAGCTTGAAGGGTTACATATGTATCGAATCCGACCAATTTTCTCTCAAAATCGAAAAAACAGAAGCTTTATATGTACCTGAACGAACAGGTCATGAAAATCCTTGGGGGAAGCTTGAGATGATCCAAAGGATATACACTGTTGAAGGGATAATGACAAAGGTGTGCCGATAGACAGATGGTCACTGGCAGGTCACTGGGAAGGTGTCGTCAAAAGAGGAACGAAAAGTGAGGCTGTTTCGAAAGGTAGAGGAATGAGTTTATCACAGGTGCCGATCGCGAACGACAAAGCCTACCCTAATGCTGCAGCTTGGTCCGTGCGTCCGTCGCGTCTCATTCTCTTCTGAACACTCTGAACACCTAAATACATAGTCAAAGTTACTGGAACCAGCGTGTGCTACGTAGATCTCTCGGGTAGCACTCATATTCATGGCGCGTCGTTTCGGACCGGAAGAGTCTAGAGGATTGGCTGGCGGAAGCTTGGTGTCTGCAGAGTCTCTCCGATAGTAAGCACTTTGGATTTTTCTCTGCTGTGTCTCTCAGTTGTTTTTTGTTAGTCAAAAGATGGCCGATAATCTTTGTGCTCAAGGAAAGCCAAATGAAGCTGCCCCGTTCATGCTCAAAGCGATGCAGGACAAGAACAATGTGGATATATTCGTCACCTTTGCTTTTGTGCAACAAAATTATCGGAAAGCTCTGGAAGTACTGGAGGATGGAAAATTAATAGGTACGCGTCATTTGGAGAATGTCATTGTTCTGACAAACGTGCAGGTGAAAGTTCCCTCGAATCAAAATATGGTCCAGACGCGTTCAAGGATGGCGGACCTCTTGTGGGTCATTTCAACGAGGTCATGGACACGAGACCCTACATGCGCCTTCTCCAGGCAATGGTCCGAGTGGCTGTGGAGTGCAAGAATCACTGTAAAGCAGCGTTCGCCTGTTTCTGTTTTTCTTCGATTTATTGACTCACATATTGTCATGCAGTGAAACAATAATTGAAATGTTCCGTCTAAACCCTATGGACCCGATGCAACAACACAAATGGCTTCCCACTCTACTCTGTCGCATAAAACGCTATCCCGACACACTCTATTTCTGTCAGGTATTCTTAGACATATTCGTCTCCCGTCTCTCCCTCTCCCAGCTTCCACCCGGGGGCGGAACTCAGTTTTTGCCACCCAGGCGTGAGTTGTATACCCCTCAGGAGCAGGAGAAGATGGCGAGTTATGAGTCAACTATATCATATGGTGCAGCTCTTGCAGCATTTCGTTTGTCAGGCGACTGTGAGGAATCAAGAATGTACCTTCGCGCTGCAGTGAAGGCAAATCCAACTGTCATGCTGAAAATCTTGAGGAGATCAGAAAGGCCTAGTAAGGTCCTGTGCCTCTCATCGAAACGCATTGTTCCTGATTCTGAATCTTCAGGAACTCTCAACGCCAGCGCAAGGTCATACAACTCCCCCGAAGATGCGCATGATTATCTTTGGCTCTCGCAGGACCTTTGGTTGGAAGAGGATGTTTGGAACTGGGTTCATGCTAATTCGGATGCCCAACAAGCTGTGCGGAAGGATTGTTCCCGGCCTGGTTGTCGGCGAGGAGAGCAGAGTCCCGGTGAGTTTAAGCAGTGTGGTGGATGTCATACGGTAATCCAATCCATGATTCTTGAGGATGGAGAACTGATGAAGGTACAATTCCTCCACTAGATCTTGTACTGTAGTCCTCAATGCCAAAAGGACGACTGGAAGCGACACAAACCGGGTATGATCCTTCATTAACATTCATCTTTGACATTTGCCGTCATCGCTAATGTCCTTTCTATGTCTATGATACTTCATTAGACTGTGTGTTTGAACAAGAAGCCAAAGCCATTCGACGTGCTATATCGAAAGGCCAACCCATCCCTGCGAGTGGTTCCATTCCTGTTTTTGCTGCTGACTTTTCAGAAGAAGGTGTTCGAGGGTACTTCCTAAAATCTGCCTATATTGTTGATGTATTTTGGCCCTTACTTTTCTCTTCTTACACAGGTATGATCCCGCCCCAATCAAAATGACACCGGAACAAGAACGCGAAGAAGCTGAACGGCGAAGGAAGAGAAAAGAGAAGAAGAAGCAAATGAACAAGAAAAAGGAGGAGAGGAAAAAAGCTAAAAAGAGGGAGGAGAAACAGAAAATTGATATCGAGGCCGCTAGGAATGACGGGAGTGATCTGGAAGACATGCAAGAACAAATAGCTGATGCTTCTTTGGAATGAAGAGGAATCGCAAAGGGTGAGAAAAAGTACATAGAGTCCATGTAATATAATCAATACTGTACATGCATGCTAGAGCAGGATAGAGCTCCTAATAGATAAAAAACAAAAAATAAATTCTCGTTGTGCTATTTTTACACCGGGATCCTACAATCGATTTCGCATACACCTCACACAAACCATGATATGACAATTTCTGCAGCCCTATGTCAATTATATTGATCAATAGAGGGGTCTTTCCAGAAACAAAACTTGTAGTCTTACCTTTAAGAACAGAGGTAGGAAATTCCCACATTCCTCACACGTACCTCCTCCTTGATGATGCCTCCATCGATGAGGGTTGCAATCATGATAATACCTCAACTCTTGCGTCCTCTGTTCGACACGTCTTTGAAACACAGCTGGCTCTGCCGCCCGTGCCACCGCACCGAATTCTTGCTCGACTCTCGCTTCTGCTGCATTCAGCAACCTGTTCTCCTCCCATTGTGGACATTCACATTCCTTCCATGGAGCAGCACACATGTAACAGAATTGCATATGACAAAGACAAGTCATATGGTAACAGCCGACCCTGAGTTCAATAATGGAGCTGCATCGAGGGCAAGTTTGCCAATGCTCTTCCGTCGCAAGAGCTTTGAGCTCCAGAAGCGCGATGTTTTCAGCGCAGCTCTCGCCGGGATGAGAATGCGCTTTGCAAAGAGCACAAGTCGAAGCAGAGCATTGGGAACAAAGGATGTTTGAGGTTTCAGCCTCAGCAGATGAGCCAAGAAATTTGGAACAAATTGGAGTTGAACAATAGACCCTATCGTTGGCAAGAGTTCCAAATTCATGAGATTTATTCTCAAATTTTGTCCGCAAGTCGTCGGGGAGCAGCTGGAGTACATCCGCCACAGGTAGGGACTGTTGACAGCATCGAAGAGGAAATAACGATTCGTCGCCGATGCAGGCCAAGACGAGGTCCCGAAGACACTTGAAGCAGTAGTAATCTTTGCATGGTGCTTGGAAGGTATTTGATGAGCGAAAGGAATCTGTACAGATGATACAGTGGACTCTGAAGACCGAAAGGTGTCAATATACTTTCGAAAAGTTGAAAACACGTCTTACCGAAAGGGTTTACTACCTCCAAAGTGCGGTGACGATGGTCTGCCTGAAGACGCGGAATGCTCCCCAATTTGATCTTCTGTGTCCGTCCTACAGGAAAATGAACAAGATGTCACTCTTGGAAAACGACTTTGACCCACACTTCAGAATCCACCGCTGAATCCTCCAACGCCTTCTGGGCGTCAGATTTATCAGGCAATGCCTGCCCTAGCGAAAGAGCCTGGGCATAACGGTGATCATCGACTGCCCCCAGCTCTTCCACGCTCAATTTTGCCAATATAGCCTGGTCAACGTCAAGAGCATGCTGAAGACTGAAGGCAAGCCGCAAACTACCAACTACAGCCGCGTTCTCCTCTTCAAAAAGCTTAAATGCGATTTCCTCGTCGGTTGCAGGATTGTCTTCGCGTGTTTTTCCTTTACGGGCAAATGTAATGTCGCGTATTTCTTCGAGTGTGAGCTGTGAACTGACAAGGGAAGCCAGGCAGTCCGCAGATTCAAGCTCCATGGTAGTGCAAAAAAGAAAGGATTCGAACGAAGAAGCAAGGTTCTTCAACGGCCATAAAACTGTATCATATATTGTCAAAAGCGTCAAACGTGTCAAGCGTCAAAAAAGTGTAACTACGGAGATCCTCGATATCTATGCAAGCATGAAGATGTTGGAGTTTGAGCGACAAAAATAAGATTATCCTTTCTGATCCGACCCAGGAGAAAGCATTCGACGGGCAATGTGACCCAATATTTGTGTTTCAGCCACGGCAAACACAGATCGATGCCCACACAGACCCACACCGATAGCAGAATTCCGACCGACACCGGCATACTATATGACTACATCCTTCAGTGAGCTCAACGAGTGCCTTGCATCCAGGGCAAGTTTGCCATCCGTTCAAGCGAGCGAGGTCGCGTAGTTTGTCTTCTGCCAAGTGCTCCTCAATGATAGGACAGGTGAGAGTCTCTGAGTGAGCAGGGTCTTTGCACAGAACGCAGAATTGCTCAAAGCACGAAGGGCATCGGTGCGAGGGAGGTGGACTGGGGTTCGATGAGCTCTGATATAGAGTGTCGGGAACGTTATAAGACTGTTTAAGGGAGCCCCACGATCCGAGGAATGTAGAACAACGAGGAGAGGGACAGTACACCCGATCTTCTGGGCGAACATCGAGTTCCAAGGCTTTTGCATTGAACCGAGTCCTTAGATCAGAGCCGATTACAAGTTTTTCGAATGGTTGGACGGGGTTTTCCATTGGTGAGCTGTGATCATTCTTCTCTGTGATGAAACTCATGGGACTTCCGCAGCACTTCGGAGGAAATAAATTATCATCGTTGATGCACGTTTCGATGAAGTGCATTAGACACGAGCCGCAGTAGTGGTGTCCGCAAGGCTGAACGAAAAGGGGAGTCTCTTCATCCAAGCTTTCTGTGCATGCTACACATTCAGGTATTGGTTCAGTGAGATGTCTGCATACCGAGACGTGTTAAGTCAGTAAGCGAGTTTCAAAAAGATTGGTCACACCCTGTGTGCGAGTCTTGACACGAATACACAAGTTCAGATGCGGTGGAGCTCGGAGGAAATGTAGACGGCGAGCTTGATTAATATGGTAAATGAGGATATTCGTTAACGAGAACAAGAAAAAACGATCCCCAAACCTTGAAGAGGCTTCATGCAATTCGTCGTACGAGTACGAACTGCTTGACGAAGAAGCAGCATCGCTACTTGGATATCCTTCCGCGTTGGGGTGTTCGGCGATTTGAGCGTCATTGAAGAATGATAATACTTGTGCAAACTCTTCTGCCATGAGCTCCAAGGCATATTCCTGGTCCAGATATGTATTTCCACCACGAAGCTCGCGAATATCATCTAGGGCAAGCTGAGCTATGAGAAGAGCAGAACCTCGATCAACGTTGCTTAATGGTGCTGAGGTAGTCGCCATCGGAAAGTCGCCTAGTGGAAGTAGCAGAAATTGCAATACAAACACGTTGGCGGTCCAACGATTGACGATTTCACACTAGACAGAAACTTTGTGCTATAGCTTTCAACAGGTGTCAATAGAACTGTATCTATATGAAAAGATAGATCAGATGAGCGATTTCCACTGGTCGATAACCACCAAACCTTGAGTTTTACATCGAAGGAGAGTGATCTCAAATAAGTAGTCGAAGTCGGAACGATGTTCTATGCCACTCATTGAATGTCGCGATGGACAAGTTCTCCGTTATTCAACGATTCGACGTCTATACTATGAGCGTCGCAACGGTAAATGTTGTACAATTGTATGAGCGACGCGTGTAGAGTACGGAGTGACATAGAAGCTGACGAGTGCCCTGTATATCAGTGAGTGAGGATAGCAATGAACAGAAAGAAGTCGATTGTAAATCTCACCAGAGCGCGCCTTGGAACAAGGGACTCAATATCTGATCTCGCGCCGTCACCCATAAAACATGTCTCCATTCAATTTCTATGACCGCCTCCGATTCATTTTCATCATCCTGCTTAACTCCCGCCTCTAGGATTTGTTTCCTCGTAGACTTGTGCTTCAAGGTACGCAGGTGTATATATGGCTGTATACTTCGCAGGTAACTGGGTTCAAAGCGCAGGTCCGGAATTGGTGGCAGATGAGGACGGTGATAATGATGAAGTGAATTCGAGGACATGGTCGTGGCCGTCCGGTTTCAAGTACTTTCTGGCGCTTATTTTGCCCATATTTTCAAGTATGCATGATGCGCGATGTGATAATATCAGAATTGTTGCTTCTCTCTTTCCCGTCGATTGAAATATCTACCATAGTGGAAGCGAGAAAAACTAATCCAGAATGGACTCAAAAAATTTAAGGGCCTGACCGGGAATTGAACCCGGGACCTCTCCCAATGTTACAACGTTAAGCTGCGAGCAAACCGCCCGAAGGGAGAATCATACTACTAGACCATCAGGCCGACAACACAAAGAAATCTAGCCAGCATCAGCTATACGAGGGACTACGTATCTCCAAAATTCTCCCCCTATTCGGTAACGGCTCGGCAAGAGCTTTACGACCATTGCGATTCGATATAATCACAGCCACAATCGAAAGGATCAGCACCCCCATTATCGAAAGGATCAGCACCCCCATTACAGTTATCTGACCCAGCCATGCAAAAGTCAGGAGCGCAGAAACAGGCAGAAACCGACTGACAAGCTTGGAATTGCAGACACGATCCAACCCCTTGGAATATATTCTTCAAACAACGGATTGGTCAAAGTTGTCGTAAGAGATACGGTGACTAACCGACGTTGCTGCTGCCCCTCCTGTCCAGAATAACCACATCATCACCACGCCGATAAGTTCTGGTCAATATAGACGTAAAAACTCAAGCTTTAGGGTTTCTACGAAGAAAAAAATTAATAATCCTGTGTGTAGTAAGCGTCAAAGAAGCAAGTTTAGCAGGCTGTAAAGCAATTCGGCGGTGATTGGATAGGATTGGATCTGATGCTCTGATAAAAGTCAATGTGAGCGAGGGTACTGCATATAATGATAATGATATGATATGTGAAAGAAAACGCACCGTAGAACTTTGCTTACAAAGTAGCGTTGATCCTAGCGCAACAAAGTGCAAATAAGACGAAGGTGCTGGCAAAGACAAGGTAATTGCTAATTCACGCAGGCAAAGTGCATCAGGAGTTAGGCTAGGACCACTTCGACGACAAGAGGAAACATGAAATGCACCAAAACTGAGCAGCGCCTAGCTCAGATTAGCCCCAAATTAGTCCTTCAGCGTCTCGGAATCTTGCTGATGGAGGAGAATTGGCAGAAATTTGAGTGAAGGATATCGATAAACAGGGATAAACTTGATCATGACGCAGAGAAATAAGAAAAAGAGCGCGCTAAACGTGTAGGGGGCATGGATCTGTCCTATATATAGGCTTGTGACAACCAGCAACGTGAATACACCCAGTTAAGCCGAACAGAGCCTTTAATGCCCATATGGATTGATGGATACATATTCTTTTTGCAGTGAAGAAGAATTTCAAGAAAGTGGTGAGAAATTTTGTCACGAGCGCTTCTGAGGCGATTTCAAATGTTTCTATCTTGGTAGTCGACATCTACATCCTTGCACATTTCTGCAGTTCTGGATTTTGGATAAAAATCGCTTGTAGGCGAGGCCTAACGTTTGAGGTCCTATCCCCTCATTACCGCTAATCTACAAGTCGAACCTCGTAACTCGCAAGCTCGCCAAGATAAATCAAGTAAAACTGAAATCACCGCTGAAAGTCTGCGGGTCGAGACAGACGCAAACTCAGTCAAAAGTACATGACCTCAAAGTATATTACTGCTTGAAGCTTGAAGTCCAAACCAAAGCTTAAAGATGAACGGAATATCAAAAGCCTTATCCGATACTTGACAACATATCCGGTAACCAGAACACCAGAAAATTCTACAATCTTGCTAACATAGGTTGTACAGAATCGTGCTCGTACTTTTCTAGTGCTTTCATAAACCTATACCACCTTCCATCGTGCCATTGCATTAAACCTCTCCATTCCTCACTGTCCGCTCCAAAAACGGTCCGGAAGGAACACAACCAGCCTGCAACTGTAAAGTCTGCGAAGCATGGCAAATTTCCTCCCATGATTAAAATATCGCTTTTTCGCATAGTCCTATCCAGCATACCAAGTCCCTCCTCGAACCTCCGCCACTCCTGATCCCTTTTCTCAGACCCCTTCGCCGGGTATAACTCGGTGAGTTCCATTCCGAACATTTCCTTCCGAGTGCGGCGAAAATATACCTCGCTTCGTGGATTTAACACACATGCAATCGATGGAATAAGAAATTGGAGCATAGGTTCTATTCTCGCCGGAAATAGGTCGTTAAAAGACGCGTGGAATGCATGAGTTCCGTTGGGAAAAAGGGGAGGAGAGGGGTATGTCTCTTCAAGGTATTGTGCGATGGTAAATGAGTTTGAGACGACGGCGTTTGTAGCGGAATCGTGGATGACTGGAAGTGTATATTTCGGGCTACCGTCAGGCTTAGTCTCGGTGGGCGCGGCGCCGAGCAGCTGCATGATATGCTCGAGGTCAGGAAACTCGACCAGGACTGTTCGGTACGGGAGGTTCTTGTAAACAAGACTATACCTGGAGAGAAAAGTCGTTAAAATGAAAGCCGATTTTTTTTTGAAATCATCCACCTCGTCTTCCAAACATTCGGATTCCAAGCGGTATGCTCATCTCGTTTGGCGGGAAAGTCGTATAGTGTTATGGTCATGGTTACGGATATTCTTGAGATCACAGAAAGTGAGTAGTGCTACGAATTTATTCTGAGGGTCCAAGTGGGACATTTTATAGCCTCAGATATGAGGTGTGGCATCGTATGACGAAGGGGTGAACATGACTAGTTTATTCATCTGTAATCCTAGTGGTCTGGCATATCGATCTATTCTCATGGTCACAAAGCTCAGCATTCATTGAAGGCGTCCTTATTTTGGAAGTAACCTCTAAACTTATGGAGCTGGAAGGGAAATAACAGTAACCGTTTTAGACGATGGGAAGTTAATGAGAAGCATGTACCTTGCTTCCTCTGAATTCCCATCGAAAAAAATCTCCGGGGTTCAATACAGTATGTATACTATACTTACGAGACTCTGACGGGGGAACCATCGGGTCTAGTGACTGACGCGGTTTGACTACAATGGGCTTAAAGGATGAGCAGATATTACCATTATACCTGACTGGCAGTATTATAATGTCCACTGCACTATTCCTTCTGTCATAATTTCCGGCTTTTTAAATCTGCGCTAAGGATCACCCTAGAGATCAGTGGTGATCTACGAAGACTTCTGAATATCAGAAGATATAGGAAAGGGGAAAAGGCGCGATTCCAAGCGAAAAACTTGAATGACTTAAATTTGTGGTCAAAGGCAAAAACGAAAGTAGAAGAATTAGAGCCGAGTTTGCATAAACCGTTGAAGCCGTTGTAATTCCATGAGACTATGAGGTACATTTTCCAGCAAGATGAACTTGATAATGATTGGAAGAACTTCCTTCGAGATAACAAACTGAGAGTATTGAAATCACATGAAAAAGACATAGCTTGAAGATAACTTGCCACTCGTAAGCATTCGTTGAATAAACGAGTGCGGAGGTTGCGGCTGCGCTCCTAGCCTATGACTCGGAGTCCACACTCCCTTCCAGTAATCGAAAATCATCTCCCAGGAAATAGGCCAAAAAAATTCACCCGAAGCACGTTACTGCCACAGTAAGCTAGTAAGATGACTGCCTCCGAGTTCAAGTGTAAGCCTGAGGAGCGAGCCGGAAGAAGCAGATCATCCACTTATCAACAAATCAGAATACAGAGCCTGAGATGCATTGGCAAGGCTTTTCTCCGGGAAAATGCTGCTGTATAATGTGGACTTCTCAGGGGCCTTTTTGATTCAGAAGAAAGGAAATTTCTTGGGAACTTTTGAGAATCGTAGCGGTGATCCGTTCTGTCGATGCCGCGGCGGCTGTAGTCGAGTCGTCGAGATCTGGAGAAATCCTCAGGCTCAGAAGCTTGTCAATCTTCAAACAAGTGCACCAATGACCATTAGCTTGTTGGTGAGTTAGACATTTTTTTAGATTTTTTAAAATTTTTCCTGTCGATTAACAATCACCTCCTTCAGCTCCTTCCCCATTTCCCGGTTCCTTCACTTAACAGTAAATATAGAAATAGTATGATGCATGCTCATTGCCTTCTTAGCTCAGTGGTAGAGCATTGCACTTGTATGGAATCCGTTGAAAGGAAATGCAAAGGTCAGTCGTTCAATCCGGCTAGGAGGCATAACTTTTGTTTGTGGTCAGTCCGTACTGTATGTGTACCACCGGGCGGCCTTTGTGTACTGAGTCTCCATACTCTTGCTGTAAATTTGTTAGAGCATATTTTTCAGTCTTGAGTATCTGAAAACAATATCATTGCGCGATGTATGTATACTAACTAGTATTGAGGAACCGGTCAAAATTATGTAGATTTTCCACCAAGTCTAATGTTATCGCCGAGTAATGGAATGGCCAAGGGTTAAGTAACGTTCAAAGTTTTATCATATTTAATAACAATTGACCGGGAGATCCTCTCCATATCTGCAGTGTAAAATATTGTAGACCAAGGATGTACCATCCCGAAGCATTAGAAGTACCAGCAAATTGCAAAGTCAACTTCAGCTATCCCATGGGTACTTGGGCCTCACACCTCACGTCAGCAGTAAAGCAAAATTCATCGATGGGGCACTGTCCTTTACAGTGACAGTTATATTTGGATTTTCATGCGATCACAAGAGCCCACAGTCATTCAGGATTCCTTAGCCTGCTCACAGAATCCAGCCCAAAACCCTTTCGCAAGCACTGCGACCCCCCAAGCCCCTGGGTCTGGGGGTAGTTCCAATCCTTCTTTTAATTCTACATATACCGCTCGTCCCAGTTTAGGCTTCATACCTCTCGTGTTAAGGGCTCCTTCGTGAGCTCGGTGACAGGCTTCAGCGACTAGATTACCGTTGGAACACTCCGTAGAGCTTTCGAGCCCAACTTCATCCGCATTCCTGCTATCTGACAATGGAACTGTAGTATCACATAGCGGATATAATGCGTCCATGATGGTTCTATCACCAGGTTTGGCCGATGTGTGGTGGGAAAGGGAGGTTAAAGCGTCAGAGAGCGTGTCCATGAAGCGTACAGAGGAGACCGATGTTGAGGATGGGTGAATCATGCGCTTTATAGCGGACGACCAAGCGGTGAAGAAGATGGCGAATACTGAGGCGAATTTGAAGCGAACTTTCAGATGAGACGGAAGGAAATGCTCACATGCGCCAATGGTCCCACCCATGTTGTCCTCGAGAATTTCGCCGATACGGTGGATTAACTGATCTGGTGAAAGCTTACTAACTTCGAGCTGTTGCGTTTCAACGGATGACAGAATTGCTGCAATTCGAAGCATGAGTGGAATTCCTAGTCAGCGATACATAGAAAATTTCATACACCTTTTGCCCCCCGCGAGAACGTCGTACCACAATCCCCGTCCCCCACGATGGTGTCATACTGTGTCAACAAAGTCTCCTCTCCAAGAACAGCCGTACATGCTCCTATTATCCCTTCTTTCACTCTCTCAGGCGACACGTCTGCATGCTGCCAGTAGGTCGTTTCTGCATGATCATCCTGCGTTTTGGAAGTTCTACTTCCCCCCGACATCAAATCCAGCACCATTTCTGTCGCGCGATGATGGCTACGCAAGTCTTTCCGGCCATCCGAAGACCAAAAACGACGAAGGCCGACCCAGGAATGGGCTTCGGTCGGGTCGTCTAATAATCCTAGAATGTCAACTGAATGGTAGATGGCAGATGGGCGTGATGATCGATAGACACCGGAAACGTTGAGAAGGGAGATTGAGAAACCAGGGGCGTTCAGCGAAGTCATGAAAGACGAGCTATATATTCTTAATGGGTGTATGTCGGAAAGAGCTGGAAAACCTCTCAGCTTCTTCTCCAACGAGTCTAAATATAACGCACCAAGTCTAGCAAGGATATCGGTCATAATTGCTCCCATTTCTAGTTGGGACATCCCTCCCAAATTGTTCACGAACAAGACGGTGATATCTCCTTCCTGAACAAAACTATCTCTACCTCCATCTACGACACCTCGCGAGCGCAATAACTTCCCTATTAGCTCATCGATAAGCTTCACTGAATCCCTTATGTCCATCCTATGTACGCCCGGTTCGTTATGGAGTCCCAGCCCTACTTCACACTCATCATCACCAATGGTGGCACTATAGGAGTTATTACCAGGTATATGGCAATGATCCAGCCCAACACCGATACTTGCGAGATGAGAAACAATAGTGTCTCCCGCGTGTTTGAGGTTTTCAAGGGAGGATCCTCGTTCAGCTAGGGCTCCCAAAATTTTGCAGACAAGAATATTACCGGCAAGCCCTCGTGGACCAACAAGACTAGAGCTTTCAGAATGAAGAAGCGAAACGTCGTCAGCCACGACGACACTATCAACCCGGATCCCTTCTGCCCGAGCCTTCTCGATCGCAAGGCCGAAGTTGAGTCGGTCTCCGGTATAGTTGTTAATGATAGCAAGGACATCCTTCCTATGAGGGACGTGGATAGCAGATCTGTCTGTGATTGTATTCCTTCTAGGGTGAACGTCTTCGCCGGCGTAAGCCGCTAGACGAATCGTAGAGAGTATCTGTTTAGCGCTCGGACTTGCAAAGATCTCGCCGGAAACAGAGGCCGCAAGCATGCCATAGCCTGTATAGGATGCATGAGCTGGTTCATGCCCTGCCCCTCCGCCGGAAATCACGGAGACCTTGGCTTGTAAGGATGGAGGGGAGACGTAGACCGTTTTAGAGGCTTGATGTCTAAGCAGATTGAATTAACTGAGCAAAATAAGCCAAAGCTAGACTCACAAGCGAAGAGAGGGATTCAAAGCAACGGCGCCTTGAAGAGATTTCATCACCAATCCATCTGAAGAACAGTATACGTGCTTCCGAGACATGGTGGTTGACGATTGTAGTTCTCAAGATTTCAGCATTCGTCCACCACTGGGATTAAAGTAGTCAGCTGTTTTCGGATCAGCTGAGAATCGAGGCTGAATAGGAAGACTTGTATTGAAATAACACCGAAAACATTCGGAGTGCGTCGCGTAAGTTGTCGGAACATCGATAAGAATATTTCAAAGTGAACTTTGAAGATGGTGAAGAGGTTTCAGTGAAAGCGCGGGAAACAACCTGAACCTCAGTTGGAGTCATTTGTATTTCGTAAGCCGTCCTGGTGTCATTATGCACCCAGTTATGCACAGAGTTGTTACTTTCCACAAACTGGCGAACACTTTGGGGTTGTTGCCAAAAAGATGTCAAACCTTTGTACATTCGTCTGGTGGTTGCTCGAAAATCTTACTGCTGATATAGATATCCCATTTTCAGGCTTCAAGGATAAGGTTCGGATTACAACATGCTATGTATTGCAATCGGGTCCACAAGTTTCGCTACAATGCCGAAGAAAAGTGTTCAAATTGGCAGTCTTCACTTCTAAGCGATATGGACCGTTATTTCCTTGCTTACACCCCTTGGAATGGAGGATGGGACATGGTCAATCCGCAATCTTGTGTTATGTTTGCGATTGCGATCCCTACACAACGACCGACTTGATGATGGAGGAACTTCGTAAAATGACTTCACTAGCCTGCCTCAATCAGTAAACACTTCCCCCTACAACACCCCATCCCAAGAGCTGTGAATGCTGACCAACTGACGGTTCTGAGGTACCTAAGTGTTTGTTCTCCGAAAATTGCCAGTGAAATAAGTGATGGATGAACTCAGCGAAGTAACTTTACTAGTGACTACCTGGCTAGGCCCTGGCACTGTGCCACTATGATAGTAGCAAATGTTTACGAAGAATTGGCAGCATCGTATTTCACGTGGTTCTTTTCGTTGAACACCTTCCTCGGAGTCGATGCACAAGGAATATATACTTCACACACCTATGCTCGAATTGTACCGCCCAATGACATTCTCCCCAGAGTTCAACCCCATAAGCAGTGTTATTCCAGTGTCCGTGGTCGTCGGTTACAACAGTAGTTCAACTGCATAAAAATCACTTTTCTCAAGATTTTCGCCCATCTGTACATAGCGCCAATATCTTGAAGCATGCCATCTATCGAAACCAAGAAAGATGGTGACCAATTTGTGGTAGAAGGTGGGTATCAATATCGTCTGAATCCTACTTGCATTGATTCGACAAAGTTTGTAGCAGTTGAATTCCTGTGGGAAGACCCTCCGCATTCGAAGGCTAAGCCTAAGAGATTCACTTTGAAGAAAGACGCGAGCAACGAAGTAATAATAGGGAGGAAATTCTTTGGAAGCGACAATACTGTAGTAGGCTCGAAGCATGCAATATTGAAGTTCGATGGGGTGAAAGTGCGTTACTGGTTTTCTCCCTAACGATAGAATCTCATCGATAAAGCTTAGGTATATATCACAGACACAGGATCCAAAAACGGGACATGGTCGAGTTCAGCGGGCGAACTTGTATCAGGGAAAGCATACGTGCTGAAAGATGGAAGTACGATAGTCTTTGGTGAAAAGCATGATAAGACTGATAAGGTGTGCAGGCTACTTATATATAATGAACTTCCACGTTAGACGATTAGTGATACTGCCTAGAGTCCTGACGCCATTCGTGTAAGGATCAACATTCTCAAATCCGAACCTAAGCCAAAACTCAAATCGATTCTCAAAGTCACATCGGCCAAACATGACGATAAACTCAAGGTTCCCGCACCTCCATTAGCAAGATCTGTCACTCCTGATACTTTGAAGCCTCCAGATGACCCAAAAAAACACCGTCGGGTCGTTAGCTTGGAGATTCCTTCTAAGAAAGACAAGCCCTCACCAGTGGAGGTCCCGGTACAAGTAGGACTATATACGTACCACACATCGTCTATTCCATCTAATCCGCTTTTTCTGTTTAGCGACCAATTCAGAAAGCTGTTGCTAGCACAGAACTCCAACGCGAAGTCAAGATCCCCTGGTCTGAAACATTTCGACTAGGTTTTGGCGTAGATGCTCTCACCGGAGAATCGATGGCTGGTACTGCCATAACATCATTCAAAATGTCTGGTTCGCCGAGGCCTAAACAGGTGAAAACGTATGTCGACACCTTGCATTGGAACGGTATCAAGTCTTTACAAGATCAATATGATATCGAAATCGGTGGAACTGTCAACGTCGCTCCCGCTTCTATCTCGATGAGCACCCGAATATCTTCACTTTTGTCGAAGAATGCATCAGCATCGACGGTGCTGATACAGTACAGAGTGATCGGAGAATTTGAACCAGAGTTCATCCCTTCAAATGTAGCGTTGCAGAATGGTCTAAGCGATCTTTCGGAAGACGACTTCCGAGATAAATACGGTGACTATTACCTAGCAGGACGACAACGTGGATATGGCTGTCGGATGGTCATTGTTTGTCAGTAAGTGCTGATGATATTTCTTGGAAGATCGCCTAATCACCTACCGTTTAGAGTTGATGATAAAAGTGTAACTGACAAGGCGGAAGTTGAGGCTCAGGCCCTTGTGGAAAATTTCTTTAAAGCTGGAGCGGGCCATTCGAACGTCAAGTCTCGCTCGAAAAGTTGCAGTATACTGCATGTGATGATTGAAACGTACGGATGTTCGGCGGATGCTTCATATCTCTCCAATGGACTTCTCTCCCCAAAGGATGCGCTCGCTGCTTTACCGAAGATCATGAAGGATCCAAAAGGGACTCCGCGAATTGGGATTCTATATCACTACAGGTGTGCTTCATTCTGTCTCCGAACAACACAATTTCTATAACCGTGTACTCTATTGTCAGCACACTCAAACATTGCAAGCTTCCTCGTAGTGTCACCGTTCATTCGGATGTCTTTGCAAAGATACACGAAATGCGCGAATTATATTTCGACCTCCAAACATATCTTGAACACCCCGCTTTCCAATCAGAATTCTATACTCGAGACGCCGAACGTGTTCGGTCCGCCATTCGCGCGTTTGACAAGAAACGCAAGAACCTTGTTCGAAATTTGAAGCTTGACCGCAAGCAGAAGCGATTACAAGATACAGAACTGTACGCTCAAATTGCGGAGGCGAAGATTAAAGCAGAGGCGTTGATGAGACGACATGAATTCATTGCCGGAGTGAAGGCCTTGTCGAGGAAGGCTTCTCGTAGTTCTAACCTTGGGACAAAGGACTCGCTGTCCTTCTTCTGGGAATGCGGAAAAACCGGTGGGCGAGTGAAGAAGAAAATGAGATACTATACGGAGGTGACTTTTGGCCCCGGGTTCGATGCGTACGAGGCTGAATGGGAATCTCCGCTTGTCACCCCACTCAATCCATTCATGAAGAAGTTTATTCGCTCAGACCAGCCAGAGCAGATGAATTTCGTTCGAATCGACCCAGAAGAAGTAGATGGGAAGAAGGGTCGATTGGAAGAAGAAGGAGATGACAGAGAATTCTTTAATTTTCGCCTAGCCGGAGGAAAGGTCTATGTTATCGGATGGACATTATCATGCGTCTGGGATGGAAAAGCCGGACCTGGCCCTGTCATTCAACTGGACGATGGTGAAAGTAACTTTGTTCTTAGTGATCGATTCAGCGTAAAGCTGGATACTTCACGTCCTGGAAAATGGCATTGCAAGGTAACATTCGTGTTCCAGTCGAGCTACAATTTTCCGGATTTGAAACTTGAACAGGTGCGTGTCCGTTGTTTTCCCCAAGTACAGACTGTTTATGAACTACTCACCGGCAGAGAAATATTCCTGAACCTGATATCAACAAAGACATCTGACAACGTTGTTACCCTCCACTTCTCACCTCACAATCCTTCAGTTTAAATGTAGAGAGGAGTCGCCGGTGTTATGGGAAGTCCCGGAAATACCTGTAAAGTGTTCATGAGTATGTTTGCACAAAAATAATATAATTTTTGTCAACTAATGATAGCTGGTGCGAAGTGCGAGATACTCATTAATGCATAATGATGTTTCCTATATTAGGTCCATGCCATATCACTAGTATCACCGAGAGATTGAAGATTGATACTTTGTCGTCATGAGCTGCCCTTGGTTCCGCAATTTCGTTCCCCAGCATTTCCTCCTAGGTCCCTGCTACTACCATACTATTACACAATCCCTGCTCCATTTTCACTCAGCATTTCCTCATTATTCTCCACCATGATCAATGAACCTTTCTATCGATTTCTGTCCAATTTCTCTAATTTGGGCAATAAATATTATATCTGCATTTTCATGCTCATACTCCTTTTTGATTCAAAAAAAGAATTACTCACCTTGAACTTTTTGGGGGTCTTTAGAAATGTTCGTTTCCTGTACATTTTTTCTTAAGTTTTTCTTTTTCACTGATGTTTGTTATGATGTAGATATACTCAGCTTTTTCTGTGATTTTTTATTGCTTTAGCTTCAGGGACCATCGCCCTTCAGCTCATCCAGTTGGCACCTGAATCCGATGTGGTGTGTTCAACAACTGGGACTGGGGGACTCAGGGGGTGAAGGGCCATTCGTTGACAAAGCACCTCATTGGAAAGTATGTACACCCCCAATATTATCCGAAGTGCAATGTCTAGCCCAGCACCGGCACAGCTACCTATTGCAAGCATATTATGCAGGCAGGTATGTCATTTCCTCGTAGTGGGATAGCTTCTCGCTGTGGCTATAGAATATAGTTCTCCTTCAGCTATGACGACGACAATAATATTTGAGGCGACATTGAAACAAAATGTCTAAATGTGAGACACTTCTCCACTAATCATACATCGAGCAGCCAGTGGAATTCATTGGTCATTGAGTATGCCAGTGTATATGTAGAAATTGAGATGCGATACACTGTGCTCCTCGCGCGCATATGCGTGAGTAACCATTTTTCAGGTGTGAAAAATTTAATTTATTCTGGCTCTCCGCAGCCGACACAGCCGAATCGAGACTGACAGTGAAAAGATCGGCGGTTTGCACAGGCCGTATTTTCTGTCTTCGACGACGACCCAACTTCGGACAGAAATTTCCTTTATCTTACAACCGACGCTCCCTTTCTCCACTTTGGTTCGACTTGCTTTCATCGTATCGCGCTCTTTCTCTATTCCTACTTCAGTATTCGGACAACGAAAGGAAAATCAAAGGAACGGATTCGTCTAATACGCTCAAGCAGTTTAATATTTAGAGGGAAACGAAGCATAATTAGAAGGGTGTTATAGGTTACTACGAGGGTGAATAGTTAAAGTAGGTGGCTTCTTTCTTCTACTTGGAATTCGGACACATTTCCGCAATTGCGACATCTTGGCCTAGGTATATACGGCTCTCTCATTGTACTGGCCCCACTTTTCGTGGTTCTAGAGTGGCACTTATATACCTTTATATTGACCCACAACACTGACTAACTCCACTGTCCATTCCAGGCCATTCCCTCTGTAAGACACGAAAACATGGCCGTACTACCTTCCCTGAGTGATGCAGTCACTGGTGTGCTCGGTTTCTACTTTGCACTTCTCATTGTACTGATAAACTTGGTTGAAACAGGTACTGCAAATACATCTGCTGATTCGACCTCAGCAGCCACAAGTGCTGCTTCTTCATCTGCGGATGCTACTTCCGCTGCACCTACGTCTGCTTCCTCCGCATCCCCAACGTCCACTCCTAGCTCAACCCCGACGTCAACTGCAGCTTCCACATCTGCGTCAGCCGCAACCTCCGCCTCAGCTACGAGTGCCCCTGCCTCGAGTGCTCCTGCTTCTTCCGCTCCTTCTTCCAATGGCTCTTCTTCATCCAGTTCTACTTCCAGTACCTCGGAGAGCTCCAACTCTGGAAGCCCCAGCAAAGCTAGCCCAACAACAATCAGCAGCACTCTCACTGCGGCAATGACTACCTCTGTCCAGGCCACGGTCATGTCAACTGGGTCTGATGGTAAAGTCTACACAACGGTGATTGAGACCGCGTCTGTTCTTTCTGCTGGTTCTATTGTCACCTCGACTGCCTCCGCTGACGATAACAGCGGTACGACCTCCTCTAATACAGCTGAAATCGTTGGGGGTGTCATTGGTGGCGTTGGTGGTCTTCTCGTCATCCTCGGTGTGCTCTTCTTCATCCTGAAGAGACAGAGGCGAAAACGCCAACTCGAAGAGGCCTTTGACGGTAACTTTGATCCAGATCGTATCGTAAACTCTGGTGGATTCGGTGCCGGTGTTCGGGATAGCATGGCGAGTTCCAGTGACACGGCTGGATACGCGTACGCGGGAGGCGAAAAAGCTAAAAGTAAGAAGGCCGCCAAAAGAGCGAGTAGAGGGGCGAATATGTTGGGTGAGGGTGAAGGGACCTTACCCGATATCCCTCTCGACGGAGGGTCGCCCCATCGTCATCCGGAAATGCAGCAGCTAATGTCAATCGGCGCAACGTCTCGGAATAATCTACTTGATGAAGAAGGCATGGATGACAATACACCTAATCCTAGTCCTTATCATAGTCCTCATGCCAGTCCTTTCCACAACTCATTCTCTTTACCCAATACTGCCTCGTCTGATGGACACGGCCTTGTTGGTGCGATGACGAGTCCGCCACGGTCACCAGGTGGTCGACCGCTTTCGATATCCGCATCGGCGTCACTTTCTGGTCATGGACATCCTGGTTATGGGCCTGGCCCAGGATATTCAAGACCCCCCTCATTCTACGGCAATAACGCTTACGGTATCTCCCCTCCAGGCTCGCCGCCTCCGCCTTCCCCGCATAACGGATACGTGATTCCTCCTATGCGTTCGCCTTCCCCCGGTGCTTCTTCCGCGTACGCAATTGGTGCTTACCCAAATATGCCTGCGCAAAATAGGAGGTACTCAAATGGTCCAGACGTTGCAGGCGAGATGGGTGCAAGGAGATATTCTACCGGACCTTCTATCGGACCTGCTTTTCCAGCACAGGGAAGTAGTTTGGCTGTAAGGAATCCCGACTCGGAATCATTCGCTTCGATATCTAGAATCGCGGAAGGTCCAGAAGAAATACCGCCCACATACGATAGCCTGAACTTGGGTCATGGATCGCGACCTGTGGAGAAGGCATGATAAAATGAAGCGTTGTTCCTTTGCCTCTGACCTTCCGCTTTGTGATGACAGCATGACAACATCGTAAAAGACTTTCAGATTGCTTTGTCGATCTCTTACTACTCATCTTGGGACGTCGCTCATCTTGTGAAATCATTCATATTGGGACGCTTTTCATATCGCCGCAGACTTTTTACTCTCCTCATTCTCATTCCATCACATTTGCTCACGTCGCACTTTCCAAATGGGACTCAATAGCATACCGATCCGAATTCAGACATTCTTTTCTTACCCATTATCGACATATGTAGTTCTCTATTTATACCGACTTTTGAGGAAGTGGCGTTGAATCGTTCGAATTCTACGTACTTACTCATACTCATTAGATTACCTGCCCACTAGACAATTGTTTCTAGATTATTCAAGTTATTGTAGGCTTCTTTTGTGACTCGTTGACATACGGCGAAGAAGCTTTATTTTCTTCTACATACAACGATAACATACTTTGTCAGACCATGAAGTTGAAGGCATGTTCTTTGAAAGCGAGGTATTACGAACTTTTTTGGTAGGGTGCTCGTCTTTTGTACTGAACTTCATGCATGAAGATTGATAATCTAGTTGCCCTCCGCAATACAATCTGAAGCATCCGGTAGAAAAGGATGCACGGATTAATGAATACCCTGTAAATACCCAGGCCAACGCAGTCCGCGACTCAAGCAGATCCTACTGCGAAATTCAATTATCCGTAGAAGATACTTTCAGGAAAAGACTCTTTTAGTAAGAAAGCAAATTCATTCCGTCTGCATATCCTCGGTCGGATTTCGCAGGAACATTTTGCTTTGATAGTCGCATTCAGAAAGCCACAGATATAAGTATCAGCGGGGCGGCCCATGTAGGGCGGCACGAAGAACAAGTAGAACTGAATGAAGGTTGGTCCTTAGACATGAGAAGGAATTAGATTCGGTAGATTCGCATTCGATGACCTTACGCTGTTCATGAACATGTTCCTGTGAGCTTGAATTGGACCGTTGACCTCGTGCGACAACTACAACCTTGCGTCCATCGGGGGAAGGGAACGACAGCGGGGATTGAGGTCCGTATTGTAAAATTTGCAAGTATGGGAGGCGTGATTGAAATGAATTGCTTGTAGACGGCGTCAGATGCAGTGCATGAATACAGGCAAGCCGAGGCATTTAAACAAGTAACTCACCATCTTCTATATACCCTTCTCGACCCCCACTAATAACCATGTTCAGCCTTCCAAGTGCATTCATTTTTGCGGTTTCTGTGGTTTCCGTATCTGCAGGAACCTTTATTTCACCCGCTGCTGATTCGACCATCTCGTCCTCTGGGGTGAGTCAACTGCGGCACTTGGTACGGGCTTCGTTGGTGTGACAGTCTATGTTGCTTCTAGACCTTCAACTTCACCTGGGTTTCTAGCCGTTATTTCGAGGAGTCAAGCCAGTCCATTTCTGTGCTCCTCCAGCCCTCTGCAAACTTCCCTGCAACTCTGGAAGGCATTGTTCTCGCAAAAGACTTGGCCCCCATTTCGATCGGTGTTGGAGAGGAAGGTCCGACGTACTATGCACAGTTGACCCCAGAATTTGTTGCGGAGTCATCGCAAACAGGCGAGTTCGCGTTGATTGTCATTGAAGATTTCACGGCGTTCGGGGTGAGTAGTTTTGAACTGAATTATTCCCCGACGATGTCAATGTTGCTTTGTTCATATATGTAGGGAAACGCAGCGATGAGCGTTGAGTATGAAATGATAACTTTGGCTTGAAAGATCCAGTGCAGGTTTGGGATGTAGGACCATTGTGTGCCGATTAGCAACGTACGAGGAATAATCATACTTCACGATGTTTACTACATAGTAGTCGGTGCAAGAGGAAAAAGTTCACAAACCGATATCCTGGCCCACGTGTTCTAAATTTATTACTTATACAGTTTCTGCGCAGCCTGAGATATCTACTAACATTGTAACAATGGAAGAAAACTGGCTTGCTTCTGACTGTCACCACGGCCTCATTGTACTTATTCCAATGCTTTAATCTTTTGCATACTTCGTTGGAGCCGAGCCAACAGAATTCATTGCAGTAATGGCTATCATGAATGGGACGCGTCCGATGCTCCGATATGTGTTTATGGTATTCATACTTCTGGTGCGGAAACCGAATGTTTTATACAGATCTTACTCAAATACAATATTTGGTCACAGGTAGCCTATCATTACATCCCATCCTCCCTACAAGATCAATATAACGCCTATACAAATTCCGACGAAGAATTGCGAACTGAACTTGATTCAGGTAGGCTTTCCAACGATTCTTCCATCACAACTTCGACGAATTCTGCAGATCCCTCGAACACCACACAAGGGTTGGCGAATGCTACCTTCGTCATGCTTGTTCGAAACTCGGACTTGGATGGTACCATAAGCAGTGTCAGGGCTCTAGAAGATCGGTTCAACTCCAAATTTGGATACCCTTATGTCTTTCTGAACAACGAACCATTCACAGACGAGTTCAAACGGTGCGTCTCGACTTCAAAGCTCTTAACCTCGTTTGACATCCTGCAAGACGGGTCTCTGTTCTGATACGCTCCGAGGTTGAGTTTGGCCTTATACAGCAAGAACATTGGTCACAGCCAGATTGGATTGACGAGGAAAAGGCTGAAAAAGCCCGAAAGAAAATGGTAGCCCTCAATATCAAATACGGAGGTGAGCCGTTTATTTGTTGCTTGAGCACTGGGCTGTAAGATGAACAGGTAGTGTTGCTTACCGCAATATGTGCCGATTCAACTCCGGGGTGAGTTGATATTTTCTTGTTGATCCATCCACTTAAGTGTGATTGTCAGTTCTTTTACAGACATGACCTGCTTCAAAAATACAAATGGTATTGGCGCGTAGAGTGAGTCCTGTTCGAAGCATGCATTGGTATTCTCATCTAGCCCACAGGCCGAACGTAAAATTCTACTGTGATATTAATCAAGATCCTTTCCGGTATATGGAAGAGAATAACAAGATTTACGGTCAGTAAATACCTGGTGGTCTAATGTTGAGATCATGACCGCAACCTTTCTAGGATTCACAATAACAGTGTACGAAATTTCAGCAACCGTTCGGAGTCTCTGGCCAACTGTAACCGGTGGGTACAGGCCACACCTGTCGTCGGTTGAGCTCACATAACAAAACACTGTAGATTTTATTGAAATGCATCCAGAATACATCGCCGACGACAACGCCATGGAATTCATTTCTGATAATAATGGAAAGTCGTACAACCGATGTCACTGTACGCAGTCTTTGTGGTTTGCATTCTCTGCAATCCAAACTGATCCGCCTTCCAAGTCTGGAGTAACTTCGAAATTGCCGACATGGATTTTTGGCGTGGAGAAGCGTACACTGCATTCTTTGAACATCTTGACTCTAAGGGTGGATTCTATTACGAGGTACGTTCATGTATCAAAGTCGTAGTAGCTCACAAATTGATGGGAATTTACAGCGTTGGGGTGACGCGCCTGTTCACAGTATTGCGGCGTCGTTGTTTCTCAAACGGGACCAGCTTCATTTCTTTGAAGAGATAGGATATCAGCACGACGATTGGGGTCATTGTCCCCTTTCGGACGGTATATGGGAGAAGGGAAGGTGTTCATGCTCGCAGAAGGGCAGTTTTGGTGAGTTTGGCGGATTTCGATCTTGTGTACTTGGGTGAATGATTGATCGTTCTCTTACCGCAATAGACTACGATCCGAGTTCCTGTATGCCTCATTGGGAAAAACTCATGAGTATTTAAGTCGATTTGAACATTATGTACGTATGTAGATTGGTCTTTCACTATGAAAAGTGAAGCCTCAAGCATTACCTGGGAGTATAAAATAAACCCTACTGATAGCGACTGATAGCGACTGATAGCGATAGGTTATCAGCAAACTTGACACTAAGGCGAAACTACACAACTGATTACTACTTAGTGTTGCCGGAAGGTGAGGGAAGGGTGGGGGACCTTACAGCATGTTCGGAAAATGAAGGGACCAACATTTACTCCATTCTGCATGATTCTATACTTGGCACAAGGTGTTTTGGTAGGTGTGAAGGGACGGTGCGGACATTATCATGCGAAATTTTCCACAGTGGAAGAGACCACCGGCTCAGGATTCAAGTACCCTGACCCAAAACATCCCGATGATGTGGGATTGCTCGGTAATGCACCTATTCCACCCACTCTCTTTGTTGGCTTTACTCCTCTGTACTTCTACTTTACAAACAGGAAACATTCCAAATATCGTCCCCCCTCATCTATAAACCCCTCCTACAATGACACCCAAAAGATGGTCAAGGGGTTTGTAAGAGATCATTTCAACAAGAAGGGTTATCCCTGGTTATCCTCGCCACACGGTCAAGTTCCTGGACCGGTACCCAAGGCAGAGGTTTTCCCCAACCCAACCCAACATCTAAGCCCCACAACTAGTCGCCTGCATAGGCTGCATTTAGCATATGATGGATTCAATTCAACACCAGGATGTCTTTGAGGCTTGTTAGCTTTGCTTTTCTAGTCCATATTCCAAACTAATAACAATATGACTTAGAGTTAGAGATTCTCTCTCCAGAGGAATTCACAGTGATTGAAGACATTTCCGTTACCGTGGAGACTAAGTACCCTAGAGTACCCCAGATGGCCGGGATGCAGGGTTGAGGAGAAAGACACGTAGCCTCACGTAGCTGACACTCGGTTGCAAGTGATCCACTGTGATCCAACGGGCAGCCAACCGGAAAAATCTTTCTCCCCAAAAGCTCGCCCTCTTTGATACTATGATTGATGAGTATCATTTTGTAGACTGTATATAAGACCTACATGGGCCTTCTATGGGGTATTGAGCTGCAGCCCTCTTCTCTTTTTCTCTGCTGGTCAGAGAATCATATTGAATCCCAAGCTATACACGTACTGCGAAGTTGCCTACCGTTTTTCACGCCCTCCTCCCCCTCCCCCGGACTAATACACAACTCGGAATCATTGCCGGAAATCATGCGTATTGTCTACGTCGTAGCTCTCACCATTGGGCTGCTCTCCCCTGCGTACGCAGTGCCCCGGCCTATTTCGGTATTTGTGGTTTAAAGTCGAGGCTGATTTTTTTTGACTGAACGTCTGCCATTTTCTCTTGATCCAGGTCCCAATCGAGAATCCAGTGGGGTCATTGCAGGCTCGTGGTCCGTCGGAGCCCCTTCAACCAAAGGATGTTGAACTGTACATTTCATTTACCGGGGCTTCGACGAAGAAACCTTCGGAAGACGAATCCAAGCTTGCAAAAGACACGGTGCAAGGTTATTTGGACACGATATATGACAAGCGACAGGTTTCTTTCCGTGAAAGTACTTTTTACTTCTTCCAGGACAACAAAGGGACCGTCCGGTTTAAGGTGATGGATCCCGTGGGGCAGCTGATCAAATCCCTCGGGATTAGGTGCGGCACTCCGTGTAGTGGGGTGGCCAGAAAGAAACCTTTAATAGCTTCTCAACCTGCCTTGGGACATAGTTATGAAGGAAAACTTGTTGAAGGTGTAGAGGGGTGGCCAACGCTTCCTTGAACTACGAGAGATAGGTTACTAGAAGATACAATTAGTGGTGCATCGGCATATCTCATTATGTGAAGACTGGGCATTTCCTTGATTTAACTTTCTAACATTGCCTCGTGTAAGTCCGCCGAAGCGTTGCGGCCGTCCGACGGTGGCTGAGCAGGTTCAGGCTAGCTGGCAGTGGTCGGCCCTTTGTTCTTGGCCGCTTTGATAATGCAAGCGCCATTTCTCGCTGGTAATTTTCCTCTGCAATTTTCAGTTTGCCCGAAGATGGACCGAATATTTCTCTGTTGGTTGTCATGATGATAAACGACAGTGACCTGACAACCAGCGCGAACCGTTGACTGCTCCTGGACTGCTCTTTTCTTTTTCTTTTCTTCGCTTCCACTTCATCTAAGAACAATCGAGACGGCTGGGACGTTCAGAATCACAATCGTTATCAATATCCTGGTCACACATCTGTCCTTGTTCAGATTCATACCGTTCTTTGTGCTGCCAGATTTTTCTGGTCCTCTTTAGCGGTACAAGTCATGGGTAAACTGGGCTGGATCCGCGTCGGATTATATAGCGCTTTAGTGTGTCGAGTATTTCTTACCACGATGATCGTCACTGACTTTGAGACCAGCTTGTATTCTCTTTTATTCTTCTCGCACTCTCCTGTGCCAGAATCAACTACACTCTTCATATTCCTCGCGGAGACCCTTTGAACGGTGGAAGAGATTTCTATGGTACCCCATATCAAGTTCAACTCTGTCATCATTCTGACATATATTTTATATTTTTCCTTGATCCACAGACCCGGTCATCCCTGAACTCATCTTCACGACGTTGGTCACAATGAGCTGGTCTGGACTTATGTGCGTGATTGGAAATCTGTAGACGTAGCATTTTGGACTAACTTTGTGAAAACTTTGTCCCAAGGCTCTTTGTATTCTTCGACGATGCTTTGAAATTGCGATTCCTCAGACTCTATGGCGACGAACTCATTGGTTTGGCAATTCTCTGGATCTTCTGGATCGGAGGAGCTGGTGCCGCATCGGTGAGTCGATTGCTTCTTCATCAGACAAATACTTCATCTCTTGGTGCTAATGTATCCCCAGAGTCTCTGGGGAGACTTGTCGTTCTGTCAACAGTTTGAGGCGTGCCGGATCCTATCTGCTCTTGAGGCGTTTGCATGGCTCGGGTGGCTTATATTGACTGCGATGATCGTGCTTTCGATTGTAGTGATATTACGATCACGAAATATTGGAGGCAAAGGTTTAGCGGAACCTTTGCCAACCCGCGTTGGTGGCGATGATGCAGTAGGAGGACGAAAGACAAATGTTGCAGTCGCGGTTTAGCAGTTTAGTCCCCATTCTTTGCTTTGGATTATATGTATAGTATACCCTTTCTTTTCTACTCTCGTGCGTGCAACTCTTATAGGTATACCCCCCGTTTATTGCTCTTTGATCGTATAATATCCTCTTCTGATCGCATTGTATTCTAATAAGGATTCTCGTGTTCACATCACGCTGGTGATAGCTTCAGTGAAAATCAAGACATTTGTGCGTCTTCGTCGTCACTCCCTGCGATCTGCAAGTTTGACTCCTTCATTCTTCCGCTCCACTTGGTCAAGTCCCACTTGCAATACCGCTTCGGCAAAAAATCTTAATTGAGCTCCGGCTCTGGTATTCTCTCGCATATATTTCCTGTATTCTTTCCAGACTTTGTTTAGCATGAAATTTTCCTCTTCCTTGTCTTCGTCCTCGTCAAACCTCGTGTCCCACTTCCCAGTCGAAGTATTGAACCACCAAGGCTTCCGGTCCTTCTTTCTTCCGGTCCTTCTTTCGCACGATTTTACTTAAAATCCGAGTTCTAATGTCGGGATTGTCAAACCACGAATCATCTTCCTCGTCTTCCTCTTTTCGTTCCTGGATCTTATTTTTCATTCTCTGTTTGACATCAGGCTCTAGATCGGAAAACCATTCATCGACCATCTGCTTATGCGAGTCTTTGTCTGCGGTTTTGTGCTCGAAGAACCGTTTTCCAAAGGCTGAAGGGTGGTTTCAAGGGAAGGGAGGTGTGAGGGGGAGAGTTTGCCTTGGGATTTTAGAGCACGGAGGATTGTGACTACGTAGGCACCGTAGGCTTTGTTGGTTTGTTCGGTGTAATCACCATCCTTGCACACTAAGAAAGAACTTGAATGTGGTTTTGATATATAGATACAGAACGAAAGTAAACATACTCAGCCAAACGATGCCAGGTCCATCCTGGAAAAATAACCAGCGCTTCCAGAAGGACGCGTTGTCCCACTGCTTTTTTGCAATCTTGGAATGAAGAGTTGAGAGGGACTTGTCTACCAGATCTAATATGGTAAAGCGCGCATAGACCAGCCCTAAAGTGCACAGCCCGCTGAGTTAGCAAAAACCTCACTTTAGCCTATAAGTGATAATGCTTGTCCTATGTATATTTGACGATCAGATTTTCTGAGACTCGACAGTCGGGCACCATTTACATCAACATATACATCAGTCGAGGCCTAATCTATCACTTAGCAAGGGCTTCCGGAGACCGAGAGAGATTTACACTGATCCTGTTAGTACGGTGTAAATAGGGCGCCTCTCTTTCACTCTGGTATATGGTTGGCAACCGAAATGGAATGCGTGAAGGGCAAGGATTCTGACTTTTGGGGTGAGATAGCGCAACTAGCTTTGTTTACCTACCAAGTGGATATGTTGGATATATACGAGCAAAGCCAGTCGATGTACGCCAAGATGTGGGGGTCCGGGGGCTCCTTCATCTGATTGACGGACCCGGTTGAGACTAGGACAGTCTTTTTTTCTACCAAGGACAATAAATTCTTGACCACGTCGGGCAGTGATAGTTATCCCCAGTTGTCCCCTGGTTGTCCTGCGACCAGTCAGGCCTCAGCTCTAAGCATGCTAAGTTGAGTATTAAAGATCTCGGTAAATTTAATAAGCACGTACGTACAATGAACCTCTATGTGAAGAAATAAATAAAACGATTCAAATCTAACAGATCTCTCTAACACCATCCAACCCACCAACTAATTTTCGACAAACATCTAATCTTTCTTTTCTTCTTTCCTCAATGATCCCTCCAACACCAACAGCTCGTTCCCACCACGGATCTGTATTGACATCTCCAGCAGCCTGAATTTCACGCCATTGGCCCTTGTAAAATTCTCGAAGCTTTCTCGGGCTGCCGCCTTTTGACTTGGAGAACAGTGCTTGTGATTCAGACGTCCAAGTTGGAGGCGGATTGCTAGGCGAATATCGCTGTACAGACGGATTCGCAGCCTCCGAGTTCGAAAGTTCCCAGGGGTGTACTGACACACCATTTGTAGCCATCAGCACCGCTGGTGGGACGGTAATTCGTCCTAGCTTGAAACAGCAGCGGGAGACACAGACAGTGTGCAAAGTATAGCCTTCCTCGATACCATTAAGATCGGATGCGAGGCGAGATGCCACAGCTGCATCAAACTTCCGTGCTTGGTTAGCCGCAGTTATGGAGGAAATCCCGTTCATTCCAGGTTGCGAAGCGGGAAGAGGAGTGTTAGATATAGTCTCCGAGTTTTCAACGATTGGAGCATGGAATAACGTTGTCATAGCCGGAGTTCCACCTTCTGCCGTTGCGCGTGGAGAGCCCTTACCCAAAGTCTTCCCTCTACGAGACTTATTCTTCGTCACAAAACGACCAACAACGTAGAACTAGACGAATTTCTTGAGGGGAACCGGCAATATGGACTAGAGATGTAACACTGACCCATTTTTCATCCCATGCTCCAATAGTAAGTCGAAGTTCGTACTTTGCAAAGACTGGGAGTTCCTTGATAAAATGGAAGTGTGTGGCTACAGACCGTTAGAGGCTGAAGTAGAAGGTCAACAGCAGATATGACTCACCAGCGAGTGGAATGATACCTCCAACGCGAAGGAACTGAGGAAATAGCTCCATGGCAGCCTTCATTCGAGCGCAGTCAAGAACCTTGCGTCGGTCATTATTAGTTGGTTCAATTTTAAATGCAGTCCGTAGGATATCGCGAGCAGAATCTAGCGAACCTTAGGATAAGATGAATTGCTCATGTGCATGTTGAAGTCGCTCTCATCCAAGGCTTGACAAGAGAATTAGGCGTTGGGTCATAAGAAACGAATGTAATAACGGTACTTACTGACCCACGATCTATACCGGGTTTCAAACTCGAAAGGGTGAGCACCGACAGGAGTTATAGATTCTAACCACTTCTCCATCCTCATTTCCATACCTTCCTTCTTTTTTTTCCCGCTCGCCCCTATCAAAGCCCAAGAGCTCTGCGTCCGAGCAATCATGTACTGCAGTCGAACCTTGGTCACAGGCCAGAACAACCGCCAGTGCCATCCTCCTGGTAGAGCTCGTACATTCAATATCAAGACAAGAAAGATAAAAGCCTTGAAGGTGAATTGAAGGGAACGAGATATACGAGCGCCTCGGGGTAACCAGTCAAGAACCTTTGCGGACCGCACGGAAGATAATAAACCAGGTAAGGAGAATAGCGCAAGTATTCCTTGAATCCGTGCGTGAAGGCTAGTGGCCGCGTTGAGACCTATTCTCTCTGCAATCGCGGTCGTCGACATTAATATCGTTTGGACCAAGATAAGCAGGAGTAAGCTCGTCGGGGTTGGGCGCCGGGCGGCTTGTGCCGAAAAACCCGTGCCGCGTGGCTTACATCAATCACATGCAATGATTTTGCCCTTTCTATAGTATCTACGACAGTGTACGACCGACTGCAGTTACCGGAGTATTTCCGCAACGATGGGATATACGCACCAGTCTTCGAACCAAGGTCAACTTGAGGGCGGCGACAATGCGAGATGCTGAAGAAAGTTAGGCTCTGGTGAGTATCTATTATGTACATGTTTTTTGTGGTGATCTTCGATTCAACTCTATTTTTCGATAGCAAAAGAAACTGAAAGTACAAGACGGCTATATAAGGTACCTATAAATACCCGAAAGTTGTCCATATGCAGTCCCCAAATCAACAGTCATATGTACGGACAGCAGATTCACAGGCACTATCTATACGACGGTGCACTAGGGTTTGTCATCCTGCGACGCGGCCTTTACCTTCGTACTTGGCACATGTAATTGAATTTTGCAAATGAAACGTATATGTACGGTCAATATACGGTGTATACATGTACTGAGGTTGGTGAGAACAAATTATTCTGTACCGTTAACAAAAGCAGAAGTCAACAGCTAGCACCATAGTCCCTATAAGAGACGCAAGCTGAGCGTGATGAGGTTAATGAGGAAGTACACAGAATTTATTCTTCCTAGGCACCATCAGAGCTCGTTAGCGGTTTTACTTGGAACAGAACGGAAGACGAATTTCACGGTCTCCCCATTAATGTGCGTCATATTGTACTGTGCTATTTTGCCTCGCTCCCTGATCATCGGATTCGGAAGCTACTTCTTTCCCATTCTGGTGGCTAATAGATTAGAAGATAGCACCGTAGAATAATAGAACAACGATTTGAGGTAAGCAAAGGTAAGAAAGCGGGATAATTTCTCCTGCGGACCAGTGGTCCAGCGACGGATCGTAAACTTCGTCCATCTTGACAATTTGAATCATTGTCGTCGGTTTTACCTGGCTTAACACGTCCTCATCAATACATGTTCCTTTTCCTTGATTGTATCAGCGAATCCTGTGCTTCGTTATCGAGAAAGAACGGCGCACTATAAAGGGAGACGCAGAGAAGGTTTTAAAATCCCGTCGGACTTTTACTTCATCCTCTGTCTGGTGAGTACAACCTTTCCTCTTCTCAGGTGTCGAAGAATATAACGTTCTCACCTTAAGTTACAGCTCTGAGACCGAAGTTCAAGATGGGAGTGTCACCGTTTACCACTTGCATCCTGAGCATCACCGTCTATGTGTATCTTCTGAGCCCCGTTTTGTGTCGAGCCACTCTGGATTTCGCCAAACCCTCAAACATCAAGGCCACCGGAACAGGAGAAAAACTTAAGCCAAAGGTATTCATAATTGACATGGTATGTCCGTTTCACCTTACTTTGCATCGTGAAATTGAACCCTTTCCATGTGTTAGTTCAAGCCAGAGGGAGCTATTTGGTACAATATACCCGAGTTCGACCTCCTCGCACGTAATGTTACCGTTCCAGGGCTCTCCCCGCTGTTCCCCGAAGCGCATTGCACCCAAGACGGCTCCATCTGTCAGGTTATCACAGGCGAAGCAGAAATTAACGCTGCATCATCGATTTCCGCTTTGGTGTACTCCAATATATTCGACCTGACCACAACCTATTTCCTCGTTGCTGGTATTGCCGGCGTAAATCCCAAGGTGGCAACGATTGGCGATGTAACCTTTGCTCGTTTCGCCGTCCAGGTCGCACTTCAGTACGAATTTGACGCACGGGAGAAACCAGCTGATTTCCCCACCGGCTATGTTCCCCAAGGTGCCGTTGCTCCCGATCAGTATCCGACGAGTATATACGGGACGGAGGTTTTTGAGCTGAACACCGCACTGAGGACACTGGCTGTGGGATTTGCAAAAAACGCGACGTTGAACGATACCACGGCAACGCAGGAGATGCGAAGCTTATACGCTAATAACTCTGCCTTCGCACCTGGTGCCTCCTCTGGACCATCGGTGAGAGAATGCGACACCGCCACGTCCGATGTGTATTTCTCGGGTACTCTACTTGGCGAAGCTTTCGAAAATACAACGACCCTTTTCACAAATGGCACTGGCGTGTACTGCACTACGCAGCAGGAAGACAACGCGACACTGGAGGTGCTCCTGCGAGCGACCTTGGCTAAACTTGCCGACTTTTCTAGAATTATCGTGATGCGGACCGCGTCTGATTTTGACCGGCCCCATGACGGGGTGAGCGCTGCGCAAAATTTGTTTGGAGATGCACCTGGATATCATCCATCGGTGGAGAATATCTATCTTGCGGGTGTTCGTGTGGTTGAGGGAATCGTGAATGGATGGAGTCAAACTTTCGAACAAGGTGTCAAGGCAGAGAATTACATTGGGGACATTTTTGGATCGTTGGGGGGAGTTCCTGACTTTGGTCCTGGAAGCAGTACTTCGTTAAGGAAACGGAGGACAAAAAATGCTCAATTCACTTAATCGGACGGATGAGAAAAAACTCATAATGTATCATCTAAATTATGACTTGCTGTTCACACTGTACATACTCATGTTGTATGATGGTAGTGGGGTGGTGGGAGGTGTTGCCAGTGTTCAATATTTTGTTAGCTTTGATAACCGAATGCAACGGAACCGTGACGGGGACCACCTGAGCCGCGTAAATTCCTATTCCCAAATGCCTCAGTGAACGACTGCACTCTGGATTGTGCCTTTTCTGGATGAAAAGGGAGTCATTTTGTCGTAATCCTTTCCCTTTCTTCATGACTTAGCTCTCAAAACAATAGGTACGTTGCTCACAGTAACATACTATCGCCAAACTAAATAGTGTCCGAGGTGAAAACTACTACCGGATAATATTTCATGAGATTCTCATTCTATAGTGTCTTGACGTTGCTTCTGTGTGCGCGGTCTATGCGGAGACGTTCTGGAGGATTAAAACAGATCGTACAATTTCTGTTAATGTGTTCACAATAGAACGAGCAGAATCTACTTCGAATGATGTCGATGAGGGCGACCCCCGGGGGGATCGCAATAGTGACGACGACAATGATGACGGACTTTGAGAGAGAGATTTTCTGGAGGTGAAAAGGGGTTAGGGAGGATTGAGGATTGATCGAATCAACGCATCGTGAGGAGATGGATAGCAGGTAGGGCCTCACCAAAATACCTTGAATCTACAGGAATATGTACCAGTAAAATTTACGTGCAAAATGGATAATCCGTGTATCCTCTACCGCTCATATCTCCAGGGATGTAGAATGTCGCTCTATCATAGTTATTGAGCGGGGAATCTTCTTTCAATCTAGTAGGAAGGTCCGGCTACGAAAAGAATGAGTGGTAAGTTTTTGCAACTTGAAAGACCGCCTACGTTGGCTATGAACAGCTTGCCAAAAGCAACGAGTTCCCCTCCCGAGTCTTTCTCCGCACCAGCCGGTAAACGGATACTTGCCTCTTCTGCTACCTTGAAAGCAGTTTCTCGATTGTACTTTCCAGCCGTAATCAGGGGGCGAGGAAGCCAGATATCCCGAAGGAAATCATTCGATAATGAAGGCGAGGCTTCCACATAAGCACCACCTGAGATGCCAGGTTCAATGACATGTAGGTAGGCGAATCTGGGATATAACACCTTCAACTGGGAAACAAGGTAGGTGAATGTTGGTTTTGGGTTCACCATACCCATACCTTATATCATGTTCATAAGCAGACATCGATATTGTAAACATGTTGGCACACCTTGAAAAGGTACCCACGGTCCAATTCTTATCCCCGTTCTCTCTTCGCCAACAGCATCAACTATCGCCCTAGTCACCTCCAGCGCAAATCTGCACCTATTCTCCACGGATCCCCCATATTCGTCAACTCTGTGATTGCTAACATCTTGGAGAAACTGGTCAATCAGGTACCCGTTCGCACCATGAATTTCTACACCGTCAAAGCCAGCTTTGTGCACTGCATTGTGTGCGGCTGTAGCGTAAAATTTCACATATTCCTTGATCTCGTCCTTGGAGAGCGGACGAGGCTTAATCTCAGGACCTTCACCTCCAGGTATCGGTATATCGGAGGCGGAGACAAATGGATACTCAGAATTTGCAGCACGCAGTGCCTCGACGTCCGCGGCACGTCCGAGAGCCCAGAGTTGGAGAAAAATAAACGAGCCTTTCTCGTGAACTGCTTCTGTAACCTAAAATCAAAAGTTCGTTTCACGATCAGGATGTCACGGCCCATAGAAACACTTGCCTTCTTCCACCCTTCTATCTGTGATTCATTCCAGATACCTGGAGCATGGGAATACAACCCCGCTTTCTGAGAAATGAACGTTGCCTCACTAACAAGTAGTGTTCCCCATGTGCTTGCTCGTTGACCGTAATACTCGACCATCACCTCTTGAGGGACATTGTCCTTGGTGCATCGCATTCGGGTGAGAGGAGCAAGCACGACGCGATGTTGCAAAAGATACGGTCCAATCTGAATGGGATTGAAAAGAGCTAGGGATTTAGAGGGTTCCATTACTGGAGAGGGCTGAAGCTGAGGGGATTCGATGGATAAGAAGGTTGCTTTATCAAGACTGGAATCGGGCCAATAGGCGATGCTTTCGCAAGGAAAGTGGGAATCGTATGCTGAAATAGTTGAGTCGGTTGTGCAATACCCAGTACGCCGACATCATCGTGAATCCTAAAATATCCTAAAATTCGCAAAGCGTATATGTAGTCATTCACTGAAAGTGGCGGATGCACCAAAATGCCTTGCTTTTGCAATCCAAGTATCTGACAAGGAGCGAATCATATCCCTTGGGGGAAAGCCCAGGTCTATGTAGAGAGAAAATCCCGAAGCTGAATCAAATTTTGCATTCTTCATCAATCACGAGAGTTGAGTTAAGTCTAGTATAAGTAAAGGCTGGACATTATACCTACCTGGACCAGGTAATGAGTCCATTCAATTCAATGGAGCCTTTCGTCTCTATCGGCGTTGCAGTGACATCTGATGATACCAACATTTTCTAGACTGTGATTCGCAATGGCGACATGGTGGACCTAGCACCTCCTAGCACATGCAAAAAATGTGGAGAATCTGTTCAGACGTATTCAAAGCGGGATGGACGCCAAATAAATGAAATGAAAAAAACATAGGTGCGTCACTTGCGGGTTTCCTTTCCCATGATGGGAAAACCACTGACAGGTCTCCGGGTCCACCGGCTGTTCGAGATTGAGTGACTCTGATGAGTTTGAAAACAATGGGGGGAAAGAAGTTCATGGCTCCGCCTCCCGCCTTCATCTGTTTGGAACGGTCAACACAGCGCGGAGAAGTTGCAAGTAAATTTACAGAAATTGTTGTTTATCGGTAGGCGAATAGTCACACTAATATTCGACATATCATGAAGGGACGCTCTGAAATAACGTCGATATTCACGAGTCTTGGACGTTAACTCGAATCCAAGGCGGACACGCACTCAGTATAAGTTTTGAGGATATCAAGCGATGAGCAAATTGAAGGTCATGTTCCATACTACTTGCAGGACACTTGTGTTTTCTTCAAGTTCTCCTTCGCCCGGAAGGGTACACTGGGGTAACACTTACTAGCCTACGAGCACTGGTTTTCTCAGCGGCGCTGCGGTAGGCAAGATTTTCTGATCAGAGGTCACCATGTGCTCTGAGGAAATTAGACTGTATTGAAAAAGAAATCGATGTACATATGTATGGTTTCATTCTACGAAAATGATTTGAACAAACGGACCGGTATCCAGGAAGAGCGCCCCGCTGATAAGTTAGAGCAAAAGATTGACGAGTGGATTCTTCAGCCCTCGGCAGCCAGTTTTAATCGACTGAGCAACTTGTCTTTGCTCATACATAGGCGTGTTAGGGCTTCAACGAGGCTTCAACGAGATCGAAGAGTCGAACGGATTGAAGCCAGCTTTGACGTCGTGGGTCACGAGAATGGCCGGGCCATCACCGAACCCATGGTTCGTTCCTAAGAGGGCTTATACAGTAGACTTTCTACCATTCTCCAAATCAGCAATAATCAATAATCTAGACATCTCATATTCGTTTGAATGGATATATCGACCTATGTACTATGGGGCCCCATGACCTTCCCCGGACCTTCGCATGAGGCATGAGAAGATGTATAAAATGTCTGCATCGTTTCGTTCTGTCAGCCGCTCCCCAGCCTTTCCTCAAGTACTTCATTCAGAGAAAGCGCAATAATGGGAAAAGGGGTAAGATTGCTCCATTTTGCGCTATCCTTTGCTGCATTCCTGACCTCTTCCTTATTCTAGTATAACGCAGCCATTGCTGCAAATCCCGTATGTTCGCTTAGAAATCCTGTGATGAATCTCGAGCCAATATCGGTTGTAGTACATTGTAGGATCGTTTGCATGTATAGGTGGTGGCCTTTTCGGTCTGGACATTTCGTCCATGTCCGGGGTTTTGACTGTAAGTTCATCGCGATTTCCCGTCCTGATGTTATATTCAAAAGACAAAATGCATCCAGAATCCGTACTATCTGAGGCAGTTTCACACAGTGGGTCTCACTGACATCGCTCGCCTCAATGAAACTCACCTTAAGCATAACTAGCCGGGCTCTTCTGCTCAAGGTGCCATAGTTGCCGCGATGCCTGCTGGCTCCTTTGTTGGAGCACTGGCTGTCACTCAGCTCGCTGACAGGCTCGGTCGTAAGAGAACAATCTTGTTATCTAGTCTAATCTGGGTTATTGGCTCCATCCTACAATGCGCCTCTGTCGTATGTTTTCCTCCATATTATTTGACGTACCTCTGTTCACATTTGTAAAGAATCGAGGCATGCTCGTTGTCGGTCGAATCGTTTCTGGTCTATCTATCGGTATCGCTTCCGCGATTGTTCCTATATCAGTCAGAGATTACTGCTCCAGCCATCCGTGGCCGTATGGTTTCTCTTCAGCAATGGTAGGTGCCAGAAATTCTCGGGTGAGCCTGGAATGACTTTCTTATGTTCAAAGGTCTATCACATGGGGTATTCTCATCCAATATTTCATCCAATTTGGCTCTTCATACATCGATGGTGTTGCATCGTTCCGTCTTCCCTGGGGTCTACAAATGATACCCGCTATTGTTTTATTCATCGGAATGTTATTCTTCCCTGAAAGCCCTCGTTGGCTCATGGACCGCGAAAGGTTTTATTTTCTCTAGCTATTCATTCAGGTGTGCTCAGTCTCGTCTCTCACTATTTCAGAGATGAGGAGGCTTTGGAAATTCTGGCGGACGTCCATGGACACGGTGACAAGAACCATGAACTAGTGCAACTTGAATTCGAAGAAATTAAGCAACAGGTGTGTATATGCCATCATTATGTGGCCCATACAAATTTCAATATGTTTCTTTTTCAGGTTATATTCGAAAAATCCGAAGGCGCGAAGTCATACTTTGATCTTTTAAAAGGCAACATACCTCGTCGTGTATTTTTGGGAAGTAGTCTCCAGATGTGGTCTCAACTGAGTGGAATGAACGTCATGATGTACGTTTCTTATTCCTCACAATAATTCAAGATCTTAGATTCATACCTAGGTACTACATTGTCTACGTATTCCAAGGATCTGGTTTGACTGGTACGAGGGCTGGCCTGATCGCCGCTGTAAGTCACGTTTTTAAAGTGCTAGTTACACAAAACTAACATCGTGAAATGTAGTCTGTCCAATACGTCCTGAATGTAGTCGCTACTATACCTGCTATCATTTACATCGATAAATGGGGTCGTCGCCCAATGATGATTTTGGGTTCTTTGTTCATGGGTACCTTTTTGTTTCTTGTTGGTGGATTACAGGCTCGCTATGGGCACTGGGGTTCTGTCAACGACGCACGTACGTTGTTCACTTTTGTTACATCGTCCTATTTTGATACCTGTCCATAGCTGTTTGGGTTATCGACGGACATGCTGCCGCGACGAAGGGTATCATTGTTTGCTCGTATCTCTTTGTCTGCAGTTTCGCTGTGACTATGGGTCCTGTGTCATGGACCTACCCTGCCGAAATCGTTTGTTTCCACTCATTCCACTGGCTGTCTCGAGGTGTTAACCATGCGGATATCTAGTATTCACTCAAGACTCGTGGGAAAGCTGTTTCTATCGCCACAGTATGTTTACGCTCAACTATCTGTCAATGCTGCTGACCTACTTTCGAATTAGGCCACAAACTGGATCTTCAACTTCGCTTTGGCCTGGGCAACGCCTCCGGGCTTTGCTAACATTGCATGGAAGACTTACTTCATCTTCGGAACGTTCAATTTTGCCGCTTCTATCCACTTCTTCTTTATGTTCCCAGAAACAGTTGGACGTACTCTTGAAGAAATTGAGGATATCTTTACTGAAGGACATGCATTCGCTCCATGGAGAATTGGAAAGCACACCGGCAAAAAGACCTTGGCTGATGTTATCGGTCAGAGTAAAGAGGTGTGTAAACCTACAATGGTGTCAAGGAGAATGTGCTGATTCTGAGTACTCCCAGCACAATTCAATCGATGAGAAAGAACATGTATGATTGTCAGGATGTATCGTTTTTTTTCTATTTTTCATGACGCGATGTATTCACGTAAATACTTGTATGCTTGGTATTACTATACTATACATGTAGCCCTTCAAGTTAGTATGATTCATGACTGAAGTCAGTAAATTGATCAATTGGTTCCTCGTTCTCGAAAACAGCAGTAACTTTTAACCTTGTCAATGGGAATTTTACGCTCGAGTCATCTACATATTCACTGGGCAAATCTATTTCCTGGATCAAGACTGTTGGCAATCAGTATTAACAATACTTTAACCAGCAAAAATCTAGCAAAAAAAAAGAGGCAAGGAAGCGCTAGGCGCCTAATTGTCTCCGTTCGTCGACCTAAATATAGCCAAATACATGCCTACTAAACGGAAACCTCACTGACTCTGAGTTACCGACCACCGTTACATGGGCTCTCGATACTATCTTCCTCGCGTGAACAACCCCACCAGCAAGACCAGGCTCAATATGAAAATTGGTGGCCCCCGCTTCAGCTGGAGTCAGCTCCCTATATACCCCATGAGCCATGACCAACCCCATCCACCTCACGAGCCCTTCAAGGAGCCCTGCGGCCGCATAGGAATTTCAAGCGAACATCAATGTCCACAGGCTGTGCGCGCCATGGCTCGTTTAGTTTACGACTCTAGTGCCAGTCATTCAATACACACCGTCCTTGAATGTGAAGGCAAACGAATCCCGAAACCAGAGTCCGAGACGGATTGAAAAGCGTGCAAACTAACTAAAGCAATGAGAAGAATCGTCCGTTGATATTGTGACCGATACGGAAAGGAGAAGACGGACGAAAGAAATTGTCGGCATCGTAACGCGACTTCCTCCGCACTTGACCATATCCTTCGATCTCATAGAATTATTTGCTGAAACTGACGCCTGTTACAATTTTGTACATCTATTCTACTGAGCTTCTCTTCGTCTTCCCGTTTCTGAATCCCCTGTCCAGATCTTTGCTACCCGTCCTTGGCTTCATACAATCATATCTTGCAATTGGCGATCTTGAAGTTGGGAAGATCATCACAAAAGCCCATCATAAATTAATCGAATGTCAGGTACTGCGTATACATATTCTCAACACATTCCGGAACTTCTCGACGGTGAATCAGTCTTCAACGAGTAGAATCCAGTAACGCTTGGCCTGTTATACATATCATTGATAGTTGTTCGAGGTCAATCCTCCGCACAGATATCATGATTGCGTGTGTTGTAGGGGATTTTGGATGCTGATACGATTGTAGAACATTCATATGTTTTGCCTTTTCTTTCGTGCTTCTTTCGTGCTCTTGTTCAGCTCCGTCTCCCTCTCTTCATTTCCCTCTCACCCTCATTTTCTTCTTTCAAGTTAACCACTCTTTGATTTCGCCAGATGAACACCCGCCAACTTCTTAGGTGAGTGTTCAATGCCCGATTCTTCAGCAGTTAATCTTCTGACATGTAATAGATTATGCGTCTTATCTTGCGCCATATTCACCTTCTTTGCGCAACCCGCGTCTTCGTTCGACTTAACCTTTGCAGGTCCTACAATCCTAGGCCAAAATGTTTCCGTCGTCTGGAACCGTAATTCCACAGATTCGACCGCGTGGTTCCTTCAAGAAATTTCCGTGAACAATACGGATCCAAGCCCTCCCATCTTCATTTCTGCACCTGCAGAACCTCAGGGTGTTCAAACGGTCCTAATGCCGTCTAAAGGGCCAGCGGGGTATAAGCTTTTATTTTTTCAAAATTAGGAATCTAATTGCTCGAATGCTAGGTCCCTTCGGTTGAGGGTAATGGCAATGAGGTTCGTTTCAAAAAAGTTATGTAAGGTCTAACCATACTCTCTTACCGACATCTTCAATTGTCATCTAGTCCTGAAACCACCATCTTCGCCACGGACTTCTTTGTGAGTAGCTCTTCCGGATTTCAGACGTGAGCTTCCTTAAATCCTTATCCTTCTAAACGTCCAATTGACCATGGGTTTGGTTTATATTTCGAAGAACCGTGACCACAGATATCATTGTAACGTCCAATGGCGCCACGATCACACAGTAAGTAGCGCATTAACAGCAATTCCAGCGCTCATAACCAGTGTCAGGCCCTTGACATCCACCGTAACCGAAACCGCATCGTCAGTCAAGCAGTTATTTCTGTTTTATTACGCAAACTAATCCCCCAAATCGTAGCAGAAACGAGGACGTGTCCTTTTCTCCGAACCCTTCCCGGTCAGATTTTGAAACATCTGCAACCGTAAAAGAAACCTCTGGCGTTACTTCATTACCTGCAAGCCAAAGGCGAGCAGGTTTCCCTTCAGTCTGATATACAATGTTTCATTTCTGACATTACAGTATATCCGTCGAAGGCACCTCGTCTATTACAATATTCGGCCTTCCTGGCACCATAGTGTCAGTGTCAAACCCAAGCACCTCTACAGTACTGGTAGCCGACTCAAGCTCGAGTACGAAGAACCGTACCGGAATCATCGTTGGTGTCACAGCAGGCGTCGCCACGCTTCTCATCCTCCTCATCGTACTCGGAGCTTGGTGTTTTGTTCGGGAACGTGCTAAAACTCGAGTTAATTACCCAGGTGAACAACAAAAAACAACAGACATGCCTTCGCCTTTCAATCTGCCAACGTTGGATAGCGATGATGGCGAGAGGTCGGATACTTTGCTCAATTCTCCCAAAAACATATCTGCTTTACCCGAAACTAGAGGTCGAAGTATGCTTCGCCGTCCTCTTCGGAATGGGCTTATCTTCCCATTCCACTATCATTCTCCGGCTTCGCCCTTGATTCCAGAGAAAAGACGAGCAACGAGCGGATCAACAAGCACGTCAGCAGCTCATAGAGCGAGCCCTATAGAGTCCCCATGGGTCAACGACAATGACCGACTCGTCCAAATTATGGAGAGTGGGGTCGATATCAATTTTCTCGGAATCGGAACCTCTGGAAAAACCGAGTGGGATGATATGCCCCCGAAATACTCGTGAATGTCACTGATACCATGTTGTGTAGGCTTGGTCGATATATATTAAAACCAGGGTTTCTTGTTTTGAGGGTCTACATCAAAAGAAACACGTATCCTAGAAGATGACCTGACTCGAAGAGCCGCTCCCGATTGTGAATCGATATGACCGTCCTGATCCTCTTTCCCTCTCTGAGATGGTAGTCCTGACACCATTATCAAACTCCAATCCTTCCTCTGTAATACTATCCTCCCGCAGGCCCATGTTGCTACTTCTCTAACTAGTAGCCTCCGTTGAACCTGACTGACTGTTCCAGGTCGATTGAACTCCCAGTCTTGACAAGCCAGGAATCTGCGCCAATCGTTCGCGAAACGCCGCAATCTGACGACGTTGTTCAATGAACCGCTGTTTACGAAGATATATAACGAGAAATGATGTTCCAAGAACAAAGACAATCCCGATCACAGCAAGGGTTACTATGGTTCACAGGGTACTTCCGATTTCTTGAATATTGCGAATAACGTCTTAAATTTTTGAGTAAATAAAAATCTGAGTAGACAGTCTTATTTAGAATCATGTTAAGCTTGTCTTTTGTCTTACATGTTAAAGCAGATAAGGCATAAACAGAGCGCTGGACCATGACCGAGGAAAAACAGGGTACTTCCGCATCTTGGGTCACACTGAGTCACATCAATGCCGCTACTCGGCACTCTGGCACACTTGGCCATTTGATGCTGGGTTGAGGCAGAACTTGTGTTGATCACGCTTTTGGAGAGTGTCAAAGGTTTGCCGAGGCTACGGCATGAAGCTGGAATCAAATATTGTCACGTCGCATACCCTCTTCACTTTATCTGCTTGTCGAATCTCTACAACATATTGGATTGCTTTTAAATTTGCTATGCTAGCTGATGAGAGCCTCTACTTAGTGCCCATGTCATTTCTACAGTTATCTACCAGCTCTTCGTACAGTTCCTGAGGCTTCAATCTAAAGTCATGCTTGTATATTACAGTATTTTGGTCTTGTACATATGCATCCCCTGAATACAATCTATTTCATATAGTACAGTATGTTTATAGAGAACCTAGAAAGTACTACATAAAAAGTCTGAGAGCATTTATCGACCTAAAACGTTCAAAATATGAGATTTTCGAAAATGCGGAAGTACCCTGTGAACCATAGTATAGCTTTGGCTTTACGAGATAGATTGTGGATAAAATTGCCGCTTGATAAATTTGCAGATGGGAATGAACTTGGGATTGGGGTGCTAGCGGGACTGAGAGTATCACTATCTGTGCCAACACTTGACATTATTGATATCATAGGTGGTACAATAAGGTCAGAACTTGACGTGGTTCGGGAAGGATCTGATCCAGAACTGCTCAACAGTTAAAAACATCGATCAAGATCAGAACAATCGCTTCACCTTGAAGAGGAGGGACTTGGCGAAATGTCGCTTTCAATTTCCGTGGTCGTGATCTGGCTAATGAGGATAGATGATTTATCTAACTGCATGGATAGAGATATAACATTGAGCCAACTCAAGGTACTAGATGCTACTGTCGCTGGAGCTCGAGGGAGCGATGATATTGTTGCTGATATTGATCCGCTGCCGGTAGTACTAATGACGCCCTTTGCCCATATTAGCGGCAGAGGGACTGGCACTAGATACTGGTCAACAAACTTTGGATTCATGTATGTAGTAGATCCAGGATCGTTTGATTCACCTTGTTTCTTGGATATTAATTTCAACCGCCCCGATTTGTGCAGCATTGCCTGTTGGCTCAGGAGTTGCGCCTGGCGTGGCGTAAGACTGAGTAGATCTGAGTGAAGGGACAGATATGGCATCGGAAGAAAGATACAACTTACGACAATTGCTGGATCCCTTGAACAAAATACTGCCCGAGACGATGTCGATCCAAAATCGCCTATAACTTTTAAATCAAACGCACCCAGCCTTCACAAACGTCAAAGAACCTGCATGAACAGCAACTACTGAGCCAGTCGTAGCACCAATGATAGTCGCAGACGTTTGAGGAACCTGAATATAGAACGAAACAGCGACAGTGGAGGTGTATATTAACACGAGAAGCAAAAGGCTACGACACACAGACTAGGATGAGGAGTCAATTGATGAAGATAACTTGCGCTTACATTGGACACGATGGGCCCATGACCATATTTGAAGAAAAGTCAACACAGCAGACTGAACGAGCCAGTCATTGTCATCAACCACTGGATGTTCGACGGTGCTCATTCTATGAGATACCAGTGTGTTGGTTGATCTGCTCGCTACTTGTTTTTGTCTGGAATCAGGGGTGAAGCCGGAGAAGGATAGTGGAATGGAAAGATAAGATCAGACGACGAAAAGTTTCTCGGCAAAGGCTAGCAGGATGATGAATGCCCAAGATGGTGTGGGCAAAAGTACTTGTGCAGGCTCAGCATCGAGGTCTAAGAGGGCGAAGGGATGGAAAGATCGAACATGTACAGACGCTCACTGAAAATTGAGGAAAACGAAAGAGCTCTTTTCGAACACTGGGGAGCGAGGAAGATTGAGTGGGAGGACAAAAGATCTAAGGTCAGTTGGTGAGAGGAGTGGAGGTCACTGGTGCAGAGATGTCGAAAAATTGCAGGGAATTACCAACAGATCATTCGAAGGGTTGAAGCTTCAAGAACGAAGTTTATAATGGGCTTTGGGTAACAGCTAGCGGTTGTAGGAATGTGACTGGGAGCTTAGGCGATAGTGATACGTAACAGAAGAATACTGAGGAATGGAAGCTCCAACTTTTGAATCTTAAGCCAAAGAAAACCTTGAGATTGACGGACTTGAGACCTGCCCCGAAGGTGTAAGTGGAAGAAGTAGGAAATCGCTCGGACGATTGCGAGCGAAGCAAAGCAATCCAGAGAGGGCTGAGAGGGGGCGCGAGTCGTTACTAATTCCATGATCCCACGAGGTCACAGCCACATCCAGATTAGGCGTTCCCGCCTCCGTATTGGGCCTATTGCGGGCGGGCGATGCGTCTGCCGTCCTTTCCTTCCGTCGTATTCCATGTTGGCTAGCTTATAAACTATGTACAATTATCCATTGTTGTCAAATTACATATCAAACAGAGGTGTGATAGCACTGACTACTCAGCTAACACTTCGAAGCATGTGAATGTATATCAGAAACGGCGACACGGGACATGCAAGCGGACGAGGAGATACGAACGGACTCCCTTTTGACTTTCTGCATTCATGGTCCTGTAGGAGCGAGTGGGACGATATGCCGCCGAAATATTTGTGAATGTGATTTATGTCAAGTCGTGTAGCGACAATCCTACTTAGGATTGGTCAATAAATGGAATCAGCATTCGTTGTATGTATTGAAGGTCTACATCAAAGCCAACACAGACATCTAGAATATGATCTGACTGGAAGATCCGCTCGTAAATCGATACGACCGTCCTGATCCTCTTTCCCTTTCTGACATGGTAGTCCTATCACTACTATTGAGCCCCAGTCCATCATAGTCCGTGTGACTACTTCTGTGACTAGTGACCTCCGTTGAACCTGACTGACTGCTCCAGGTCGATCGAACTCCCAGTGCTGATAATCCAGGAATTTGCGCCAACCGTTCACGAAACGCCGCAATCTGACGACGTTGTTTGATAAATCGGCGTTTACGAATATACATAACAAGAAGCGTCCCAAGAACAAAGACGGTCCCGATCACAGCAAGGGTTATAGCTTTGGATCGAGGAGATAGACCGTGAATACTATTGTTGCTCGATGATGTTGCAGATGGCGATGAACTTGGGATCATGGTGCTAGTGGAACTGAGAGTATGAGTACCTGTGCCAACGCTTGATGTTGGTAGCATAGGTAGGGTAGTAAGGTCAGAACTGGATGTAATTCCCAAAGGATCTGATGCAGAACTGCTGGACAGTTAGGGATGATCCATTTAGTTGTGAATGATCACTGCTGCACCTTGAAAAGAGACTAGGTAGGGTGATGCCTGTAGTTTCCGTCGACGTGATCTGGCTAATAAGGATACATAAATCTGGAAACTTCACGGAAAAAGCTATATCCGCTGAGTTTACCTCGAGAATGTATTAGACGCTGTTGTCATTGAAGTTCGAGACGGGAGGGCAAACGATTTTGATATTTGGGTTGTGCTATGGATGACGTGCCCATTGAGCGATTGCCAAAAATGAGGTTAGTTTGCGACCAAATATAACTTCACCTAAGACTTGTAGTAGTAACTACAGGAGCCGAAGAGGTACTACTAAACGTGTAGTTGTTCAACAAAATGGGAAATTATATAGAATGTAGAATTGTTCGACTGGCCTTGGTTGGGGATTGTTAATCAAACTCGTATTTTCAACCACCCCGATTTGAGGTGCACCACCGGTTGGCTCAGGAGTTTCGCCTGGCGCAAGACTGAGTAGGACTTATTAGTGAATGGACCGGTATGGCATCAGGAAAGAAAGATGCAACTTACGACAGTTGCAGAATCCCTTGAATAACATACTGCCTGAGACAGTGTTAATCCTATATAAGCCTATGACTAGTATTGTAAACATAATATCACACGCACCCAGCCTTCACAAATGTCAATTCTGCGTTTCCAACAGATGAAGAACCTGCATTTACAGCGACCACCGAGCCGATTGTGCCATCATCAACATCCTTCTCCATGAGCCCGAACGACGTTGGATCTCCATTGCTAAGCGACCATGTCACAGTAATTGGAACAAAAATGGTTGCAGAAGTTTGAGGAACCCGGATATTAAACGAAACAACGAAGGTAAAGGTTTGTAATAACACCAGAAGCAAAAGGCTACGTCCGACAAGGATCAGTTGTGAGCTGTTGTGAGTTGTGATCTAGAACGCATACACTCACATTGGCCGCAATGGGCACCTGCCCATATTTGCTGAAGAGACGGAGCAGAAGGATACGAATAAAGCTTGGATGGTCGGATATTCAAATTATATATTATTGCTAATCTCGAGCAATCCCTCTGCCAAGGCCAAAGCACTGTCCGCTTGAGGTTGGACCTTTGCTGCTCGAGGATGATAAATGATCCATTGACGAGGCAGAGGCAGTATCATATAGGGCATAGTTTCATTGCCGCAAGGCCGGGCCAAAAGGCGATTGTAGTCAAAGCCCTAACACTAACCCTAACCTCGCTCTTCCTCTTCACCCGCCAAATCTTGGTCCTAGATCCTTTAATGCACGACACATCGTTCTGGCTCTAGAGAAAGCTGTCCAGCTGCATACTTCTGATTCTTCAAGCCCCATGTCAACGAGTCACAGTGATCATGAACGGACATTTTTCTTGAAGCTGCCGGATGATTCAGATAGAAAACTGATTTGAAGGCGTCGATGGTTGCATCTATCAACGTTTTGCGGTGAGTTGTCCAAACATCAGCATAGTTCAACGAACTTCAATCTCATCAAAATGGTTGCCGCCATGTCTAGCTCCGCAGGACATCGCACGACCGTGCATCAAGCATCTACATCTATCGCCATTTCTCCAAGTCCCACCTCGTGCACTCGTGGACAAGGTAGTATATCCCAAGTAACCAGTGTAATCCGTCTGATATCATTATTCCACTGCTTCTTGCCGTCTGCAGTCAATGATCCAGCTCTCTCATGAACTTCATAATGGTTGCCTTCAAAGAGTGATTCTCCGTTCCCTTTCTCGAATGATCGATCCAATGAATATTATCCCTTTCCTCTGGTGAGTGCACTCGATGTTGTAAACAGACTGGTCTCTGACATTGCATAGTCTGTTTCTGTACATCCCAATATCTCTGGCGCATCCTCCTCCGAGTCACACTCTTGATTTTGCAATAGATCCTACTATTACGGTGGGACAATCTTTTCCAGCTACCTGGGGATGGAATGGTCTCGAAGGATCTATTTCTCATTCTCTCATCGTAATGGTCGGTCAAAAGATTACAACGACTTCCACTGCTAGTCCAGGTGTCAAAACCGGTGTGATGCAGTTGCAAGTCTCTGAGAGTGGGTAAGTCATTACTGCTTGAAGGGATCATAAGGGGCGGAGCTAGATTTATATATATAGATCATATCAGGCAACTCTTACTATGATGTTCCAAGGGTGAGTCGGTTTCCTCGTCTCTTAAATTTCTGAAGCTGACATCGAGCAGTAGAGGATCTGTTTCTCAAACTGCCCAATTCATTGCGTTACCGGCTTCAGCGTTAGTGTGATTCATTAATTCTGACGATTTGAAATTGTTGAAAATAATTTCCAGGACTACGACTTCACTGGGTCAAACGAACGCTATCGGCTACAGTATTTCTTCTCCGACTACATCAGGAAGTTTTCCTCCAGCTGGTGGTGGAATAACGTAAGCGTTCCATTCTGGGTGACTGCGACTGTTTAATCTTCTAAACCCCGCAGGCCACCGCTGAGTATGCAGTAAGTGTGCCAGCAATGCTGCATTGCTGCAAATGTCTAATATTTACAGACCCATGCCGACTGTTCCAGCCTCTAGCGCCGCAACTTCAACTTACAGCAATACACAATCGTGAGTCTTGCAAATTCAAACTTCAGCCCAGTCCTTAACTGAAACAAATCCAGAACTGGGTTCACCTCTTCTCCAGGTTCTGGCAACTCAAGCGCTACTAGGTCTGCATATCCACTTTGTCAGTTGAGGTTTTGACCCTTTTGACTAAACACCCTCATGTTCCAGCAACATGCCTCCACCAACACCAACCACATCTCAATCCAACATAGTTGGTGTCATCTTAGGCACGATATTTGGCTCCCTCTCCGCGTGTCTACTGTTTGCAATACTGGCATATTGCATATGGCAACGTCGTAGTCGTAGACGAACCCTTCCCCGACGCAACACCCTTTCCAACCTGAGCTCGAAAGAGTTCTATCCAGACCGAATGACAGCCAATGCTTTCCCAAGCATTAAACACTTCCCAGGCCAAGAAGTCGACGAAGGAAATTGGGATGCTCATACCGAATCATCACTAACTCCATCAGATTCAGCGTCGAGGGTCGTGTGGTCGTTTTCACAGGGGAAGAAGGCTCGACCACTGGCTACTTCTACAACGCTGACTGTGCATACAGAAGAGAGTGTTACCACTGCAGCAAATGACAATGGAGAGTCCAAGTCCGATGTGACAACGGAATCCGGTCGATATTCCAGTGCTAACGCAGATCTTCCATTTAAGATTCCAACGATCATGATGACGGCTGCAACACCCTCTCCCCCATCTACTACGGTATCATAGTAGTTTGCACAATTGATCTGTACCAATCTGTACCGCAGATACTGTACCAAAAGGCCGTCCTTGGTCTATGCCATATATTTTTACTTAAAGACAGAACGAAACGCGTACTGCTTTATTTACTAAGGCCAATTTGAACTGAGATTAGGACTATAACCACCTATCTTTACACTCAAGTACTGAAATATGCAGTCATCAGAACATGGGAGGGTTATCAGTTTCAACGAGTTCGGGAACGGCCGAATATGCAAGCCATGTATCTCCTTATACATAGATATCGACGAAGTCGTGCGGTGGGTTTGAAAAATATTCTTCAAAGCTGAACAGTTCAACAGCCATCTCGAACTCGAGACTTAAACATTTCCGACCATTATGGCATCATCTTTTCCTGCGAAAGCTTCGTCCATCTCCTCTGGTACCTCTTCAGTCAGCACCGCATCATTATCTGCTACACCCTCTTCAAAGGCTACCCGGTGCTTCTCGAACTCGTACCCGTGATGTTCAGGACCAACGGCAGTCACAATGATTGTGAACGCTGCAACACATCCAATTAGTATACCTAAGGGTATATTAGGATGGTGATTGATAATGGAGACGCTTGAAATACCTTGTACTCTCCCATAGTCGGGAACGACTTCCTGCCCTGTGGGATTTGTCATGCTATCGGGGACGGAAATAGTGGTTTTGAGGTTGTTTCCGCCAACTGGCAAAGTTCAGCGCAAAACGTTGAGGAATGACATTGAAGAATGAGGTAAGATAGATTCGAGAAACTGCCAATCAACTTCGAAGGCTCAATCTGTGACTTACTGGCCTCAATCTGTGCACTTGCGCTGGATGCCATATTACCCACTTGGTACACTACACCAGGGAATGTTGCTCTGAAAGCAGGAGGCGACATTTCCGCAAGGTGGATCGCCATCTGATTAACAAACAGCGAAATATTTGCAGTTCACTTTTGGAAAATCCAAAATGACTGGGGGTAAGGCCGCAAGCGGCAAGGGCCGAACATTTAGTACTACTATATCCAATATATACACAACTGGCCAATCTCCTGAGTATTGTGATGTGTGTATACACAAACAGTATAGCACTTTGTAATGCCCTGTAAGGCAGCGGCCCAATACATCTGCAAAACCTGTATGTTCGGCTAAATAGCCGAAAGCAGCTCAGAGCACTTCCCAGCAGTGAAAGCACCCAGAGCAGGCTTTGATTTTTGCTTTGGGTGCTTTCGTCGCTGGAGAGCGCTTTCCAGCCAGTATCCTTGCTATGGCGAGTATACAGGTTTTGCAGATGTAGTTGACTGTTGAGTATGTTGAGTGACCATGTTCACATGATCTGCAAAACCTGGATATTCGGCTAAGGGCTGAGAGCAGATCCCAGCAGATCCCAATGCTGAAAGCACCGAAAGCAACATGCTCTGGGTGCTTTCACTGCTGGGAAGTGCTCTCAACCGCTTTCGGACCCTTAGCCGAAAATACAGGTTTTGCAGATCAGTGAATGATACTTACGGAACAGCAGCCATCAATGGCCATCAATTGGCACTCTGCCTGTCTTCAAGTTGAAAATAGTACATGAATACAACCATGAAGGGGCAAATAACTCTTACGCTGTACAAGTCATTTATTTCTTAAGGTTCCTTTCAGTAGTTGTATAAGCAATACTGCTCTGGCTGCTCTGCTGCCTATTTCTACTAATGCATTTGATTCAAATTTGAGTTTGATTGGGCAGATGCCGACTCGGTTTATACTTCTTTGGCTTGATGAGTTTGCTTAGTCATACTTGTCTATATCGGTCAAGATCTGGTGGATAAGGCCAACTTCCCCCCTACGAAAACAGACAAAACATTTTTGTAAGGAGCCTTACCTAAAGGTTCGGCAATAAGCACTCACAGCCCCCCATGATCCCTGCAGTCCAAATTGCACACAAAACGCACCGACCGCTAAGCCAGCAAAGGAATTGGGTAATATCCATAAAGGGATGAATAGGGCACCAAGAAGAACAAATAGGATCATCGAAAGCCGACGACCGATGTATTGTGAGATCGCGCCCGAAACAGCACCTCCCATTATGGCGCCCTATTGTGGAGGGTCATCTCTTGTCTGGGACTAAAAAAGAGGCTGATAAATACACAAAAGCCAATTATTGTCATTGTGGTTGCGTCGTGCGCAGAGAAGCCCTTGGAAATTTGGATGTATGTTGGAAACAGGTCCTGCAAAACGTCGATTCCATCGAAGCATCTACTAGTGAAAGACGGTCTTACCTGTGAACCATGAGAAAGGAAATTGAAACCTGTGAAAAAGGTGATGCATTAGGAAATGGCAGACAGAAAACTTTCGAAGTGCAAGACGCACTGACCGGACATGAACACTACAGCATAGATGCAGAGTATCCAGTGTCTCCTTAACATCTTCTTCGTCTCGTTCAGAAAGATTTTGGTTCTATGCAAACCGTGAGTCCTCCTTCCTCGCGATTCCTCGCGGATCCTAGCGTAAGCTCTAGCTGTCAGAAACACTTGGCTTTCCGGGAGGCACAAGCGCACGATTGCTGCGAACATGCTAATCCCAGCCGCACACCAGAAGAGGGCCCTCCACGAATGAGCCTGCTCCGGTACAAGGTAGAGATCAATAATGGCCGCAACGAGGCAACCTACGGCATATCCTTCTTGTAGAATACCACTTGAGGTATTCGCATGTAAACTTCGGGCTATGAATCCGGTCAAGCGGTTTAACGAACGAAGAGAATTCTGAGTTGTCCGAGTATCTACTACTACTTTAAGTACAACTGTTCTTATCTATAGAATAACCAATTGACTACGGCGAAGTAATGTCCGGAGTCTTCTATCTAAAATATACACTGAGGATAAGTAATACGGAACCAGATAAGATACTACGGCAAGTAATCTGTGAACAGTAATGAGTCCGAAATCACTCCGGCTGACGAGAACCGGCTGATACAACACAAGTGAGGTATTCGCACGTAAACTTCGGGCTATGAATCCGGTCAAGCGGTTTAACGAACGAAGAGAATTCTGAGTTGTCCGAGTATCTACTACTACTTTAAGTACAACTGTTCTTATCTATAGAATAACCAATTGACTACGGCGAAGTAATGTCCGGAGTCTTCTATCTAAAATATACACTGAGGATAAGTAATACGGAACCAGATAAGATACTACGGCAAGTAATCTGTGAACAGTAATGAGTCCGAAATCACTCCGGCTGACGAGAACCGGCTGATACAACACAACCCCCTCGTTAAACCTTTTTGCTCCTGCAAAACAGTCATATCGGCTCAGAGGAAGCTGGTGATAAATATATGAGAACTGAACAATCAGAAAGTAGGGATTTCGGAATATAAGTACAAGTCCGTTGAAATTGTTCGGGGATCAGCTTCTATGTTGATTGATGCCGAGTGCCGGTGATTACTAACGACACGTCAGCTGTTTGTTGATTTCTTTCCGCTGTTGCTCCTCAATCTTCTTCGTTCCTTCGCATCTCGTCGTTGTAAGTCAGCAGAGGCATACCAAAGGGTTGGATCAGAGGGTAGGGAGGAGGAGGAGGAATGAGAGTTGAGGTTGTAAGGCCGGAGCCGGAGGCCATTGTAGAGATGTCGTAGGACATATCCATTCCTGGTCATTAATTGGTAAGTATTTTTGTCCGTTGTATCGCGAATAATGAAAGGTCCATCCCAACGAGGATGAATCTTTGACTGACGTTCATTCTTTCGCAGAACCAAGTCTCCAATACCAAGTCCTCTTTCTGTATACCCATCTTCTCGCCTCGCCGCTTCTTCTTCAAGTCGTGCCAATGCTTGTGAGTTGGATTCCTTTCGGAATCGTTCCAAGTTTTTGACATGTTCAAGGCGTTTTTCTTGGAGGACTTGAATTTCGGTATCGGATGGGGGAACTCGCACAGTATCGAAGACTGTATCCTGAGGGAGTCGAGGTTCAAATCCATACATCATGTAAGCTGGAGAAGCTCCCGTACTAGGATTTCTGTGAGCTCGATAAGCAAGCAGTACATCAGGTACGTACTCATCCCATTGATCCTGTCGGTCAGGAGCACAGAAACGCGCTAACATTTGAACCAAGGTGTCATTGAATTTTTCAAGTCGTCCATTTGTTTGAGGGTGATATGGGGTAGTGTGTAGGTGTTTAATAGTCATTCGTTGAAGTAAGTTCTGGAATGCATATGACATGAATTCCTCACCGTTATCTGTTAGTACTGCCTTGGATTTGCCAAACATTGCGATAATGGACCGAAAGAGGTGAATTACAGCGTCAGCGGAACGTTGAACCAGAGGCTTGGCAAAGGTATAGTTTGTTCCCAACTCCATCGCTGTAAGTATATATTGATTTCCTCGTTTCGTCTTAGGTAACGGTCCTATAAAATCGAAGGCATATACGTCTCCTGCGCTGGTACGGGGTAACGGAAACAAGGGCTGTGATGGGGTTATGTCTCGTTTGGTGAATTGGCATTCATTGCAAGTACGTACAATATGTTCCACCATTTCTGAACCATAGGGGATCCAAACTCGACTTCGCAGTGCCTCAAGTACCGAATTCATACCAAGATGACCCAAGTCGATGTGGAGTGACTTGACAACCATTAGTGCTTCAGTGACCGAGGTCGGTACCAGTACGATTTGTGAATCTTCGTTATTGTTGGTGCTGATATCCTTGAATAGTTTTTGTCCATGTACTGAATATCTTTCTGTGTCTCCCGATACTTTCCCAGCGAGTAAGTCCTTCCGATATTTTTCCAAAGTATTGAAAATAGCTGAACGATCGTTTGGGTCCATATCAAGAGGGAAGCTGTAAAGTGGTTCGTAATCTTTATTGGGCACATCGGCATGACCTTCGCGTCGGGATAGGGCATCGGCAGCGATTTGAGATGTTCCAGGACGGTACAAGATCTTTACATCGAAGTGGGCAACATCATCATGGAACCGAGCAAGACGGCGACCGAGGTGCTTTTGCGTTAGGAAGTATTTTAATGATTCATGGTCAGTACGTACCAGCACTGGTGAACCTTCTGTGTATGCATGCCATTTCTTCAAGGCATGTACTACCGCTAGCATTTCTCGTTCCTGGGCTGAATATTTCTGTTCCGTAGGTGTCATCTTCCGAGATTCATATGCTATTGGCCGTAAGTCTTTTTCTTTGAACTCGAAACGACTTTCGGACTTACTATCATCCCTCCCTTTGTCAAGATCCTTGAATGGTGTGAGAGACTGTTGAAGAATAGCACCGAGGCAATTTCCCGATGCATCAGAGTCAATAACAAACACATGCCAAGGTGTTGGGTGAATTAAGATGTGAGTGTTAGTAAGTGCCCGTTTGAGATGTTTGAAGGCCGCGTCGCAATCGGTTGACCAGTTTATAGCAGATCCCTTTTTCGGAGAACCAGCAAGTAGATTAGTCAATGGTAAAGCAGTTTTTGCGAAACCACGTACAAAACGTCGATAATATCCAGCAAGGTTTAGGAAGCCACGAAGTTCAGTTATGTTTGACGGGGTAGGCCATTCAAGAACTGCACGAACCTTATCTGGGTTAACCTGTATACCATTTCCAGATACAATATGGCCTAGATACAGAAGTTCGTCTTCTGCCCATGTACACTTATCGAGGTTCAGCACAAGTTTTTCCTTATCCAAAGCTGTAAGTACCTGTTCCACATGATGTCCATGGTCCTCTTGATTCCTGGAGTAGATGACAATGTCATCAAGATAAACCATAACAAAGATGTCGATAAATTCGCGGAGAATATCGTTCATCATATGTTGAAATGTTGCAGGAGCATTGGTAAGTCCAAATGGCATGACTCGAAATTGGTAGTGACCATACCTGCAGGTGAAAGCTGTTTTCGGTTTCGCATCTTCGGAAAGTCGTACTTGCCAATAACCCGATTTCAGGTCTAAGGTTGTAAAGATAGTTGCATCGTGGAGGTTGACATAGCATTCATCAATGCGAGGTAAGGGGTAAGCATTTTTCCGAGTCAGATTATTAAGTGCTCGTAGATCAACACAAGGGCGCAACGTACCATCCTTCTTAGGGATAAGCAGAATTGGAGCTGACCATGGAGAATCGGAAGGCTCAATTACACCATCCGCTTCTGCATTATCGAGAAATTTCTTGATTTCTTCATTCTCGCGGGGGGAATGTGGTCGACCGCGCACTTGGACAGGTTGTGCAGGGCCTGTATCGATTTCGTGTACCCATTTTCGAGCAGGTGGGTACCCAACCTTCTTCCGGAACAAACCCGGAAATTTATTAAGTGCAAAGTCTTTAAGTTTCTTACCAAATGTGGTTCTTGACTTCACCTCAGACTTACGTTCTTCTTGCTTCTCTTCAATTGTGTTATGCAGGTCCAAGTTCGAATTGGTAAGAGCGGGCGTAGAGGATATGGGAGATTTGATGGAAAGGGCTTGCATGGATTCCTGTTCGTCGATTACGGCTTCGATTGAGGCAACATCCTCGTCTTCGGTGTAAGTAAATTCTTCTGCAGGAAGAGGAGTATATCCAGCTGATCTACTTTCCGTGTGGTATAACTCCCGTTTCTTTAGACCCGAAATTTGCTTAGGTTTGATGCGAACTGCCACACCAGTATTGGGAGCTACAATGGTCATGGAGTTGTCATCCCAGTTAAAAATGACATTGTGACTGGCGAGGAAACTTCGACCGAGAAGGAAGTCATGTCGAAATCCACTATCTGCCTCCAAGATGTACGCGCAAATTTCTTCTTTGATAGGTCCTATCCAGATCCAGAAACGACAGAAAGATTTCGTGACTGTATGGCCAGCACCGGCAATTGTCCGAGGTTCCACAAGATCAAAGATTTTTGCACGTACAAGTTCGGCACTCTTTCGAGTGATATAGTTCCAGTGAGCACCCGTGTCGCTTATACCAAAGGCCCTGAGAATAGCTTCATGTTTCCAAGGCTTATTAGGCAATCGAGGACCATAGAGCATTGCGAGATAGACAGGTAAGCCTATGTTCTGATCGTCGTCGAATGAGAAAGTGAAAACTTCATTCTGTGCAGGCTTTGAAATCAAGGGTTTCGACTCGGGCTTACAAGCTTGAAGGAATGAATCGACTTCCTGCAACGATGCCTTAGCTGGAGTTGCAGATTTCTCTGCAGTCCGTCGGATAAGCAGGGGCAGTTGGTAGGGATGAGTTTTCCTTGCAGCGCGATGAATTCCAGGTCGGAGGGGAAGTGATTCTCCCATAAAAAACATTGATTGGGGGGTTCGTCGGATCGGGCCTTGACTGTTGCCATTAAATCGCTCTTTCCGTCGATCCGGAAGCCGGCAGTCCTTGGAATAGTGACCAGGTTTGTTACAATTATAGCAACGGAACTTAAACTTATCATTCTTTGGCGCCATAGGACGAAGCGAGAATGTATCCAAGTCCATTGGAGTAGGATCGTTCGAGGACACATGAGATCTCGCAGGGGTTAATGTTGCTGATGAAGGATGATTCGAAGAGTTGGAAGTATGTGATGGATGATTACGGCGAGGGTCTGATGTTCGACCAGAGATACGATGATGACGCTC